CGAAATTAACAAAAGTACCCTTAGGATATGCAAATACCTCCTAACAAGTAATACAGTGGATTCAAAGGTAAATCAACATCGAAAATACCTGTTACCTCACTTTTAATATTCTCCCAATATTTCTGCAGGTTTGGACAAAAAAATCTATGTATGATCTCCGATCATTCCACAACCTCTCCCGCATAATTGCTTGCAACTGCTTGCGGGGTCCTAAAACCTTTCCTAACCTTAACTTTCCAGTCAAACTCTCTCCACATTGGACTGTTTGTGATCCAGTGGTTCAGTGACTTTCCTCCCATTCTTCATCCTCCACTATCTCATTAGCTTCCAACTCCCATTTTCCTTTAATAAAAGAGGTGTCTCCTGAAACATCTAACTGTAACACCTTATTTATATGGAATATATGTTTTCTTTGAGTCAAATTAATTTCTGTGATGTTAATAAAGTACCGTTCCTAATTTCCTAATGCCATTTTTGAAAATATCTTAAAAGGATTGATGTAGCTGTGCAAAAGATTTTATTTGATGTCCTTCCATTAATTGAATAATCCTAACTGGTAACCATCACACAAAGATGGACTAAAATCTATACTATCTGCTACGGACAAGGCTGTCGTTACAGAAATTGGCCCTCTCCCCTTTTTCCTCACATTTTCCCAAACATGTAGTGGATTTTGTATCCAGCTGTAACTGGTGTTCATCTTTTTCCAGTGTGCTTTACCCAAGATTATTACTGATCAGAGAGGAGTCTCTGGAATTGAATTTTGTTCAATCTGTACCCATTCTGTATCCAAGTTATTTTTATCCAATGCACCAGTATTCATAATCGTACCGCCCAGTAGTAGTTTTTAAGGTTTGGCCAGCCAAGTCAGTCCTTGTGTTTTTGGTAAAGGGAGTGTTCTGAGCCTCATTCTGGGTTTTTTCTTCTGCCGGATATATTTTAATAAAGTTTATTTAACATCTTGAAGGCAGTAGTTGGTACTGGTATGGGAAGGGAATAAAAAAGAAAAAGAAAAATAGCAGCACATTCAGTCGAATTGACTCTATTTGTCCCAATACAGACAGAGGTACATTTGCCATCTTATTATATAATATTCTAATTAAAGTTATCTAAGATTGATCTAAGAATGAGCACAACCACACTTCTGTTGACAAATTATTTTTTATTTCTATCACATGAAACACACTGCAATTATCATATGGCCAAAACAAAAAAACAAAAAAAAACACAGCTGAGATTGAGTGATATATAATTTCAAATAATATGTAAATAAACTGTGAGTATAATATGTGATAACATACAGACTAAATCAAAACTTTACAATGGTGACATTAGAAGCCAAAAATCCTCAGTGCAAGAAAATAAAAAGGATTTTTATAAAATGACACAAATGCAAAATCAACACAGTTAACAAGTGAATACTCAGTAAATTATATTCTATTGCATCTAGTATTTATGAAATCAAACATACAAAATGCTCTCCAGCTAAAATGACAAATCATGGCTGAGTGAAGTTTTTATTCAGTACATGACCGGGATGCAATCCACACAGCAAGACAACAAACCCTAAAAACACGACTTACCGGATACATACAGGTAAAAGAGTAAAATATTTCTTTCCAAAACATAGACGGGAGCCTGTGTATCAAAATAGTCTGCGACATACAGAAATCTCAAGGCCTGACGTACTCACACAGTCTGTTCAGATTTCAGTCCACGTAAACTGTTACTGTGTGTTAAATCATCTGGACACTTTAATTCATCGAGTTAAAAAGAAACAGAAAGACACAGTGTGTTAGTTAAGTCCTGTACAAACACAGAGGTTAGTGTTGCTGTTTAAAACTGAAGCTTTCTGTCTTTCAAAAATCAAAAAAAGAAAAAAAAAACTACACTCACCTGAACATGAATTAAAACTCAGGATAAATAAATGATTAATCTTGAGAGATCTCTAAACCTTGTTCTCATTAACTTGTTATTGTCGACTTCTTCAATTCCTCCACTCGTCCCTCCTTCCTTTGGTTGCATCACTCTCAAGTACATTTTTCCTACTCTCAAACTCAACTCTAAAAGATAAACATCAGATCTTCATGTGTTTCTTTCCTCCGCTCCTCTTCATCTCTCCACCGTCCTTCAAGGGTAAGTCTGGTGTTATTCAACATTTTTTGTTATTGTCAAAAAATCTTATCAAAAACTAACAAAACAAACAGTGTGTATTGGTGCATTCACAATGAACACAAAGGGAGTGTTGCATGCTGAGATTAAATTTAAAGTCAATGCAAAGTCGATGCAAAGACATGAATAGACATAAATTTGCACCTGGCTATTTATGTATGCTTAGCAAAATACTCTGGGTAATTTAAGTTGGTCTTGTATTGTGGAAGGTAAACAACGTAAGGTGTGGAGTGGTAATATTTGATTTATTATACGAGAGGGTCGTGAGTGTACACAAAGTGACGTCACATCATCAGATGTGGCCCTTAGCAAGGGTTGTGTGTGGCAAGTTTTTGCCTGTCCCTGCCATAGATTGTATGAAATAATGGACGCAGCCACCGTGACATCACCCATTGGTTTGTGGACTCAGGGTTTGGATCTGACTCACGAACTATACTAACAACTTTGGGCCTTAAAGGTAGGATCTGGAGGATTTTCAAACAAAACAAAATATAGACATATACAAATGAAATCCTGCTTAATAATCACCTATGAGCTTCTACTCATGTGTGGTGGTGACTCTGTTTGCAGAGCTCCTGCCCTTTAACTGTATTTTGATGTTTTTGTGAGCTCGGACCGCTTCTGGGCGGAGATTTCCCCAGCCAATGAGAGAGCGCAGGTGCCATGCCCGAGCGTGTCCGAGCGTGCACCAGCGCGAGCCTTGCCTGAACCTCTTCTGTGAAGCCTTCTTCCGTACCTCCGGGCTCCGTACACCCGGGAGAGTTGAGCCTGATAGGAGGGGCCGAATTTGAATGTGTGTTTACAAACAGCAACTGGAAAATCCTCCAGACCCTACCTGTAATAAAATATAAATGAGTTACATAAAAATTCACCCCCTGTACAAATGTTGATATATCTACAGAGACCAAAACAATTTTTTGTACCAAACTTTAAACACATTTATTTCTGCAGTCTCTGAAGTTGCCACTTGGTACATGGACGTGATTTTACGCAGATGTGGATGGGTGAAGTACCATACTGCAGATGTGAGTACTTGCTACACTTTCCCTGCAGTTTGGGAGAATATTGGTTTGCCATAGGGAGAAACTGTACAGAGTGTACAAGATCCACCTGTTTTCTCATCACAATCCTGTGTAGGCTCACGGCTGTGCAACCATTTGTGAGGAAAGCATAACTGAGCCTTAAAGGTCCAGTGTGTTGGATTTAGGGGGATATATTGGCAGATATTGAATTTAATACGTATGTTTTCTTTAATGTATAATCAAGTGTATAATTAGTGTATTGTTACCTTAGAATGAGCCATTTATATCTACATATGGAGCGGGTCCTTGCTAACGGAGATCGCCATGTTGCATCTCCATGTTTCTACAGTCCCCAGAACAGACAAAGCAAACACTGGCTCCAGATAGGGACAATTTTGTTTTTGAGTTGGCCACCACAGTTTGTAGCCTCTCCATGAGAAGAGTGTCTGAAAATGTTTATTTTTTGTTTTGTTTTTTTGTCAAACTGCTTCATTTAGTGTTTTTACTGGTTTCAATCACCAGCTCTGTTTGTTTTGGAGAGAAAGAGACCTCTGCAAATTATTCAGCTCCCGGTAAAAACCTCCTGAACATTCAACACTGAAGGAATTCTAACCAGTTTCAGCTGGTTGCAATCTGCAGTCCTCACTACTAGATGCCACAACACCCCCTTAAATCTTACATATTGGACCTTTACAGTAATGTGCTGCCATGGACAGTATGAAAAATAATGAATTTTGCTGTCTTGGTTCGCGCTAGCTCTGTGCACAGAGCCTCAGTGTTTATATCACTTGATTCCAGCTATCAGTTGTACTGTACTACAAACCAGGTTAGCTGTTAGCAGCCTTCCCCAGTTAGTAAGCACAACTGTTAGCACCGTGGTTAAGGGCAAATATTCGCCTGTTGACAAACAAAAAAAAAACTACTCCAGTGGCTGTGTTTGGGTAGGTAAAGTGAGGTGAAAATTCACTTTGTGTTTGCTGTGAACACAGCTTTAGGGCACGGTCACACATGGGTGAATGTAGGTATGTGACCAACACCCACTGAGGCAATATTTGTGCTGAATGTGGGGAGTACCTGATGTGATGGACATGGAAAGCTAGCTTGCTAATCAATACCACAAAATGTAACGTTAATGGTACATTTCCATTGTCTTACATTCCATGCCTGTCTCCAGACTCACTGCCACACAGGCAACATCTCTCATGTCGTGCAGTTTGTATTTTTCACGGCCAATATCATGCAATATCAGCTGGTTAGACACAATAACAACCAATGTCTCCTCCACACATACTTCTTTGCCTTTTGGTTGAAGCTGTGACTTTGAAGGTAAACAAAGGTGAACTTTATGCTATGCCAAGATGTGAGGTTGCTTTACCGCCAGAAACAAATGTTTTATTCACCCCTCTGCTGGCACTGAATGGAAGTGAACAGAAGGCGAATATTCCCCGGTGTTAGTTTGGCACAAGCGAACATACCCTTCCCCTACCTTCAAGTTTTCCCCATGGGATCTTATTTTGAAAAAATAATATACACTCTTTGTTGAATCAAAAGCTAATTTTGCAAGTCAAGAAAGTCACTCAGTGAACTACATTGCTCGTCTTGCACTATACACATCACTAACACCAACATGGCTGTTACCTTGGCGTGTTTCACTTCCTTCTTCCACAATGGAAGAAAGGAATTAAAAGTAGGGATGCATGATATTGGATTTTTGCCGATATGTAACAACTCATTTGACTGATAACCAATACTGGTATTTCTAAATTGTGGGATCAATAAAGGTGTATCTTATCTTATCGATATATCCACTTTTTTCCCTACCTAATTTTAGTGATAATCAAGTCTCTTCTGTAGTGGAATTAACATCATAAAATGAATGCATACTCTTATCCTGATGGCCCCTATATGGAGACATGAAATACAATACAATACTTGTCACTGTATGTAATATTCATTCATTGGGCAAAATAAGAAGAAGCACGTCAGATGATTCTGATCATTAATTTTAAAGCCAGTATCAGCCAATACTGATGATGTGCCAATATTATTGTGCATCCTTAATTTAGAGGTTAAAATCAAGATGGGCCATGTTGAGAGCTGCAGTTATGTGAAAAGGAGAATTGGTAGGTTCTTTGAGAGTGAGCTTGTAGAGCCAGATCCATCACTTACTCAACTTTTTAGTGTGTAGTCTTTGTAATATATTACGGTATTTTACTTCAAGTGTTTAAGGACAAACTGTGACTTTCTTGACTTGTAAAATTATCTTTTGCCACGTGTAATTCATGGCAAAATTTATCTGGGCTTAAAACACTTATTTGTGTTGTACATATATATATATTTTTTTTCAAAATAAAGTCCCATGGTGGTCCACCAGAAGAGGAGGGACTTTGACCTCCCTCTTTGACTTCCTGTCTGTCTCTAAGATCCAAGCCCATAGGATCCTACTGAAGATGTAAATCTTTAAAAACACAAATATTTCATCTGTAATTCCTTGAAACAGCTGCTAACTGTAGTTTTTATCAGACAAACAGAAGAAAAATTTTTGTTGGGGACTACTTCCAGCGGCAGATTAATCCACATTTGGTGCTCTAGTGAGTATTTGTGAGTATTGATGTGTTTTTAACAACAATGGAGCTCTGTGGATCAGAGGAAGAACATATATCAGGCTGAAGATACACACATAATACTTGTTAGTTTAGGTATTTTCATGGGATTTATCGACAACAAGTTAAATCTAGAATATCACCAGACCTTAATTTTAAACTTCCAAGCCCAAATAACCAGACTTAATTGCTTCTGTTTTCACTTTATAGATAAATTTATTCTGCTTGAAGTGCACTCCTTAAAATCAGAGTCTATAATCTGATCTAGTTTTGTTTGCAGGCCATTAAAAAACTACAGATGCTTCTAAACTCTCAGACCTTCTTTCTTCATGCATCCTTCCGCTCTCATCTCTAGCTGTAATATTTGACATAACTTATTGACGGCATGCTAGATTTATACCTTTGCTTCTTGTCTCTCCTGTTTTTCTTTCCACCTCAACAGAAGGAAATCACTGTCCTCAGATTTCTGTCAGCTGGTGTCAGCAGTCCGTAATGTTCAGGGTATTCCAGCAGATGTTTTGTAATCAAGTGTCAGCTGTCAATATACCTTTTTTGATGAATCTAATTCCATTCAGATCCTTGACTACTTCTTCTTTAGCTAGTGACTGCCTACGTCTCCCAAAATGACAACACAGAAATACAAATATCTAGAAATGCTTGATGGAAATGCAGCCACCTCCCTCAGTCATACCACACCCTGCCCCTGTAGCTGCATTGCATTCTGGTCTATTTCCTGCTCCAGTGGAGGTAAAACTTGTCTCTGAGTTGTTCTCTGTGATGGATCTTCCTGTGAAAGATGCTTAATATTAACTGTTTAAGATATAACTGATTTTCTGCTTTTTAAACTCCACTTGAACATCTGAAAACATCTGGATGTGATGTCACTTTGTATTTTCTATCCCTGAAATGCAAAGAACATCACAGACTGCTGATATTATAACAGTGAGGGTGGATTTCATTCTTTACGTTTCACCGCTGCCTGACCCTCACCCTCCTTCCTCCTCTAGTTGCAACACTCCACGTAGTTTGCCGGCAGCATGCCAGACTTGCCGGTCCGCTGCACGGTGCCGTACATCCAGCCCTCATCGATGGGCTGAGCGTTAATGATGACATCACCATCTCTGAACGAGACCTCATCATGGTCCTGAGCCGCGTAGTCGTACAGTGCCCTGTAAACACGCTACAAACAATATGAAGAGACAGTGAGAAGTTAGACTTTGATGTGTAATATTTAGTTGACCATGATCATGGTGCTGTTAGTTAGCTTCCAGTTAAGGGAAAGGTAACTTTGCTGAGCAACTGATCCTTGGATTTTAGCACATCTTACTGTTGTGAAAGCACCTTGACACTGTCTGAAACTCACTTTCAAACTTGTTAAATCTTTATTTTTTTTGTGAAATCTTTATACAAGTCTAAGAATATTTGATCTGGACTTAGTCTACTGTGGTCTACATGTGAAAAAACACATTGACACATCCCTTTTTGCATTTTTACAAATAGAATAAAGATTTCACAGATTGGAAAATGGGTTTCAGACAGCGCTGAGACTTTACCTTAAAAGTGTAATGTAACATTAAGATGAGCAAAAAGCCAAGGATTGGTTGCCCAGCAAAGTTACTTTTCCCTTAACTCTTCCCTTGACTGCTGAATTGGAAGCAGCGAATGGGAACTGGGATACAACTTTCATTTCTAATTAACCTGCCCATTAAACTTTATGTACTTTTGGTCTCTTAATGAAGGGGAATCTTAAATCTGCAGCATCCTGTAGTTGGGTTTTTAAGGTTTCCCACACATTCATTTATTTGTGGCACACTGCCATAACACCATCATTCGCTGTCACATATGGATTTTCTTTCCTTTTTTTTTTTGTAGTTGCAGTTTTCTCTCTTTAAGAAAAAAAAATATTAAGAATTGGTTCATTGACATAACCAGTAGGTGGCGCTAATTCTTTAGTCAGGAGGCCACTGCAGAGGAGGAGGGTGCAATGACATGTCCATATTAAAACAAGTCAACCTCAAATGTAGGATGTATAATAGTGGAGACCAGACGAGAAATAGAGAGATCCCAACAAGTTATATTACAGCTCTGTGCTGTTGGAAGAGTTAGGTAACAGCCCCTAGTGCACACATAAGCGTGCCAAAAGCCTCCAGAGAATATGAAGAGAATGCAATGACATACATCACCATTTACTGAATCTGTTTCTACAGTCCAACTTTTCTACTTCCATTATAGGTAAAACCTTTTAGGGGATTTTTTTTTCAATTTTTTTTTTCATTTCAACTTAGGTTTTTGTATGTGCAAAATACAAATGCACATTAAAAGAGGTGGATGGAAACACATCAAGTGTAACTTTGTGTTGGCCTCTTTCCTGTTTTTATGGAAGCCCATTTCTGCCAATGTGATTAAAAAAAAAAAAGATCCTGTAAGTCATAAAAATGAGACACTTTCTTGAAATAATGAATAAGTACTTCAAAATAATGAGAAACTACAGTGAAATTGTAGAAGGGACCCAAAAAGAAAATACTGTGGGTGTTTTCCTAATTAGAGCAAAGATGACTGCAAGTTGGTACGTACCATGGTGGCTGAGTGAGGCGGGGAGGTGACGGATCTGACAGATGACATGCTGGTCTGGTGCATGTAGCCGTGATACTGCTGCTGCTGCTGCATGTGGACGCCCTGATGATACGCTCCAGGGAGGACTGGAGCTGGACCAGAAACAGAGACAGAGAGAATATAAGTCTGTTTGTCTTCCCTGCATCTGTTTGAGACAAAGACGAGCCTCCTCTGCTGTGAACACACTGTAAGTTTAAGGAAAACTTTATGTAATTCAAACTGTTAAACAACACAACCTGTAAGAAGACTGTGAGTTAATTTTATTTGTGGATTAGAGAATTCAAACAACGAGCAATACACAAACACATGCATGTCTCTGTCAGCGCCTTCATCCTGTTACTGTGTGTCTGTAAGTGAGGAAGACAACATGAGTGAAGATACCAGGAGTTTCTGCGCTGCTACGGTCCCAGAGGTCAGAGGTCAGAGAGCTGACGGACTGAGCCTGGCTGTGGGTGAGCGACTGCTGGGAGTGCTGCCTGCTCAGTCTGCGGTCAGCCCGCTCTAACAGGCAGCCACCACCAGGAGGCAGCACAGGGCAGAAATAATCATTGAAATAAGAGAGAGAGGGGAGGAAAAAAGAGGAATAAAAGTGAGCCAGGAAAGAGAGAGCAATTTTTTTTATTTCATAAGAAAAAACACAGATAAATATTGATGTCTTTAATAGATGAGGCTAATGACATTTTTCTTATTGTCAACAGGTCCCATGAAAAGAATGAACACTGTGTTAGTCTGTCTCTTAATACTGTCTGACTTCCTGTCTGTGTCTCTCAGCTCCAAGCCCATTGATTTCTACTAACAACTTAAATCTTTAAAAGCACAAGTATATAGTTTCATCAGTAATTTCCTACTACAGCAGTTCACTGCAGGCTGAGCAAGGAATTCCAGGCGTCCTTCTCCCCAGCAACACTTTCCAGCTCCTCCTAGGGAACCCAAGGTGTTTCCAGGCCAGATAAGATATATAATCCCTTCAGCAGGTTATAGGTCTGCCCTGGGGCCTCCTAAAAGTTGGGCATGCCCAGAACACCTCTAATTGGAGGCGCCCAGGAGATATCCTGATCAGATGCCCGAACCACCTCAACTGACCCCTTTCGACATGAAGGAGCAGCAGCTCTACTCCAAGCTCCTGATGCCTGAGCTCCTCACCCTATCTTTAAGGCTGAGCCCAGTCACCCTACAGAAGAAACTCATTTCTTGTTCTCACTTGTATCTGCGATCACATTATTTCTGTCACTACCCAGAGCTCATGACCATAGGTGAGGGGTGGGATGTAGATGGACTGGTAAATCGAAAGCTTTGCCTTCCAGCTCAGCTCCATCTTCACCACAACAGTCTGGTGAGGCGCTTGCCTCACTGCAGATGCTGCACCATCTCACACTCCATTTTACTCTAACTTGTGAACAAGATTCCAACATACCTGAACTACAAAGCTAGCTATATCTTAAAGACCACATAAATAAAAGAATAAAATGCATAATTTCAGTGACCAGTTACGTTTGAGGTAGAGACAAATGTGTTTTGCCACTGATAGCAGCTACCTGACATCCCCTTGGATGCAGTGATGCAAAATGGATCAATTTTTGAAATGAAAAAGGGATGTTCAGTCTGGATTCACAATGGCAGCTTGTGATGCTGAACTGAATACACAGTGTGTTAAATGCAGCAAAATCCTGTCAAATGAGGCGGTAAAACCATCAAAACTTCAGAGACACTGGGAAGCCAAAAAAAAAAAAAAAAAAAAAGAGGAAAAGTTACAGGCCATCACAGCATTAACAGCTGACAGTGGCACAGAACATATTAACTGCCCACTTTATTTTGTCTCTGTTTTTTGTCATGTTTTTGTGTCATTTATTGGAAAGGTGAACCTCAGATTTTTTTTAACAATCATATGTGTACCTTTAGTTACAAAAGGCTGAGAACCCTGCTTTAATGAGCATTTGCGGCAGCAGGATAGTAGATGTGGTAGTGAGTCAAAATAAACTTTTAAACTACGATGGAGCTCTATGGCACAGAGAAAGAGGATATATCAGGCTGTAGATACACATTATACGTGTTAGTAGATACATTCACTATTGGTTTGAGTCTGAACATGGGCTATGTTGACAGTAAGAAAAATATCTATCTATAAAGTAAAAACAGGAAGAGTGTGAATAAATAGAAATCAGAGATTGCTATGGATCCTGCACACTGGTGTTAATTAAAACAAAAGATCTGTTTAATAATTGTTGTGGTCAATTACAACCCCAAAAGCTTTTTTTTTCTCTCCAGCAGCCACTGGCTGGCCTGTTATTATGTTAGAAAGAGGGGAGTCAGGTGAACTACCGGACATCCTGCGGAGGCTCTTGGACTGGATGTTGTCCTCCAGAGGGTCAAAATCAAAGATGGAGCCAGGGTCTGTCCTCCAAACCTTCAGGTCTTCAGAGAGGAGGGAAAGGTCATTTGAAGGACTATGTTTATACAGACTGTGATCATCCAACATGTTTTCATCATAGACTGTATAGAAGTGGATGTAGCCTCCAGGTCTAAAAAGTGAAGCCAATGCTGAAGTGCCTTTAAACTGCTTTCTTTCTAATGGCCAGCAGGGGGCGACTCCAATGGTTGCAAACATAGAGTGTATAAAATAATAGACGTAGCCATCATCCATTGGTTTGTGGGCTTTTGTTTTGAAGCTTCCAGTTTTGCATTTTGGCCATTGACATTTCAGATTTTTGGAGCCAGAAGTGTCCATATTTGGACAAGAGGGTTTAGCCAACCCTAATGCTAGCTGCTGGCTAAGTTAGGGTGTATTTACAGCTATGACTAACTAGTGCTAATGCTAATTTTCGCTAATAAACATGGCTTAAACCATTAAAATAAAATTTATTTTCTAAAAAAGTGAACATTGGACTCTTTAGAGTGGTGATACTCTTGTGGCCTGTTGACCAAATCTGGCCCGCAATAGGGTGCAGAGTGGCCCACCAACCATTTTCTAAATCACAGTGAAAATAAATTGATTCACACTGGGATTTTTATTTTGTACTTTGAATGTGAATATGGTGCCAGAGTACTTAAAACCCATTTGAAAATAGAGCTTGTTTATTAAAAAAAGTGCCAAGGGAGGATCCAGGATCCAGGCTGAGCCCCAAATATCCTGAAATCCTAGACACGCCCCTGCGTACACCTGACCAGTTTGTGGCTGCTACTTCTAAATTTGCCTTGTTTATTCATTTTATCTGAGAAATATTATTAATGTTTGTTTACTGACTGGCCCCTGGCCTCCTGCTATTTTGCAATAGTAGCTCACAGGCTGAGCATGTTGAGTGTCCCTGCCTTAGGGAGTCTTTTAGTACAACCAAACACTGAGCAAGACTTTTAGAGGCAAACAAAACTTAACGATTAACTTTCATGAACCTAAAACACAGTAGAATAGCAATAGCTATGCCTATACTCTATGACTCTGGGGTTACACCATGGTGACATTATCACTGTGGTAGCAACTTGTCAACGGACAGCATCCACCTATTACTCAAAGTGGCCACACCCTTTTAATTATACATAACTTTAAGCCTTAATAAAAGGTAAATGGATGAGTTATTTAAAAATTCAGCCCCGTACAGTTCTCATGAAAGTTGAAAATAGCTATAGAAATCAAAACTGTTTTTTGTACCGGACTGTAAACATGTTTATTTCTGCTGTACAGTTGGGGATTTTAATGTAGAGTCTATGGGGACTGACTCGCTTTTGGAGCACCTCAGTGTTGGCTTCACTTTTAAGCCCTGGAAGTTGCCATTGATGGCAAAAAGAAGTCTGATTGTATAGAAGTCTGAGAAGATGACCCTGCTTTTTACTTGATTTATTACCTCAGTAAACACTTTCCTTATGAGTTTATGGTCTATATCCATAGCGTTAAGTCTTCCTCAATACAGTATGTTCATTTTGTAAATTATGGTACCACTAAGAGAAAAATAGACCATGTGTGATTTACAAGTAACTACAGTGACGACCAGTCAGTCAGGATAGAGGCGTGGCAATGTGTGTCCTCCACAGTACCACCCTCTCGTCCAAATATGGTCACTTCTGGCTCCAAAAATGATCAGTGGCCAAAATGCCAAACTCAAGGCTTCAGAACAGGAGTACACAAACCAGTGGGTACATTCACTTCTTTTATACAGTCTATGGTGTACACTTCTTTATATCAGGGTAATCAGAAAACTCTGCTCCTGTTCAGAGTTTTGTTGCATCTGAGTAAACAAATCACATTTAAGCTCTAATAAAACTACATAATTGTGAAAGACAAATAACTGAAACCACAAAAGTCAGAGCCTGGATCAATCCACTTTGCCTGAAAAAAAATGCATTATATCAAAATATCAAAACAACTTGAAGAGTGAGAAAAAAATTGATCAACTGTGACATCTGGTTTCATTCAGATTTATGACTTCCTTTCTCTTCACTTTTTAAGTTCCAATATTATTGTCCCAAATAATGAAATAAAAGCTTAAACCTGTTGAATCTCATTTTCAGAAACCTGGCTGCTGCTCACCATTGGTTTTCCTCAACAAAATGACAAAACTACGACTACTACTACCCAAAAGATTTCTGTTTCGTACATTTAGATTTGTACACTAATAATTGACTGAGAAAGTCAGGGCTGATTTTGTGATGACTATGCTAATTATCAGCTTTCTGCCAACATTAAAACACTTAACCTCTGAAAAAAATATATTGTACTTGCTCACATTATGCTTCAGTGCTCCCATCCAAGCTTAGTTTCTCATCAAGCTACTTATGGCTCTCTACAGTATCCACTTTTTGTCCTTTAATAACGGTGTAGGGAAGTGGAAGAATGACTTTCTGGCATATATTAAAAGTCTGAGGAAGAGCCATGGGCTCAAAACCTCACTTTGCATTAAAATCCTTCTAAACATTGGATTATTTGTTTTCTATTTGCCAGATGTTTCTTTGGTCCAGCACCCAGACTGGGATGTTTGTGTCTTTTGTAGTGTTTTTTCTCTGCAGCAGATAACCATTTTATTTAACTGGAGAATTAAATCCAAGAAGGCTTTTATTGTCAAACAACACTGTATGCAGGACTTGTTGAGTTTGAAATGAGTCAGTGAACCCTATGCAATCACAAACAAGTCAGTTAATCTTAAAAAAATCCCTACAATTTCAACAATAAAATGTCATCAGTGGTAACCATGGTAAGAGTGGATGTGGGGACCATCCAGTCAGAGGGGGGAGCTAACATCTACTGGATACAGTTCGAGGTAACTGACCTACAATGATGCCTCCTGGTCGTCTGTCCATCTCCATGGCCTGGGGGTGGATCCCTTTGCTGTATCCTGCCTCTCCCATCATCTGATTGGCTCTCTGGTACCGCTCCATGCTGGGGTCGTCCAGTCCTGGCGTGCAGCCTCGTCCGCGTGCTCGCTCAAAGTCCTCGTGGTACTTGGCCTGTTGGAGGGAGGAAATGAACCATAACACACATTTACGTCACGGAAATGAGACACACAACAGTTAATACACACATTGGTGTAAGAAATTACACACACACATACACACACACAGGTCAGGGCGCACTTGGTCAGTGAGCAAATAAAACACACATAGGAAATGTTTTCAAAATCTTTTATTATTAAAACACTCGCCACACACGCACGCACGCACACACACACACACACACACACACACACACACACACACACACACACACGTAAATACAGTCTTACATCCTCATACTCTTGTGTGACTGATGTGCAGCTTTATATTAGCTTAAGGCATCTACAGAAACTTTGAGAATTCTATTCAGCTCTTAATCTCAGACTGTAAAAATAATGTATGTAGCTACCATGATGTCCGCCCCACCCCCCTCGCTGTACAGTTGTCAACAATGTTAAATTTAGCTATGGACACCCAAACTGCTTTTTGCACCAGAATGTAAACATGTTTATTTCTGGTGTAAAGTTGGGCATTTTAACAAGGGGGTCTATGGGGACTGACTCGTTCTTGGAGCCAGTCTCAAGTGGACATTAGAGGAACTGCAGTTTTTGGCACTTCTATGTTGGCTTCATTTTTCAGCCCTGGAGGTTGCTGCTTGCCTCTAAACCAACTGGATCCTCAGGGATGAGTTCCAAACTTAGACCATAATAAAAAAATATAGTTCCTCATTTAAATGACCACACTAAAAAAAGTCAATTACACCTGACAGAGAGCAGCTTTCAAGTTTTGTAATTATGTTACACATAATTATAAATGATGAGAAACATGATTTGGGTTAAAAAACAGTGAACTTATTCTTTATTATTTAATATTCTTTTTGGCCAAAACACAGTGCTCTCAATGAAACAGGTACGATCTGTAAACCCAAACCAATCTGAAAGTAGGATGGACTATAGAGTCTAAATCTGAGACCTGGTTCTGTTTCTGAAATTGGATCTGCCTGAAGACCACACACACACACACACACACACACACAAACACTGCTCTGTCCTCCATGCTGTCTGGTGCTCGGTGTTAGTGGTGGTGCATCAGTCCCACCCATGGTGCCACGTCACTCGTGTTAGCTTCTCCCACAGCCCAGGCAGGAGCCACTGCAACCATGCCGCTACCATGGAGACGGAGTCCTGTGACTTCCTGACACGCCTGTACTCAGGTGTGTCCAGCTCAGTGCAGCTGCGTCCTCTCATCTCCTGCAGCCCACGCTGGTACTTCACCTGTTTACACACAAAATTATGTAATATTATCCCGAGAGGTCTGTGTATTTGCTTGTGTGTGTGTGTGTGTGTGTGTGTGTGTGTGTGTGGCTTGCCGAGCTGATGTTCTCCTGGTTCTGTCTGACTCTCTCCAGTTCTGGAGTCACTCCGACACTGGAGGCCTTCACTGCACTCTGCTTGTACTTGACCTGGCAGGAAGACGGACAGGAAACATTGTGTTATAGAGGCCAAAAATCAGACTGTGTCAGATCAGGTGATCATACGGACATAAAAAAGTGGCGTAGTCTGTTTTTTCTAGTGGGTACACAGTGATGACACACCACCCATAGATACTGTTGGCACTGTTTGGCTTTCTGCATGTCAAATAAGCCAGAGTTAAAGGGTTTTTTGAACCTGGACCCTATGTTTTTGTGTCTAATTGACTAATGGGAACAACATTTTTTTTTTAACTGGTCCAGTATCGAGTGAGAGCAGCAGCCAACCACACACACACACACACACACACAGAATCATTGCTCATTTATCTGTTCATTCATTCACTGAGCTGCGAACACTTTGGCCTCCCATTCCATCACTTCCTAATAACACCACCCATCTTCTGTTACCAACACACACCTTCATTCACACTGTCCATGTGTGTGAGTGTGTGTGTGTGTGTGTGTGTGTTCATGTATGCTCTCACTGAGCTGATGTTCTCCTGGTTCCGTCGGACTCGCTCCATCTCAGGCGTATCCATGACAGCGGTGCCACGCCCCACTTCCTCTTTGTACTGGACCTGAGTAGAGCAGAGATCAATACTGAGGAACCAGCTGCAGCTTTAAATGAGCAGTACAACAGCTTTTTACAGCTCCACAATGTAGCTAATTAATGACATTAACTTCATGATTTCTCAGTCAACTTGGGATTTCTGAACACACAACAAAACACATTTTACAGTCTGAAATCACTCTCCTAATCTTTTGCCACTTTGATACATTAAAGAAATTTTAAATAATGCAAAAAACAACCAAAAAAAACCAAACAAAAACCCCTGTCAGGGGTATTGAAATCTCACCCTACAAAGCATGTTTTAATATTACTTATCATTTATTATTATATTTTAATATTTCTATACATGATTATTAAGTATATATGAGCTAATTTATGTGTTTACATACATCACTGATCTTCTTGGCATTCTCCCTTGCAAGGACGATCTCTGGCGTCTCAGTGACTGAAGACATCAGGCCTCTCATCAGCTTGGAGTCCCAGCAGTAGCGCAGCTAAGGGGCGACAGAGAGCTACTTTTAAAACACTGAGTCAGTGTGCATTAAAGGGAAACACAGGCCAGTTTACACATAAAGACAATTAAGCTGTATTTGGACGGGACTAGAATTGTCTCTGAAGTGTGTGTTTGCTCACAGAGCTGATGTGTCTCTGGTTGGCTTTGACTCTCTCCATCTCAGGTGTCTCTGACACCAGACTGTAGTGTCCCTTCAGACGCTCCGCTTCGTCCTTATACTTCTTCTGCAAGGAGAAAAGGAACACATTAGAACCTGACCTTAAGGCCCTCACTGTCCAATATACTTTTACGCCTCTTTGTTGTTTTTAAACAGTAATTTTTGTTTTATACACACACCTGGCTGTAGACGTCTTTGAGGTAGGAGGCGTGCAGCAGCTCAGGAGTGTCTGTAACCGTCCCATATGAGTTTTCTCTGAGCTGCTCCGTCTGCTTGTAGGACCTCTGTGACACACACACACACACACACACACACAAATTGTACATTATGATGTAGTGGATACTCTACATTTCTTTATGTTTAACAACACTGTGGTTAATGTGTGGTCATGTTTAGGCCCAAAAACCACTTGGTTATGGTTAGGGAAAAATATGTGTTTGCCTAAAATACTCGGTTTTGGGGATACAATACCCACTGGAAAAAAAACAATCACACGTTTGGTGGCTAAAAAGTCACTAGAAATGCAGCAATGCCTCGCTACAACACAAACAGTTTTGTTGTTTGTTGGTCTTGAACAGTAGTCTGCTGCTTGGCAGGTGTTCTGCCTATAGGTGACACTCCCTCCACCTCCTGATGACAAAGTCAGCTCATCTCACTTTATTGATCCTTTGGGTGAAAATCCCACACTACCTGACAACAAATATGGTAAGAAACAAGCCGTAGCTTCAGGTCAAATTTTCAGTTCAGGACTTTAACTTGTAACAGAGAAATACACTGTGGTATTACTACTTTCATGTGAACAATTAAGGATTTCTTCCACCACTGCCGGCCCCCTCTTTGTTGTTTTTTAAAAAGTATGTTACTTACACACACACACACATACACACACAGACCTGACTGTAGACGTCTTTGAGGTAGGAGGCGTGCAGCAATTCAGGAGTGTCTGTAACCGACCCATATGAGTTTTCTCTGAGCTGCTCCGTCTGCTTGTAGGACCTCTGTGACACACACACACACACACACACACACACACACACACACACACACACAATCAGTTTATTTATTTGTGGCCATCACTTTTGTTGTTTCACTATGTCATTCTAAATCAACCCAGTCGCCAGAAAAAGATTTGGCATTGTACGTTTCTGCAACTACAGCTACATTACATCTGTATGTTATTATGTAGTGGATATGTTGAAATTTTCATTTTACGCTGTGATTTATGTCAGGTTAGGTTTAAGCCAAGCATGTCCAAAGTCTAGCCCAGGGTACAATTGTGGCCTGCAGACCAATTTTACCTGCTTTTTACTGAGAGGTGAAACAGTTGTGGTTGTGTCATTTGTATGTGTTTTTTCTTTTTTTGCAAATAACCCATATGATGCAGAGAGAGGCAGCTGACTCCCAGGTATATTCAAATGATCTTGTCTGGCCCCCATTCAAAAAATGTTTGAACACCTCCGGTTTAAGATCAAAAACTCTTGGTTATGGTTAGGAAAATATCATGTTTTGGCTTAAAATACCCAGGTCAGTCAGGACCATTTTAGTCAAAGAAAACTTTATTTCCATTTGCAGTATTATATTTGGTGGTATGGCTCTGTTCTGGTGCCTCTCTGCCTTTCCTAGGCCTACGCAGAAAGCCTAAGGTGAAGAGAGCACACCTCTCCACCCTTCCATGTGCCTACATGGAAAGCCTAAGGCAAAGAGAACACACGTCTCTCCCCCTAAACATGCTTACATGGAAAGCCTTAAGGCAGAAAAAGCACACATCTCTGCCCTTCCACATGCAAAAGGAAAGCCAGAGGCAGAGAGAGCAAACCTCCCTGCTCTTCCATGCGCCTAAATGGAAAGCTGCAGGGACAGCAGTGGCAAAGACCCCCCGGGAGCAGAACAGAGCAGCATCAATGCTAAACAGAAATGACACTGATAAGTCAGACACAATATGTAAAGGAGGAGCTGGGGTGGAGGCTGGTTGCAAAGCGGCTTGCACCAACAGTAGGCAGGCCAGAGCAGTTTAAAAAGGTCGCCCTGAATGAGATTTGCCAATTGGTTGCACAGACAGGAATCATGTGATCTTATCAGCTCACTCCCTGCCATCAATCAGCTGCTCCATCAGTTGATTGGGCTGTTTAAAATCAGCTGATGTAGCTAGGATGTGAGCTGAGCTTGACATTGTGTCATGTCTGAACTAACGCTATACTCAATATTTACATGCATACACAATACGATGTGGGTACCCCGCAGGAAAAACAGTGATGGATCGCTATACCACCCTCTCCTCTACCTCCAGATGATAAAGTCAGCTCATATACTATGTTATTTTAGAAACCTTGATATGATACGTATGAAATGCACAAATGTAACGTATTTGCAAATAGCAGGATTTTCTTCTGGTGACTGGGCTGCCTAAATGCACTGATGTGTTTTTCACACCTTTGTGCTAATCCCAATCTTTAAACAAACCTTATAATGTTAAATTACATCTCCAGAAATATGTGGTGAAACTTTTTTTTTTGGGGGGGCATTTTTAGCCTTTATTTGACAGGACAGACAAGCGTGAAGGGGGGAGAGAGAGAGGGAGTGACACGCAGCAAAGGGCCACAGGCAACAGCCCTGTACATGGGGCGCCTGCTCCACCACTAAGCCACCGAAGCCCCATATGTGGTGAAACTTAATACTATAACTGATAATGGTCACATAAAAAAGTTATTAAGAAAACAGTTGGCAAGACAAGCTAATGACTTGAGCTTTGACTCATTTAAAATATGAATAATAAAAGCCTCTAGCTGAAATGAAAATAAACTTTGACACAGTGGGTTACCTGGCTCTGGATCTCTGAGGCTCTCTTGGCTCTCTGTATCTCGAGGACGTCAGCACTTAGCTCCATGCCTTTACCCACGATCTCCCTCTCTAAGTCCCTGCGGTACTCCTTCTGTAGATGGCAGACACACCAACAACACACATCAACACTCTAGGTAAAGTTGCAGCACTTGTACTTAGTCAGTGTCTGCTCTGTGTGTGTGTGTGTGTGTGTGTGTGTTTTACCTGGTTCAGTATCTGATTGGCTTTTTTAACCCTCAGCAGCTCAGGTGTTTCCTCCAGCCCGATGCCAGATAAGCCCCGTCCCTTCACTTCCTGCTCCAGGTCCTTCCTGTACTCCTTCTACACACACACACACACACACACACACACACAGAATGAAAAATATAAAAAGATCATGCATCTTAAGTTTTTCATCCTGATAAATGATCAGTTTAACTTTTTTAATGCATTATGCTATGCATGAGATATCAAAGGCATTAAGACATCACAGAGCAGTGATACCAAATGATTAAATGGATAAAGAAAAACATGTTACACAACATCTTTAAGTTTATTTCTTTCTTTGCATCAAATTTTAGCCTTTTTTCCTGTGAGATACATAACACTTTGACTTTTTATGTCCTCTGAAAATAATGAAAATAAGTAAAATATGGGATACTTTCACTTTATAAGTCCTCAAAAACATCATCAAAATAAGTAAAATACTGGATACTACAGATTCCTGTTTCAAACTATTTAGAAAAAAAATGTTTTTCAGTGCCATATTTCATTTCATCTATTTATTTGTTCTTGTGTGTGTTACCTCACTCAGCAGGCTGCTGGCATGGCGGGCTGTCAGGTATCCAGGTGTCTGGTCTACATCCACCAAAGCCTTCCCCTTTATCTGCTCCTCATAGTCCTTCCGATACGCACTCTGAGGGAGAACGACATACAGACACACACACATTGTGGAGCAGGTTAATATCGGATAGACCGTAACTGCTGAAAGCACAATAACATGCGTATCACTTGCAACCACAATCTACCCAGTCTAAAGGTCCAGTTCACCAAAGATGTTGCTCTAATTATACTACAGCGCAAATGCACTCAAAAAGTTTTGCAGCTGAATACAATTTACCAATTGCATTTTTGTGGCAAAGTATGAATGTTGTCTTAGCTCCAAGAACACAGCAGAGCAACAACAGAGAGATTTAGAGATTTGTGTTTTGTTTTGTAACATAGAGAGGTTTTTGTGTTTTTGTTTCATGAAGTCTGTTTGTTTATAGTTTAATTTTTTTCACAGTGGTTGTCTTTATTAGTTACTTAGTAATTAGTCAACATAATGGCCAGATAAAATGTTGCAATAATACATTTCTATAAACCATGGACACCTGACATTTGTAAGTTATTATATAACGGATATGTTGAAACTTCACAAATCTTTATGTTTCAGCAACACTGTGATTAATGAGTGTTTATGTTTAGGCACACCTTGGTTATGGTTAGAACAAATCCTGCGTTTAGTGGCACTATCCTGGCAGGAAACGCAGTGATGTCTCAGTGAAAAACAACTGCTTTTTGTGCCACTATCCCAGCTGGAAAACAGCCATAGGTTTCTGAAAAACACCCATGTTTGGGGTCTAAAAAGTCACTGGAGAAAATAATCTTAGGTCTCTAAAGGACACCCCAGTTTGGCATTTGTTGTTCTTAAACAGTGGTCTGCAGCTTGACAGCCTTCTCACCTAGGTGTCATCAATCAATCAATCAATTTTATTTATAAAGCCCAATATCACAAATCACAATTTGCCTCAGAGGGCTTTACAGCATATGACATCCCTCTGTCCTTTGGACCCTCACAGCGGATAAGGAAAAACTCCCCCAAAAAAACCTTTAATGCCATCCACTATCCCTTCCACCTCCTAATGACAAAACCAGCTCATATACTACATCACTCATTTTCTGTATTGTATTGGCTGTTTGCAGTAACATACAATGCCAGAATTTTCTTCTGGCAACTGGGTTGAGTTACTACAACTCAACCAGCATCTACTGAACTCCATACATATGTTTGATTTCTCTCCTGGTGCTATCCTGCTACAGGGCAGTCCTTCCAATTAAAAATAAGGACACATGATCACTTTAGACACCTTTAACCCAACAAAATCCCTGTTAAACATTGCTGGACCACATAGAGAGCAACTGCACATGTTCAGTGAGTATTGTGAAGATAAAGAAACGCACACTCTTTGAATGTTAGCATCTTCTAGACACTCAAGTGTCAACAGTTTGTATCAGAGGGCAGAGCTGAAGAAAGAGTTTTACCTCGCTTTGCATCTTCTGTGCTTCTTTAGACACTTTGTAGGACTGAGTATCTCCAAACTCCATCTGAGAGCGACCTTTGTTCCTCTCATACTCCTCTCTGTACTTCACCTGAAGCAACAAACATTCGTTCATTTACTGATGAACAGTGAGAACATCAGCAGCAAGAGAGGGGCTACATTAGTGTGTGTACACTGACCTGACTGTGCAGCACTGCATTCTCCTTATGGTGGAGCTGTTCAGCTGTGTCCAGAGCTGTATGGTACAGAGCCTTTGTCTGCTCGTACTTCTTCTTGTACTCCACCTGAACACACACACACACACACACACACACATATATTTGTACTTTAAAACCTGTGAGGACCATCCGTACTGTGTAGTGAAGCAGGTAAAGGATGGGGTCGTACGTTGCTCTGCAGCTTGCTGGCGTGTAGAACGTGCTCCAGCTGCAGGAGGTTGGGCATGTCTGAAGAACCCTCAGGTTTGTGGCTCTGGTTGGTCTTATACTTCACCTGGAGAACAGAACAAGTGTCCATGTTAGTGCTAAAGATTCTCAGATGATTTTAAAATGATTAATTAAGGGGTAACATATCACTCTATTCCTGGAATTTCTGGCCATTAAAGGTTTGATTTTAAAATCAAAATGATGTGTAACACATCCTCTTAAAAGCACTCTCTTTGAGGGGAATAAGACCCAATACAAAACATACAAAGCATCAACTGCATAAAGCCAGGGGGCTTTGAGTGTTATTTTGGTGGTTGGAGGAGGAGGAGGAGGGGCACAGTAAGGGTGATCTACTGCACTTGATGTCCCTCCTGCTAAATGCTGCTCTGCAATCGTCCCTGTTGTTGTGATTCAACCAGTAAACTGCCATATTAGCTTAAAAAGTAAGTTGGAACATACAACTGCAGGTGAAAAGTTGATCAAGGTTACTGCAAAAAGGAGCAGTGAGTAAGATATAGAGGCATCAAGCAGTGAGGTCGCAGACTGCAACAAACTGAGTACCCCTTCCTTTATCTCAGAACCCATTGGCTATCATTCTGACACTATTTTATATTCAGTTATATTCTGCATTTATATACAGATACATAGAGACGGACAACCTACAGGAAAATATGCACATATCTGATTTAGAAAATTAAGAACAAGCTAAATCATCGTCAGATGATAGCCTATGGGTTCAAGGACTGCATTTTGGCCAGTGCGTTCCACCTCTTTTGCTCTTAATATGTACTGTTTCTCTAGATACAACCAAAGCCTGCTCAAACATGATTGGCTGGTGGTCTTTAGGTAACATAAAAATGAAAAAGGCCCTCTCCAGAGCCAGTGTTTGGTTCGTCTGTTCTGTAAAAACGTGGCAGTGCAACATGGTGATCGCTGTGGACGAGGACCCACTCCCTGTGTAGATAGGATACTATCGGTTGGACAAAACAAGCAACCTGCAGCCTCATTTTGGCCTTTAGGGAAGTGTAGCCACATTTCCATGAAACACTTTTGGTACAGTACTCTTAAAAACCCATAAATGACCCGTGCAGTGTCTGAAATTACCTTTTTGACTCACTGGCGAAGGGAGACGGTAAATGGAAAAAGTCCATCGGCCAAGCATATTTTTTAGCAACCAAAATAATAAATTGCATTTCTGTGTCATATATATACATTTGTTTCAGAACATTTTATTGAGATAATAAGGTATCATATTGAAGAAAAACTTAAAGAAGAGGGCAAAGCAAAATTTGAATAAAAAATATTGTAATATATCAGCTATATAACAACTCATCACCACAACATCAGCATGTGAATAAGTTCCCTCTGGTAAGCAGTGATGCAGTGTATATGCCTGGGGCTTTTATTGTGAAAGGGAAGACCAGAAGAAGTAAAGCTGTAATGTGCTGCTGCTGCTAATGTGTCTTATCTTTTTCGCTCCTGCTCCATCCCGCTTTCGCTGTATTTCCTCTTCACCAATGATGGAGAGGAACGCCTCCACCTTGTTGATCAATGGACTGCAGTGTTTCTAGCTCAACCCTTTGGTATTGGATTAGTGTGCTAGCTACCTCAACAGAGGGGTGATGAAAAATACAGATCGAATGGGCTGGTTCTATTGCTATCATTCAAATGTTTTGAAAATGGAAACGCAAAAATACCCATTCTAACTTGTAACAAACTGAACTGAACTGACTGCCTCATGGAAACAAAGCTTGTGATGAACATTTTCACTATTTTCTGACACTGTATTGACCAACACATTAATTGGGAAGATAATTGTCAGCTTGAACAATAATAGTTGCAGCCCTCATTTACATACAATTCAGACACATAGCTACACATGTGCTCAAAAGTCTCAGGATCCTGAAATGGTATTTGTGGACAGGAAATGATGGCAGACGTTGGTGACAATTCCCTGATATTCAACTGCTGATATTCAGACATAATCACAGTTATTCACTGTGTCATGTTAGTGATGGTCTTTCCTGTCTAGAAGAAGCTGTACTATGTGTTTTGGAGCATGTCTACCTGACTGACAGCCAATCACACTGAGGCATAGTGACTGCCTTCTGCTCACTCCTCCATCTTTGCTAAAATTAGGACTTCCTGGCTCCAGAGGTGGCAAACAGTAAAGCCATCCTTCAGCCTTTAAGACACCACAAAACACTTTTCAGCCTTCCTCGTTGATGTGGTGCTAAAATCTGTCCCAGCTCGAGCCACTTTAGCCAAAAACCTGCATTCAGAAAGCAGCCTGTGCATCACGATGCTGAAAGTCTGAAAGCAGCTCAGAGTGAACGTGCAGCGTTCCTGAACACCAGGCAGCGTTCAGCACAACAAGCTGTTACATAACGCTGTGAAGTGGAAAGGTCTCTTTTCTGTGGTTGTGTGGGCAAAACTAAAATCGAACCACGGCTGCATCTGTGTGTGTGTTTGTGTGTGTGTGTGTGTGTGTGTGTGTGTGTGCGCAGTACATCAGTTGCTTGTTCATCTTTGTACATTTACATTTATCTGTGTATATGTAACTACATGTTTGTGTATAAATTTATGTGACATGTATGTGGGTGTCCATTGTGTGTGTGTGTGTGTGTGTGTGTGTGTGTGTGTGTGTGTGTGTGTGCATGCATGTGTGTGTATGTGTGTAACCTCTTCAACTTCTCCAGCTCTCATCCTACAATCCCTCTCCATTTGCCTTACAAAGGTTGCCATGGTTACACCCACACAACAGACTCGAGTTTTAGAGTGCGAGTCAAAATGAATCAGACACGCACACGCACACACACACACACACACACACACACACACAGAGTGTTCCTCTTATTTATTCTGATGTTTGAAAGTAAAATACGTCTTTAGGTGAACTGGAGGAAACAAATCTGATTATTGTGATGAGTTCTGTTGAATCATACTAACAGATCTGTCATGTGGAAGACACACTTGGGATAATTACATAGAAACTCAGTGATATCATTTGGTGTAAACAACAAAGTGTTGCTGCTTCACCACAGAAAATCATCTCAGTGTTTCTAACTGAATCTCTGTGGATTCGTCCTGTTTGTCAGTTTCTGACCCGCCTGCTTCAACTGAACGTGGCAAATCAAAACCTATAGGTGAAAACAAATGGCCTCTTAAAGGGACAGTTCAAGTTTTCCAAAGTGAGGCTGTATGCAATTCTTGTCCATAGTGTTTTACAGACATTAGATGGTGGTCAGTGTGCTCCCTGTTTGGAGAAAATTTTCACCACTTTACCTTGCCATTAGACAGCTCTTTTCCGGCACTACATTTCTCAACCATAGAACTTCAACATATTCCTACACAAAAGGTTAGGCTGTAAAAATAGTCCTTACATAGGCTCCACTTAGACTGATATTGATTCTTTTAGGTAGGACTTTTTTTAAGTGGCTAAAATACGTTTTGCTTTTAGCCCTTAGCCACAGTAATGCACTGCTGAGCTTCTGGGGTGCCTATCTATTTCTTCAAACAGGGAGCATGTCGACTGCCATTTATTGTAGGTAACATTCTGACTATAGATAATTAGCTCATACACCACACTTAAAAAATCTGAACCATACCTTTAAGCATCTAAGCAACAAGATGAATCTCACCTGCAGCTCCAGAGACAAATCTAACTCACTAACATCATTTGTCTGAGCCATGATGTCCTCATAATCCAGACAGTAAACTCTGACTCTTTACACACCAGGGACAAAAATGAAAGAAAAATACCAAATATTCATTGACAATTTTTCACATTCAAACCTTTCACACCAACAGCTACATGAGTGTTTGCATTCTGTGAATTACACCAAAAATTAAATCAATTGACTGTAGGTATAGGCTATACCACATAAATTATTAATGTAAGGCTATCACTTATTCTACGTGGTCAGGCTTTATAGTTTACTTTTTCAATGACTACATGTAATGTCCACAGCATAACATAAGCTAATCCGCTGAAAATGACTGGTTCTACATTACGTTACCTTCACAACAAAGTATGGTTACCCCTCTCTTCTCCATCACACGCACATTCAACTGTTAAAACTCTTTTTTCTTATATTTATTGTCTTTATAATCTTTATATTTTGTTTGTCAGAGGACACTAATGTGTGAGACCAAAGGGATCAGTTGATCAATTTCCATATTGTACTATGATAATAATAATAATAAACAGACTTATGACAGGGAAGTTCAAGTAAATTAATGATTGCATGAGCAAAAGTTAATATTTCATTGGTTGCCTTTTTTTAATCAGTGTTTTGAGTTCACAGAAATTGAAAAATCTGCAGACCAAAGCCTGCATTATGAAATACCAAAGATTCGCTGAAATGAACTTCAAACCATATGAGACAGATCACATGACTGTGTGATTCACTCACCTGACTTGCCAGAGCAGCAGCAGCTTGTGTGTGTTTGAAGGAGAGACACTCCAGCGGGTTGTAACAAGGCCTCTGGCCCTTTAAGTTTCTGTCAAAGCTTTCCTTATACTTCACCTGCAGCAGGGACAGAAACAGAATGCTTTCTTATCATCTGCCCAATGCATGCGTGTGTGTGTGTGTGTGTGTGTTACCTGGCTGGCCAGTTTTGAAACCTCCTTGGCGTGCTGGATGTCGGTTCTTGCCAAAAGAGAACCATCACTGTAAACTGGCTGCTTGGTGTTACTCTTATAGGCAACCTGAGGAAATCACACACACACACACACACACACACACACTTAACAACAATATATATGGTAACTGCAGGCATGCTCTTACTGAATAATTTCCCTGTTTAAAGGAATACTTCATCCAAAAAATGACCATTTGTAAATCAGTTAGTCATACTGTGTTCATTAAATAAAAAAAACCTTAGTATTGGAGTCGGACTTTGAAGAGAACTTTCAGTTCAGCTTTAAATACTGAGCATATGACTAGATAAATGAGACATGGATTATACTGCACAAGTTGTGTCCGATTTTGTGAATGGATGTTTTAATCCCCAATCCCCATTTAATCAATTAATCGGTGTGTTCATCGAATTCCGTGGAGGCATGCAAGAAATACAATTTTTTCTTTACAAATTAAAAGGTAACACAACATGACTGACTGATTTACAAATAGTCATTTTGTGGGTAAAGTATTCCTTTAAAAGGGCGTTTAAACTCGGAGTCGTCAACTGGTCTATAAGAAGGAAAACACTCAGAAATCAGTCAAAATTAAGCACAATGTAAAGGTCCAGTGTGTAAAATGGGGGGAGATTTAGTGGCATCTCGTGGTGAGGACTGCAAATTACAACCAGCTGAAATTTCTCCTGGTTAGAATTCCTTTAGTGTTCATTGTTCAGGACGCTGCTTGTCATTAGAGTGGCTGAAGCAGAAATGTGAATGACCGGTGTTCAGTCTGTTCTGGGCTACTGTAGAAACATGGTGGTGCAACACAGCAATCTCCGTGGATGAGGACCTGCTCTCTATGTAGATATAAACGGCTTATTCTAAGGTAACAAAAACACAATGATTCTTATTTTCAGGTCATTATACACTAAAGAAAACATACTTATTAAATGATAGTCCATTTCTGCTAATATATCCCCCTGAACTCTACACAGTAGACCTTTAATTTATAAGGTTGAACAGTGTCTGGAAAAATATTACATATCTTAAAAAAGCCATTTGGAAAATGTTAATCACAATTTTCATTAATGAAATTAAGTATTGGCAAGGGTTGCTGTATTTCAAATGTTGCTAAAATGTGTGGCACTTTACACCATGCATTACAGTACAAACTTCACAAAGTATAATACAAAACATGGCAACAATCACTAAATACAAATTAACAAATAATATTTCTTGAAAACAATATATTCTAGGAAGATAAATCTTACGCATTTTGGCGCTGTTAGCATTAACGGATACTTTTTTTTTTTTTTAGAAGGCAACATTTGACAAGAAAGATGACATTTCAGTACAGGTTTTGTCAGTACGAAATTTAAAGGTGTACATTAATAAAATTCTAATAATTTTATTAATAACTTTGAGTGACTTTTATTTCTGATGCTGACTTGTGAGTGTAGCAACATTTCATTGACCAGTCAACTAATCGTGCACATCCCTAAACAGCGCATTTGCTAACATATAACACACACACACACACACACACAAACGCGCACTCACACTGATGATTAAAGGATGCACAAACACTAAAATGCATTTAAGAACACACACACTCTCACAAATAATTAAAAACAGACAAAACTGGACACACATTCTACTATCTTAAAGGACAACTTCGGTATTTTTCAACCTGGGCTCTATTTCCCCATGTGTATATGTGCGTATGATTCATAGGTACAACTTGTTCTAAAATTGGTTCAGTATTGAGCTGCGAAACGAGCTAAAATGGTAATGGGGGCAAATGCGTCCGCATAAAAGTGCTTTTTTTCGCCACTGACTGGTTCAGATCGCCAGTGCTATCTCTGTAAATAGCATATGGTAGTGGCCCTGGGGCAGTGGTGAGTGTGAATGAGTGGAGTCAGCTGTCAGTCAGTGTTGGAGCAGAAAGGAGAAAGAAAACCCCGCTAGGTAATGTAAATGAGTATGTGTGTATGAAGTGTGTGTTTTTTCGCCACTGACCGGTTCAGATCGCCAGTGCTATCTCTGTAAATAGCATACTAACATAGCCTTTCCCTTACCTCTGGGCTGTGTGATGTCACGAGCTTTGCTCCACTGTGTCTGTAGCTCTCTCTACTCGTGGGACAGCCGTTTTCTTGAGGAAGAGGTGTTTCGGGATTGGATGTCTTCTCTTCTTCGGCTGGCAGTAGTCATCTTGGGAGAAGTGAGCACTGCAGACCTGATGGTCTGCAAGGCGCAGTGTCTGGACAGGAGTGTTAGCATCCATTTGTAGCACAACTAGCCACAACTTCAGCATCTCGACATCCGACAAAGGCAGCCTATGAAAGCTGTACGGGGTGTTGCGCGACATCCTGTTCTTGCGTTCGGGAAAAAGGTTTATTTGAGCACTCCAAAAACTCCGGTAACACTCCAGGGGGAAGCACGTAAAAGACTCTGTCCTCTGACTCTTCTAGCGTAACACACACTTCACACACACATACTCATTTACATTACCAAGCGGGGACGCCTTCCGCCTTTCTGCTCCAATACTGACTGACAGCTGACTCCACTCATTCAAACTCACCATTGCCCCAGGGCCGCTACCATATGCTATTTACAGAGATAGCACTGGCGATCTGAACCGGTCAGTGGCGAAAAAAAGCACTTTTATACGGACGCATTTGCCCCCATTACCGTTTTAGCTTGTTTCGCAGCTCAATACTGAACCAATTTTAGAACGAGTGGTACCCATGAATCATACGCACACATACACATGGGGAAATAGAGCCCAGGTTGAAAAATACCGAAGTTGTCCTTTAAAAGCTTTAAGCAAGATTATAGGCACACACACACACAAACGCACACAAACACCTTGCAGGACACTCTTACATAACAACACTTGAGTGTTAACAGCAGAATGTTTTCTATAATTAATCAGCGGCTCCACTCAGAATCCAGCTGGTAAATGGGACGGTTGTTGTCATGGAAATTAATGTTGGATAGGACGTAGTTACATGTTCACACACACACACACACACACACACACACACACACACACACACACACACACATGCACACACACACACACACACAGACTCACGTCGCTGGCAAGTTTAGCAGCATTCGTGGCACTGACGATGTCAGGTCTGTCTGCCGCCGAGCTATAGTGATGGAGCTCCTCTTTGCCTTTTCTGTAGCTGACCTGAGACCAGCAGAGACAGTCATGAAACAGAAAACACATTAAACAGGACAGGCTTAACACACAGTGGCTAGGAACTACATGAAAAAACAGATAAAAAGAGAGGCAACTAAATGTGGGTTATATGACAAATATTCACAAAAGGACATCATCTGATTTCCTTGGACATATCAGTGCCAGGAACTAAAAGTATGTCTAAATCATAGAGTGTATAAAAAAGTGGTCTCTTGGTATGAAAAATAAAGCCAATGCACAGGTGTGTTAAACCTGCATTCTTTCTAATGGCCAGCAGGGGGCCACTCCACTGATTGCAAAAAGAAATATGATTGTATGGCCTCTAGTTTCGCAGACCAGGGGAGGCGGAGGCGCAGCGCACCTGCGCTTCACCAACTGGGTGTGGCCAGGCAGATTTTTCAAGTTTGGCACACGGTGCGCGCTGGCGCAGCTACTCCTCTTTCCCACCTCCGTCCCCCCTACCTGCGCAAGTCGGAAAGAGGGAGGAGAGAAGGCGTGGAGTGGGTTTTACACAGCCGATTCACATCACACCAAACAAATGAGCCCCTCTCCTCGCCCTTAAATGCGCCCCGCGAAGGCGTAATGAGAGTTTACTCAATTCGCCATGGCAGAAGAGAGCAGCAGTGTCAGATGGCCAAACTCCTCCCAGGAGGAAACTGATGTTTTGGTCCAGGAGGTCCAAGCTCGCAGTGTCCGAATATACGGAACTGCGAGCAGACCTCCACGGGCTGATGATGCAAAGGTAGCCTGGGAGGAGGTCATCACAATTGTAAATCAATGTTGTGTTTCTCTCGTGCGCGCGCGCTCTCTCTTTCTCTCTCGCAGTCTCACTCTGTTTCTTTTCTTTTGACTTTTCTAATAGTGATGTGTCGGTCGCGAACGAAACGGCTCATAGAGCCGGCTCTTTGAAGTGAACGACGGGAGCGCTACAGAGAGAGACAACATGCTGGAAAGGTAAAAAAAAAAAAAAAAGTTGAGAAAATGAATACAGCAAGAAAAGCAGTCAAATTTGGAATCATTTCAATTACACTGACAGAAAGTCTGCAAGATTAAAATCTCATATCCAAACAACCTGCACAGGCACATGAGAACTGTTCATCCATCAGTGCAATTGGAAGCAAGCAAACCTGCTATTAATGAAGGTGCCAGTGTGTCTACTGCAACTGCTGCTGCAGCTTTAGTTATATTCTGTTGTGTGATTCTGTGAACTTCTCTATGTTGTTTCACTGTAAATAGTTACAAGTTTAAGATAGTTAAGTGTAGTAAAAAGCTAAAAATTTAAAATAGTTAAAAGTTTTTTTTGTACTTTATAATTTATTTTTTGTAGCACTCTGTAGAGTATTTAATGCCATATAAATAGTAAACATTTGATGCAATGTATTTTTTTTTTACATTAGTAATTTATTTTACACATAATTTTATATTATTGTTGGTAATGAATTAATTTAAGCAACAAAAATCTGAGGAGCCACTTGGGAACCAAAAGAGCCGGCTCTTTTTAGTGAGCCGAGCCAAAAGAACCGGCTCTCTAAAAAGAGCCGGAATTCCCATCACTATTTTCTAAGATGACAGATGCTGAATATATACTCCCTATCTGATGCTGTGGCTGTTTGTGGTTGGCTGAGAGGGATGTGAACTCATTAGTTTGCAGCTGTGTTAATCAAATCATCTTGGGTTTCCATTACGCGTGTCAAACGTGCCAAACGGTGCCAATCCCCTTTGATCTGACATCAGATGTGACGGGACAGTCGATATAGAGATACATTTATGTGCTGATTGCAGATAGTTGCATCGAATAGTGTTTTTTTGGGTATTTATTGTATTGTTAATGTGCCTGATATTCTGGAAACCTGCCTGAGAGGTTTTGGTGACATGTGCGCACTGTCCGCTGGTCAGCCAAACTGCCACTACACTGGCTGCGCTCCCCCTACACTGACAGTAGACCTGGTTTCAGATGGCGAGCTTTTAGCGCACCTTCGGCGAAGCCTTTTGGCACGAAACTGTCACTGCGCCAAGCTGGATCTGTCGACACCTCCCCCTGCTGCGCCGCCACACCCATCTCAGCGCACCTCGGTCTGCCAAACTACCAAACTGAGCGCACCTCGGGTTGCGCTGCTCGAAACTAGCTCTGCGCGGGGTTCGCCACCCTGCAGCGTGCTGGGAAACTAGAGCCCTGTAAGTCTCTAAGAAAAAGGCTGCACTTCTCACTTGACTTATTCAGTAAATATCAGCTAATATTTTCTACTGTATTTATGGTCTCAATGACTAGTTTAAAGTCGTCATCAATACAGTATGATGTCCATTTAGTAAATTATGGTCCTATTTAGAGTAAAATAGATGATAAAGCAGGGTATGCTTTAGGGAGTGGCTAATTTGTGATTGACAAGTCCCTAACATGACTACCTGTCAATCAGGATGAAGGTGTAGCAAAGCAAATCCTAGCACCCTCACATCCAAATATTGTCACTCCTGCTCCAAAAACAAAGATGGCATCGGCCAAAATGCCAAACTGGAGGCTTGAAGAGGCTGATTTAAAAGAAAAAAAAAAACAACAACTTGAAACTGCTTTATTCAGTGTTTTTACTGGTTTAAATCAGCTACTCTGTTTGTTTTGGAGATGAAATGACCTCGGTGATCATTCGGCTCCCCCTAAAAGCCTCGCAAACATCTGAATCTTCAGGAATTAGATAAAGAAGATGAGCACATATTAGCAGGTGCTGGGCTAGCAGCCCGTCTCCAACATGCCAAACAGCAATGTGAAACTGCTTTATTCAGTCTTTTTACAGGTTTAAATCACCTGGTCTGTTTGTTTTGGAGAGGAAGAGAGCTCTGCAGATGATTTGGCTCCCAGTAAAAACCTCCTGAACAATGAACACTGATTCTAATCAGGAGAAGTTTCAGCTGGTTGCAATCTGCAATCCTCATCACTAGATGCCACTGAATCTCCTTAAATCTTACTGTGCATTCACAGTAGAATGGCTGGAATCAAACCCACAGCTGCTGCAGCGAGGACATTGCCTTTGTAAATGGGACACACCCACCCTGCCCACTGAGCTACTGGGTGCCCCATATTGGTTCTTCTTAAATGTCAAAACAGCTGAATACACAGTTTCAGTCAGTGACCCCTGGTCCTGAGCGTAGACTCCTGGGATGGCTGAAAGGCCACTGCCTGATAATCTCAGGTTATGTAAAGGCTTGTGTGGTCTTTAAAAGTTACTGATAACATTTTAAATCACCTGTAAGAAAGAAGCAGCCAGACAAAGCTACAACAGGTGCATCCTGTCTCTTAGTTCGAGTTAGAAGCCTGAGTCTGTGTCTTTTTGATTGAAGCGAGTGAAGGAGCATTGTAATAATCAAGACGTGATGAAATGAAAGCATGTGTGGCAGTCAAATCTTTGCAATCACAAGGCCCAGCCAGCTTAGTTACATGTCATACATGTCATGCGCTTTGGATAAACGCACCCGTTATTTACACGTCTGCTGACAATAAAAGACAAAGTCAAAAAACGATAAATGTCTTGTGTGTGAACACTGAACTCCTCACGGATGAGCTGGTGCTGGTTGCTGCCCACACAATCACAGAACACACTGTTACATAACTGCTTGTTTTTCTGTGAGATTACACTGACAAGTATAGTACAAATATGTGTGCATATTTACATCGCTCTGGTTCTTGTTGACCTCCATGGCATGCTCCACTTCTGGCAGTGTTTTCATGTTGCTGTAGCTGGACTTCCCTTTCTCACGGTTATACTTCTCCTTATAGAACTTCTACAGATGGACGGAGAGAAGGGAGAGAAGGGAGGCAAGAAGGACAGAGGAGGAATGAAGGAGAAAGAAAAGGAGGCAGTTAAATAAAGACAGAAAGAAAGTAGCTTGATGGACTGTAGGAGATCTGATGAGTAATTCAGCCTGGTGCTGAATAACAAGTGAAAACACACTTGTTTTTTGTCTAAAAATAATCCAAACAGCTTCCAACTGTGAAAAAGAGAGATGCACAGCGCGACGCAATAATGAATAATAAACTGAGTGAAGACTAACAGGCCTGTACAACAAACCTGATGTCTTTAGTTTAGATTTCATGATCAGGTTTCAAAATCAACTGACTGGTTATCATTTGTTCTTTTTTTTTTTTTTTTTTGGTTGCTTGTAAAGTTTCGTCTGGTGGACCTTCAGCGGGTAACATTTAGGCATTTAAAAACATCTTTGATATTTATAAAACCCACCCGGGACGAGGAGCTAAAAATTGTCAGTGACTGTGCTTTCAATTCAAAACAATACACAGTAAACCAAGGAGGCACACATTCTAAAATAAATCATTTCCAGATGTCTGAAATAATGGTTTTAAAACTGTGTCACGGTTTTGATATTTAAAAGACTGACTGTAAGGTCCTGCAGTTAGATACACAGATAATAAGCAAAATAAAGATGATACATAAAAAATAATATTCCTCCTGCTGGGTCTGAGATCAGTTTTATTGTATGCAGATTTTGCAGACAGTCTGGGCCGCTGTTGTCTAGGTAGTGTACGTTACACGCTCCAGTTAGCGTCACATTGCTCGGTCAACAGACATGAAACCAGAAAGCATCGGGCCTGTGCCCCAGTTTTTTACCCTGAGCTTTGATTTCCTGCTGTCTGGGACGACTGACAGCAAACACTAAACATCATCTGTGAAGCGTACAGTCCAAGCTGTTAAACACAAACACTGTTTATCAGAATACAGATATACTGTCATGTGACTTTAACACCTCTGCAGCCGCTCTATGGTAAACATCAAACAGCATTCTTCAGATTCCGGTTGGTATTTTTATATATTTTTGTACTGGAGGTTCAATAAAACAAAACTATGAAGAAAACAGTGAATTGATCAGAACAGATTTGATTTTCATCCATATTTAACCAGTCAGTGTGATCAGATCAGTTTGGATTTTATGATCTTTGGCCATGTTTAAAACAATAAAGTTGTGTTTTGGTCCCATTTGTGTCACACAATTTTAAATTTCCAACACTCTGCTGGTCATAAAATGTTGACTAATAAAAACAAACTGGAGCCTTAATCTGCTTCATATCATCAGGTCTAAATCTCAGTTTGAATATATTTCATGCACTTTTTAAGGGAACCAGGACAGACACTTAAATGTAAGACTTTTCAGGACCTTTTCAAGACAATTTTTTAAACAAAATTTAAGACTGATTATAGAGGCAAGCAGCACATATGTGGTTCCGTATAGAGGTAGATTTTACTTAGGAATATGGTTATCAGATTGAGTTAGGTTAATCTACATTTTGCCAACAGGTAAATGCAAGTATAAAGTGAAACGACAGTATTAGGGACAGTAGGTTTAAAGATCTTGTCTGCTGTACTGAATGTAAAAAATGCTCATAAATAAATAGTGTAAAAAAAGATTTGCAACATTAGAAACTTTCACACACAAGACCTCCTCTTGACAAAAAGAAATTAAAAGATGAATAAATGAAATTAGTTAAAATGTTTGTGGCTATTAAGCCCTCATAAATTCAAATTTAAGACTATTTAATTACTGCTAAGGTCTAATAGATAAAATTAAATTTGAGACATTTTAAGGACTTTACTTTTTTAAGGACCTGCATACACTCTGTTATAAATCCTTTTTGGTGAGAGTTTGGGAAATTAAAGGTGCTCAAAGAGCTACCTACGCAGCAAAGAGCCTGGGCTGGAATTGAACTCAGCCTGCTGCTGTAAAGAGTATGCCTTAAGGTATGCGCTCTACCAGGTGAGCTTACTGAGGTTCTCTGTATAGGTTTTTTTTAATTCAGTCTAGTTTCATAGTAAAAAGTATGGACAGTCAAGTCTTCTACGTTTTATTACAAAGGACACATTTTTTAATGGTGTCTCGGTAAATCCATCATTCTAAAAACATGATGTCCTTCATTCTTTTGATTTCTGGAGAAGCAAATAGAAGACGGCATGCGCAATGTTTTGCCGATGTGTACAGTATAGTACGCTGCATTAATTCCACTTTGGCATGTCTGTGTCAAATGATACTGTCACTGTTCTGGTTCCATCTCATTTTATGTGTAGTTTTTGACATCTTTTCTGAATGGCCAGAGAACAGCAGCATCATAAAGCTCATGTCATGAGAGTTTAAGGCAAAAGCTGATTTGCTTATATCTGTGGTATTTTGTCAGTTTTTAACAGCAATCCTGTGAAACATGTGTCTGCCCCAGTTTATGAGCTTCAACCTGCCACTGCTGTTTGCCTTGACTCTGTGTGTGTGTGTGTGTGTGTGTGTGTGTGTGTGTGTCGGCAGTAGGTCAGTGTCTGTGTCCTCAGGCGGTGGAGCACAACATAGCTGCTCTCTGTGTTCACGCCTCAGCAGACAAAATGATACTAATACACAACTCCCTCCGTGTGTCTGTGTGTGTGTTTAACAGTGAGCATCTTGGGACGTTGTTGTTTAAATACCTTCATTTGCTCTCTAGTCAGAAACCATCATCTCTCCTCACCTGCTGCTCTCTGAGCGCTCATCTTTTAGTTTGAGGGTGGATTATAATCCAACCTGTCTAAAGATATTCACGCTTAATTACCCACATTTACAAAATGCCACATTAATACCCCAAAAGGCTGCTCTTTACTTACTGCGACTTTCATGCAAACAACAGTAATAATGGCAAACTGCTCAGAGATATTTTTTTTTCTAATGGTGGCATACGAGAAAGATTTGTAGCTTGCTGTAAATAACTGTAAATATCTACTTTTATTTGCTATAGTTTGAAACAATTAAATTGTTTGTAAATACTAGATTTTCGGCTCTGATGACATCACACTGTGAAGGCCACTGACTCACATCACTCTGTGTTTTGGTCAGCTCTTTGGCGAAGACAGTCTCGATGGTTTGGGGCATCTGGGCGTACAGACTGCAGCCGGCTTCCTTCTTGCCCTCCTCCCTGTACGCTTTCTGCAACACAACACAAAATATTTTACAGTGCAAAATATCAAAACCAATCAAATTATGAATCAAATCCAACTCTATTAAGAAAGCAGTACAACATATTGGTTATATAAATGCACAATAATCAGATTTGAATATTATTATATCAATATCATTTTTCAATTTCATTTTATCAGTTTGATTCCTGGGTTGGTGGATCAGGTATCAGCTGACAGATCCCCATTAAACAATGTGTCCAGTCTAAAAGGATGCTGGTGTATGAATGAAGAACAAGGTTTTTAAATGACATACTGGTTTTGGGCTGGTACTTAATATTGACACATTGGTGGTATACTGGAATCATTATTTGGGAGAGCAGAGTTGTTTGGATGCATCCATAACAAGATACTTTGGTGTATTGAACATGACCAAATGGCATACTTTTTCTGATGCCAGGGGTTTAGTGTCGCTGTAATATGGACCACATTTCCTATAAGGCTTTACTTCCTTACTATCCGCTTCTCTGTTCAAATTATTTTCTCATTAGCTGTACAGCACACACTATGCACTGGTTCCCTACTGTGTGCATGTAATGTATTCCAATCCAGTCAACACAAGAAAATGTTGCCATTGTATGGTCCTGCAAACCACGGATAGCTTACATTTGCATGTTATTATGTAGCCGATAATGTGTGGTAATTAATGTGTGGTTAGCTTTATGCACAAAAACTACTTGGTTATGGTTAGAAAAGATCTTGGCGTGGATTAAAATACCTGGTTTTGGGGGCACAATTGTGGCTGGAAACACAGCGTTGTCTTAGTAAAACACAAATGCTTTTGTTGTTTGTTGGTCTCTAACAGTGGTCTACATATGTACCATATTAATGTAAGAAAGGCTGATAAGATTTGAATGAAACATGCAAATGTAAAATATTTGTGGTTTGCAGAAACATTTTCTTCTGATATGTGGGCTGCATATTCACATTGTTGTTCTACCACTTAAAACTCAGCTGAAATGAAGGAAATTCTACTAAAACAAGAGTGGACGATTAGGAAACCTTTAGAGATATCTCCGAAAACAATTCGACTATGGATTCATCACCCTCCTTAAATCATACTGTCTGTACGGAGTCTAATTGCCAAAGACTTTTGCATTTTTCATTCTTACGTGCACATGTTAAATAAACATTCTTTTTACTATAAAAACAAGTCTCTCCTGATTTAACTCCGATCCTCACTCAGCTTTGCCAGGAGGCAGAATCAGTGGCAGCAGCCAGGGTGTTTCTTGGATTTGAGAATATTCAGGACTTAGTCCAAACATCTGTAGTGAGGTTTAGGGGATCCCCCCCTGAAACTTCTCTTTTTGCAAAACAAGCTCTACTTTGACACGTTTTATGCACTCTCGCACCACAGTTACATATTAATTCCCAGTGTGAATCAATTTAATTTTCATTGTGAATTAGACAATGGTCAGCAGGCCAAATCTGGCCTCCAGGCTCTAAGTTGCGTATCACTGGTGCAGGACTAAGTGGCATCTAGCAGTTAGGTTACAGACTGCAACCAACTGAAACTTCTCCTGTGTGATAAGCGTGTAGGAGAACTATAGTGGCTGATGTGAAAACACAAATAGCCCTATCTACAACCAGTGTTTTATTTGTCCATTCTAGGCTACTATAGAAACAACATGGCAGACTCTGCTGAGAAGGATCCACTCCATATGTAGATATAATCGGCTCATTTTAAGGTAACAACAATGCAACAATCTTATTTTCAGGTGGTTTTACATTATAGAGAAAAGGTATTAATATTTCATTAAACTTCTGCCGACAGATCCCACTAAACCCTTCACACTGGACCTTTAATACATGGAGTATGGTTTATTTTTGGTTAACAGCCCAAATACAACCCAAATACAGCATCTGATATTGTGTTTCCCATATGATCCAGATTAAACAGAATCTCATGCATAAATATCAAAAGTTTCAAAGTGTTCACAGAGAAGGACTGCAGCTTGTTTTGTACCTCACTGTGCAGCTGAGTTTGCTCCTTGGCATGCTGAGTATCTTTGGTCTCAGGCAGCAGAGAGTATAGAGAGTTAACCAGCTCTTTCTTACCAGCCTCCTTGTATTTACTCTGCAAACAGAAAACAACAAAATCAGATTAACAACTGCACAGTAACACAGTATACAGTCCTGCACACCACACTGCACAGGCATGAGCAACACAACAGATTCTTTATCAACATCAACATGTTAAAGGGACATATTCTTTTTCCTGCTTCAAGTGCACTGTTGCAGGTAGTAGTACAAGTACAACAGATAGAAATGTATTCAGTCTCTTCTGCGATCAGGATCATTAGAAGATAATATAAAGTGTAGCTGGGGATCAAGATTGATGGGTTAAATAGAATATAAACTTCTTTACTGATGACATAAAACTGTTTGATATGAATATATAATAATATACTGCTAACTATACTAATTTTGTCCAATACAAATCTGAGTAAATTTTAATGTTGAAATTCAAATTTAAGACCTAAAGGTCCATCAAATTATCACACATTTTAAGACTTAAATGACCTGCAGGTACCTTGTAAAATTAATATTAACAATTTAAATGTTATATATAGAAAAGGTGAATGGATAAAGTCAAATCTTACTGATGCATGACTAACAAAGCAAGAGCCTAAAGAGAACTGCAGTGTCTGGATTCCCACCACATGCTGTGAGTTGGATGAAATCTCACTAAAACTGGTCCACCAGTGCAGATAAATTATTAATCTGTAATGCTGTAATCAAGCTGAAAGCATAAACTGGCTGTTTCAGAGAAACCAAAATATTCACACTAACACGCAGAGTAAGTGTTTCCCACCTCGCTGTGTGTTTCAGCCATCTCTTTAACAAACTGAGTCTCCAGAGTTTCAGGCAGCAGAGAGAACAAAGCGTTAGGCAGATCCTCTTTGTCCTTCTTGTACTTTGTCTTATAGAGCAACACAACACACACAAACAAAATATAAATGTATTTTTTATTGTCAGAGAACATACTGTCAGCAACAATATCTTTACTTTGACATACAAACACACTGTCTCACCTCACTCTGAAGTTCGGAGATCTGCTTAACAAATTCCATCTCTTTAGTCTCCGGCATCTGGTGGAAGACACTGCTGCTGATTTCCTGTCTGCCTTTCTGCTTGTATTTATTCTGCACACAAACACACACACCAAGACAGGAGGGTGAATGAACAATCCAGAAAAAAGTCGACAAGTATGTTTCATACTGTTAATAATTCCTAGTGCAGTAGTCCAGAGGACACTTTTTTTAGGACTAAATTCAACCTGTCCTCTACAGTATGTACCAGAAAGCATGAACCACGGCTGTGGTCTAGTAAATGCCCACCCACCTCACTCTGAAGCTCCATGATGGCTTTAGCAAACTTCATCTCTTCTGTCTCAGGCAGTACAGAGTACAGGTTAGTGCTCAGCTCCTTTTTACCATCCTCCTTATACTTCATCTGGAGAGGACACAAAGGACAGATACTAGACTGACACCAGGCTAACAACACTGTGGCTTAGGAGGCAGAGCAGGCAGCTCAATCCCTGGCTTCTCCAGTCAACAATGTGGCCAAGAAACTGAACCCTAAATGTGCGAGTTGTAAGCTGTAATTCAGCAGTAAAAAGTTGTGTGTGTCTGACTGTGGATGGTGGAGGTGTTGAATGGATTTGTGGAGTTCACATCTGATGACTCCACTCAGGTCTGGGTTGTCTCTGGAAGGTTTATGGGTTGATGCTGTTTGACAGGGAGTAGGAGGCTCAGTTATCTGTGAGTATAGCTGTGCTGTTAGGAAACAGTCTGAACTCAGTGAGAGAATTTTCTCTGACAAAGATGAAAGTTTACAATGAGATCGATAAATCAGAGTTAACAATGAACCTGGGCACAAGTCCTAGTTGTTTCAGATGAGTTATTTGTGGTGTCAAAGTTTTTGAGACCATAAATAGAGAAGATGTTGAGCTTTTCAAATGATGATCAGTATGTGTGTGCTCGTAAATCACCCCTTAAACCTGTCAAAAACTGCTGGAGAAATGACAGTTTGTAAGTGTGCAGAAATTATTTGTAGTTGTAGATAATAAAATATCACAATGAAATCTTTATACAACTTGTCACCTTGAGTCTAATGTCTGATACATGAATTAGCCTAACTCGATTAGTTTCAAGAAAAAAAAAAAAAGACTAAAGGTTGACTAAAATGTTCAAAATTTTCATCGACTAAAACCAGACGAAAACTATGAAGGATAGAAATGACTAAAATGGGACTAAAACTAAAAAGCCACACAAAGAGTGAAAGGCACCCCTACATGGTCTTGGTGCTTCTGTGCAAATTCATACTGTAGCCAAGCGTAACTGATGCTGTGGCCGGATCTGTATCTGGTGGACTGACAGTGATTAGGTGATAAAGGGCAACTACTGGCGGGCCATGGTTGTTTCAATCAGTCTCCTTTTTCCCCTCCATGTTGGGCTGGTGTATCATGTGGGGCGAGTAAAGCATGTTATCGCTGCGGGTAAATCCCGGTGTAGTTTTATGCTGGTCAGTGAAATCGTGTGGTGTGGAAACAGGAGCCGTATGCTGACCAGTGTTACGTGGAGTTTAACCAAGGATCCTCTGGCTGTGGTGAGAGTTCCATGTCTGGGAGGCATAGGCGTTTCTAGACCATTTTGGGGGGTGCTGAAGCACCCCTAAATTGAATCCCAGCACCCCTAAAATTTGAGAGATTTTTTTTTAGTTTTGTTTTTTACTGTATGTCCTTTTTTAACAAGCTAGAAAAGTGTCAAAACCATACAGTACTTGGTTGAAACGTAATATTTTAACAACAAAAATACTTAGTATTATTATTTTTTTGTAGATTTCAAGCACTTTTATTTTTTTAAAGTGTATTTTTATTTATGTATTTGTATTATATAATACAGACAAGAAGGAAAAAGGCAGAGACAAACATTGAAAAAGTCAATTACTGTTAATGTTACATGTTGTGCATTGCATTTCTAATAAAAGTCCAAAAAATAAGTCCAAGGTCCATTTTTGGTATTTTTGGTACTCACTATAGGGGGCTGGTTTACTCCAGAAACATACATACTGTTTATGTGTATGTTGAGGAGCTGCTGTATCAAAATGAGTTGTCTTCCCCCAGAAATTAGAGTTACGATATGATTCTTTTATGATTCCAATCCATTCCTCTTTTGCTGTGGCTCAGCATTTAAATAACCTTTATCAGATTTGATGGTTTAGTCACAGACTTTCCCAAAAAGTGTTGTGCTTTTCTTTCACAAATGTGGGAATGAAATTGAGTTAAAATGTACAAAACAGTGAAATTTATCTGGCCGGGCAGCTCTCTGGGTGCTCAGCACCCCTAAACCTCTGATCCTAGAATCGCCCCTGCTGGGAGGTGTCCTACCCTGAGGTAATGGCATGTGCCAATGGACCGCATTTATGGGGATGCGTGATATACTGTGCTGTTGAGTACCAACCAACCTGGTTCTGCCTGCGTGAAGCTAATTTAAGCATGCAAATTTCGGTGCAAAGTTGACCCCTTGCTACACAAATGAGCCTCGCCAAAAAAACAGTCCAATTCACAAAGAGCAGTGCTGAGAGCCAAACACAGTTACAGTGAAAGAATTAACCTCTTCAGAGTGCTGGTGGTAATAGGGGAGCATTGTAAGAAGTGTCACGGCCAAAGTTCCCAGTGTGAGGGACTGAATGATATAAATTCTTTTGTCCACTGCTTCAAGCCTTGCCATCCTCTCTTACAGTCTGAGGGTTTGCGTTTGAAAACACCAACAGCACTGACAGACTGGGACATTAAATCCCAAATACAGTTCCCCTCTGCAGTTTTGAGAGATGGCTCTGCACCTTGTCAGGCAGGACCTGTAGCTCATGGCTTTCTTTATGTATCTGTCTTTGATCCACCTGCTGTGTTCACAGTGCAATGGCAACATTTATACATTGCCACATGTATAACTGCAATCAGATGCAAAAAGGGCAAACTGCACTCACCTGAAAAACTCCATGGGTGTGTCTGTGCTGTGATATCATAATCACAATATCTTTAGTGAATTGGACCCTGAGACGGGTGATGAACAATTCATGGTGCTGTCAGCGGCAGCATTACATTCTTTGTGAATTTGCCTGTCACAGTGAAGTTGGACAGCTTTGCATTCATGCACTACTACTGTCTAAAAGCATGATTTGGGCAATACAGGACTTTTTCTTACATTAAAATGATAAGGAGTCATCTAGTAAAAGACACTGAAACAATAATGACTGTTTCTTTTTTTCAAAAGGACAAATCACATTAAATTCATAGATTATTCCCCCTTTGTGCTGTAACTTTTTCAGGTTCATATACACGATTGCAAAATGTAATCTCAAAGGAAAGAAGAATTTCAGGCTCCTTTATAGAGTACAGTAGAAAATAAGTCTTCGACTGACTCAAACCACCACTGAGCCTCTTCATGCTCTGTTTACTAAACTGTGTATTTACTTACACGTCTCTACAGTGCGTGTGAGTGTTTGTGTACCTGACTCTGCAGCTCAGTCGCCTCTTTAGCGTGTAGAGTCTCCAGAGTTTCAGGTAGCTGGTGGTACAGACAGCTGCTCGCCTCCTTCCTGCTCGCCTTCTTGTATTTGGCCTGAAGCAGAAAACATCAGCTGTTAGCTGCTGTTCCCACCATGCTACTCAATTTTAGTTGAGAAATATAAGTGAGCAGGTGTTAGCCACTGCTGCTGCTGTGAAATCATTTTACTGAGTTTGTTGGTCTTTAGGTGAAGAAAAAAAGGTGATTTGCTTGATGTGTTGTTTTTGCTCCACACTCAAGCATCAATAAAACACTACGGGAAGACATTTCCAGTCTTGAATTTTCTATCCTGACTTTTTTCTGCAGTTTACAGGGTTGATAATGAGTTATTAATGTAAAAAGACCCTGACTGATTACCTTAATTTTTCTTAATTTGACAGTTAAAATATTTCAAGTGGTGGCTCACAGCAGGAAGGTCCTGAGCTTGAATCCAGTGAAAAGACAGAGAAACAAACCTCGCTCTGCAGCTCAGAGACAGTTTTAGCCAACTGAGTCTCAGCTGTTTCTGGAAGCTGAGAGTAGAAGCTTTGAGAAAGACTTCTGATCCCGTCCTCTTTGTATTTACTCTGGACAGAGAGACAACGTCATACTCAGTCAGATATAAAACATATTACAAGTAATATATCCTCTTGTGTAGCTACCTGTTGTTGCAGATGTGTGTAAATGTTTGTGTTCCTCACCACGCTCTGCAGGTCGGACATCTTGGCGGCGAGCTGCGTCTCAGCTGTTTGCGGCAGCTGAGCATACAAACTGGACGACATGGACTTTTTCCCGCTCTGCTTGTACTTGTTCTGAAGAGAACAGCATCAGGTGGAACAAAAAAAACAAAACAAAACAGTAACACCTCCTGTGATGTCAGAATGAATCACTTGTTATCTCTCAAAACATTGTCTCTTGTACATAAGCATAATGCATTCACCTTAGAACAAAACTACTCTCTTTCTTTTTTAAATTTTTGCAATGATAATCTTGTTAATTCAGAAAAGTGAATGCATTACACTTATCACTTTTGTTCTACCTATTTGTTCATTTTAAGGAGCAAAAACTAAATCAAACATAATTAGCATCATCCTACAGGGTTTCTTTTCAACCCACAGAAAACTACTCAATAAAAAGGTTCATATTTGATCAATTATTAATTAATAAAATCATATTGATTTGATAATTTATCTAAATTAAAAAGGTTTTCTGTTTTTATCTTCATCTATTGTGAATTACATATATAAGGGTTATTTTGATTGTTGGCCACACGAGGTAAATAATCAGAAGAAATACAGTTTAAGGGATGTGAAGCTGGCAAATGCACAATCACAAAGCTGATAACAGGGCTGTTTTTCTGACTTTAGAGATGCATGGTTCTCACAGGACAGCCACACGACAAAGATACCACGATCTTGTAGAATATGATGCATTAATGTAGACTGAACTACCCAACAGTATATAAAGGAGTTCAAGGGAACACATTTTACTGCACATACTTTTACTATAAGTACTTCAGGTGCATTTTAATCATAGATATTTTTATGTCAGTAAGGTTTTGAATGCAGGACTGTAACTTGTAGTGGAGTTTTTTCACAGTGTGGTATTAGTACTTTTACTGCAGCAAAGGATCTGAGTACTTCCTAAGACTGATTGCTGTTTTTCCACTGAATATTTGAATACTTAGTGAGATAATGCTGCCACCGTACCGACTACAAACAGCATTGCAGACATGCACGGCTTTAAGTGAAGTGTCTTCAAAGAACAACATATTATTCATTCATTAATTCTTTCAAGAATAACATTTGAGCTTCTCTCTGTCCGTGCATCAGTAACAGTGAGTGTGCAGAGTGCAGAGTACAGGCAGGGCGAAAGGTTTCCTCCACGTCTCACATCTCTGTTTAACATGAAACAACATCAGGACAGACAATCGCCGACTGTTTCATTTTATCCAAACTGGGCATGTGCATGAGTGAATGTGAATAATAGATGTGTGTACCTCACTCTGCAGCTCAGTAACCTCTTTAACATGCTGCGTCTCCAGAGTCTCAGGCAGCCGGTGGTACAGTGAGCTGGTGGCTTCTTTCTTCCCTGCTTCCTTGTATTTGACCTGCCGAGAAAAAACAGGTCAGATAACTGTTTGTTTTACATGACCGATACCACATTATAAATTTTTAATACATGCCCCTTTTTCGTTGTGGCTGACATTGCTGGTTTTTATTGAGGATTGTTTAATTGTCATGAAAAGCTTTCAGTTCCGCTTGCTTTGAAAAGATTCATATTGTCGCTGTTTTTGTCTGCAGCAAAAAACACGAGCTGAAGGAGAAGAGACTCCAGAGTACAGATCAAGCAAAGCTGATGCATTTCTCATTTTTGTTGAGAGAACGGAGCTGATCAAAAGAGAATCAAATCACTTTGAATCTGTTTAAAGGGCGGGTTCATTACTTTTTGTGTTTCAGAGTCAAAATGCTATTTTTTCAAAGCCCTTCTAAAAAAAATTTCCCACATGACCTGACAAAGGTTTTGGCATGATGACGTTGCAACATACAACCCCCAGCCTGCTTAATATGCCTCTTTATGACTGAGTCAGGTGTTCTTTGGAAATTCTGTGTTATCAATGTTCCATATTAGCTTCATTTCTATAACCCACTAACCAGCATGGAAGCTAAACAATGTGCTGCTGTGGATGCCACGTTACTTTGAATTCTAAAGTCGCACAATAACACTAACAAGCTAACTGATCAAGGCAACAGTAGCCCTGCAGCTCCTTGTGTTCCGCAAGAAAAAAATACTGTTTTTGTCAGCGGAGTCTGGTGGCTTTGAAAAGAGTGGCTTCTGTTCCCCATTGGAAAGGGCTGTCAGACGGTAAGGTAAAGCAGTCATAATACAAATATAGTGTTTACTTAAACCGATATGGATTTTTTAGGTGGCTAATATACGCTTGGCTGCAGCCCTCATACACAGCAGTACATTGCTCAGCTTCTGTGTCGGTACTCCTGTCTGCTTCTCCAAACTTGGGGCATGCCAACTGACTGGCTCTACTATAGGTAATATACTGACTATAGAGAAGTACCTCAAACAACCCCACATCAAAAGGTCCAAACTATCCCTTTCATGCTAGCCTACCTCACTGCTTTTTGCTCACAGCTGAGTGGGTGTTTCCATATGAAAAACTTGCAGATGGAGCAGGCCCCAGGAAGTGCTCTGGACTTTGAAGTCAATTTATCATAGTGGCCAAACAGTTTAACTACAACTTCTGGGTCCATCACGTAATGCCTTTGGGCCCAAAAAGACTTTTTTTGAGTCCATCAGGATTTGATCCATTCAGTCTGATAACATTTTGAAAGTTGAGAAGAGCTACATGATTAAATCATTTCATCCCCATTCAAGCTAGCAGACAGCTAAACTGGCAGTTAACAGCTAAAAAGTGCGCTTGGTCTACGGGCCCAATGATGCAGAACATCTGGATATTTTTCAACCCGTTCTCATTCTAAAGTCGTCAAACACCGCTGCTTGATTACTGATTTCAGTGTCAGACACCAATAAAAAATGCACCCTTTCGTGGCGGTATGATATGCCCCCTGGGTGGCATCAGTGTTTAATGCTGCCAGATGGCATCAGTTTAAAATGCTGCTGGATAACAAAATAATTTAAGGAGCTGAAAAGTCACTATAGGGCAGGCAGGAGGGGTGGTGGAGGAGTCCAAAACCGGACCTTCACCCAGGAGGCTGATGTTCACTTCCTGTACGAATGTTGAGCCATGATTTTTTTTCTAAACCTAACCACGTGCTTATGATGCAAGAGGTAATAAAGATAAATACAGGGTGTTTACTATCATTCTAGTTTGTGTTTTTAAAACGACTGAATGCTTGAAACGAGCAGTAACTGTAGTTTTTCCTGTGAAAACAGATGTGTGTTTTGAAAAGACACAATGCAGGTAGCAAGTGTAAATTGACACGGTGTCCCAGAACATCAACAACACTTAGGATACCTAGAGTGTGATACCTAGACCTGAAAGTCAACTGACCAAGCAGCGATATGTGATGAGTTAGGGATGACAAAGTGTTGTAATTTTACACCCGAGATGTCGAACTTTTTTAGCTCCATGAGCCACTGAGCAACTTTTACAGAAATGATTGGGCCCCACGTTCAACTCTGTATCCAGTTCTCTTAATCATCCATGAGCTTGAGTTGACCTTTAGCAGCATAAGAGGAGGAAGAAGAGTGTGATAGAAAGAGGTATCCAGCAGCTCTGAATGTGTTTCTGATAAGAAGACCAGAATAGAAGACAGTGGTCAGTTTATCTGGAATGTGCTGACATGTTGGAGTGTCTGAGATGGAGCACACACACATGATTTTGTTTCTTAGCACACTACGCTGACGTACAAACTTTCTCTGAAGACTTCAAAGGTGTTATTCTAAATTTTCCTACAGTTAACAAATCACAAGACAACAAGGAGACTGACAGTGTGTTAGTCTGCCTCTTAAAGACTTCAGACCTTTCCCAAATCGAAGCCCCCTCACACAGAGTGTAACTCTGTTTGTAGTCAGCTAAACAGCTGAATAAAGCACCCTTCGTTTAGGTGTAGGGGATAAACACAACAGCAGGCTTTGGGACAAACTTTCCTCTTTGTGGGGGAAAGAGAACTGTCGTAACCTTTTTTTAAACATCCCATTTTATGTTCTTTATATGTATTTGTATCACTTATGTTTGATCTGTATGTGCTGCTGTTTACCAAAATTTTGGATATTATTCTTTTGTCATTGAAACAAATAAATAACTTGATAAATCAATAAATTAATAATAGAAAAAAAACATTTTGTTTGGAAAACATCTTCTCATTTTTCACTCTAATGTTTATAAGCTACTTACTTTACAGTTCCTGTAAATATACAACACTTTGCAATCACATCAATAACTGTTTTCTATAGACTAGCGAAGGCTTTATTTGATCCTTAAAGGGAAATTTCGGTTTGCTTCAACCTGTCTCCTATCGTCCTAAATTTGTTTCAAGTGACTAGTGACATAAAAATAATAGTTAACATGTTAGCCATTAGCCTAGATACAGCCGGGGCGCATAGTAGCGTCAGACCTGTTAAAGCGTAATTGAACGGGCATACTTCAAGTGCAAAGTTAGTCCAATAAACAAGCTTTTTCTCCACAAAGACCGCCTCATATCGTTAGGATAAATGTCAGAGAACATATAGAAAATGACATGTAAACGTGTTGTCTTACCTTACCGGTGTGCTGCCCTGTTTGTTTACCCCTTTAGCTCTGCTTTCCAAAGCTCGGCCGAAATATATCTCGCGAGCTCTAGATAAAGCCCAGCTGGATACTAACGTTACTCCAGGTGGAGGTGTCTCGTCCTCTGTCACATCCAGACCTTGAAAATAAGGCTGCAACCGGTCCCATTCCTTGCAACAGAGGCATTCCTCTTCTGTGGGCACTGGGGTACAGCATTCACAGGTACACCACCAATCTCCAGAGCTACGCAGCCATGCAGCAGCCATTCCTCCTCTCTCGTCCTCTACCTGTTGCACCTCTCTCTCTCCTCCTCCGTTCTTCAATTTCAAGCTCTTCTGTTTACCATTTAGCTCTGCTTTCCAAAGCGCGGCCGAAATCTCGCAAGAACAAGCAGCAACAGCTGGAAGGCAGAACCAGACAGTAGCCTGAAAAGTTCATTCATTTATTTTATGAAAGATTTATAGAATAATAGCTGACTTTTTGCCAGACTTCGACTTTGTGGAGGAGGAATTTGATTTTGCAGAGTTTGATGGCCGCCCTTATTTATTTGAGCCAGAATACACTGACGAAGAGCTTTGTGAAATTGAAGAACGGAGGAGGAGAGAGAGAAAGGCGCAACAGGTAGAGGACGACAGAGGAGGAATGGCTGCTGCAAGGCTGCGTAGCTCTGGAGCTCGGTGGTGTACCTGTGAATGCTGTGCCCCAATGCCCACAGAAGAGGAATGCCTCTGTTGCAAGGAATGGGACTGGTTGCAGCCTTATTTTCAAGGTCTGGATGTGACAGAGGACGAGACACCTCCACCTGGAGTAGTATCCAGCTGGGCTTTATCTAGAGCTCGCGAGATATATTTCGGCCGCGCTTTGGAAAGCAGAGCTAAATGGTAAACAAACATGGCACCACACCGGTAACGTAAGACAACACGTTTACATGTCGTTTTCTATATGTTCTCTGATCCTAATGATATGAGGCGGTCTTTGTGGAGAAAAAGCTTGTTTAGTGGACTAACTTTGCACTTGAAGTATGCCCGTTCACTTACGTTTTAACAGGTCTGACGCTACTATGCGCCCCGGCTGTATCTAGGCTAACATGCTAACTATTATTTTTATGTCACTAGTCACTTGAAACAAATTTAGGACAATAGGAGACAGGTTGAAATAAACCGAAATTTCCCTTTAATACAATATAACTTTTAAAATGTTAACATCTGTTCGACAATATTTAATGTCTGTCTTAGGTTAAGCAATTTAAGTTTGTAACTTAAAGTAGGTTTTTTAACCTACTTAGACTTCTCACTAGTTGGTTTGGGACAGCACTCAACGTGGCAGACCCTCCACGTGAAAGCAGAAATGGAGTAAACTGGGGAGGGCGAGGGTGTAGGGCAGTGATACTCAACTTCTAATCTAATCTAATCTAATTCACAATGAAATTTAAATTATTCACAATGGGACAACAAGGGAGGAAGACAATAAATCAGACTACTGATACACACAAAACCTGTTAGTAGATACATTCACTGCTGGTTTGAGTCTGTACATGAGATTAATTGACAAGGGGAAAACTACAGAATATTGCCAGCCTCATAATTTATTGGTATTATTTATAGGAACCAGCTATTTGTCCCATAGTGAGAGGCGAGTCCCCATCGAACAGATTCATGTCCTCACAACATGATCAATGAAAGTGTCTAACCTCGCTGTGTGTCTCAGCCATCTCTTTAACAAACTGAGTCTCCAGCGTTTCAGGCAGCAGAGAGAACAAAGTGTTGGGCAGATCCTCTTTGTCCTTCTTGTATTTTGTCTAGAAAACAACAAAAGAAAAAAAGGCTGATAAAAACACATACTACAGCATGCATTGTTCCCTTTTTGAACTGCTGAGTTATGGTGTGAAATTCACTCTGGATAAGTACAAACCGACTCAGCTGTAGGTGCATTTAGATGATGCTTCATAAAACGCCATAAAAAAAAATCTTATTGTTTAACAAGGAACTTACTGAATCCGTTCATTTATATAAAAAATTAGACCAGCGTACAGTTAGTACAACAGAAAAAGAATAACTGAGTTATAATTGCAGTTTTCATGACTAATTGTGCAAAATGAATCCTGCAAATTGCATGTTTTGTTTGAGTAAAATGTATTCTTAAATTTCATTTTTGGCTGCTGGAATTACTACCTGCAGAGCATCTACTATATGAGGCGTTCAGGGTCCTCACCTCACTCTGTATCTCTGACATCTGCTTGGCGAAGAAGGTCTCAGCTGTCTCAGGGAGGAGAGAGTACAAGTTTTTACTGATCTCCTTCTTCCCCTCTTCTTTATACTTCACCTGAGAAAAAGAGCACACAGAGCTTACTTCACCAAACTTCTCACAGATGCTGTTCACACTTATCTGTCAGTGTATTCCTCACCTCGCTGTAAATGTCTCTCAGCTCTTTAGCCAGTTGCGTCTCTGTGGTTTCAGGCAGCTGGTGGTACAGAGACCCACTCACCTCCTTTCTACTGTCCTGTTTATATTTCACCTGCACAAAGATGGCAGAACACAGCCAAGACAGAAAGAATAACAACTCCAATTCCAAAAAAACGTGGAGACTTTGTATAAAACGTAATCATATTAAAGAGAAAAAAAAAACTTTCTCTCTCTCACTTGCTCTCTTAATACAGTTCTTTCTGCCCGGATTTTTTTTCCCCGTTTTTAATTTTTTGCAAATGTTTTTATCTTGGCTTTTTATTTATCAACTTTAGAATATTGGGGGTTTCCTCTTTCTATAATTGTATGTTGTTGTTTTATCTATTTTTTTTTTTTTATCATCACCATGTTCTGTTCTGTTCTGTCTGTTTTATGTGTTTGTTACCGAATATATCATACTGTACAGCACTATACCATTGAAGAACACACAAGACAGAGAGAGAAAAGAGACAGAAAAAAATATCCAAAGTATTTTGGTAATTTCTTGTTGAATCAGACAACAAATCATGTTTGAAGGTGTGAAGTAGGGTTTCAACGTTATACTGGTTTCAAGGTATACCGTAATGTTAAAATGGATAGTTATCGTACCGTGTACATTTGCTTATCTACGATACTGAAAAAAAAATAAAAAATTGCAAATGGACAGAAAATCTCAAATCTCAGGTGTTATCTGCCTTTCTAGAGAAGACTGAAGATAAACAATCCCTTTTCACCCAGCAAAGGAACAAAATAGGTGGTTTGTGCAGCTCACTGGACACAGCAATTGGTCTACTCCCATTGGACCCTGGTTGAAGTTTCCAGTGGAAAGAAAGTAAATTATAGTGACAGAAAATGCTCCCTGTGTCACCTCCAGCAGAGGTATGACTGCAGGCCTGGATACCGTACACACCTGACTCTGCAGCTGTGAAACCTCTTTAGCATGCAGAGTGTCCAGAGTCTCAGGCAGCTTCGAGTACAGAGAGCTGGACGCGTCTTTCCTCCCAGCTTCTTTATATTTGGTCTAGAAAATAAGACAAAACAACAGTTCGTACATACAATAAGAAACATTTTCACCTAATGCAAAAACTGTGGCTGCAGCTGAAAAGTCACATTCCATGTGTTTTACAGTCTCTTTCAAACTTTCACTGCATCAGTTTGTTTTAGTCCAAAATAAAATGAGGACAGAATGTTTATCCATGACTTTCCTGCTTACAGGAAACCACTGAAAAGTACTTCAGATTCAACATGTGGTAATAGCTTTGATCATAACAAGAAACTGTGGTTATTAAATGAACTATCAGGCCGTACCTCACTTTGTATTTCAGAAACAGCTTTGGCAAACTGGATCTCGTTGGTCTCTGGCAGCTGGGAGTACACACTGACAGTCTGGCTCTTCTTCCCACTCTCCTTATACTTGTTCTAGACACAGCAACACGACAAGACATCTTCAGAAGGACTGTTTTTGTAGCTAATGTATCAACAAAAGCATAGTACAAGTCAAGATGACTAGAATCAGAATCTCTCCAAACACGACAAACACTTCCCTTTTAGTTTTATTTCCAACGTTTTTCTCTTTTTTCTTTGAGCTTAACTTACAAATTGGAGGAAGGTTTTAGTTTTATAGAGGTATAAATGATGTAAAGCTCACTGAGCTCTTTTTCCTCTGCTGGACTTTGGGACTGTGAAGAGATTTTATTTTATTCTTCAAGAGTTTGTAATGCATGTGCTTCAAAAACTGTTCTGACAACAGAAACAATCTGAGCTCAAACTGCACACAGAAGCTAAAGTACCAGAAAAACACTTCCATCCAGTTCCTGTAAATGTTCTGATTTGATCCACACATCTCACTGTTTGTGTATTTTACAGGCTGAAAACTGAATTAAAATGAAATGCAGCATTTGTGAAAGGCTTTTCTGTTCTTTCCATCAAATCCTCAAATCAAACTACAAGTAATTTCTCAGAAACAGTCGGGTATCATGTATTTAGTTAGATCTAACTATCAAGAATCTCTTTCTGTATACTATACCTCAGGAACTGTTCATCCAATCTACTTCACACTTGGCAGATGTATTGCTGGAACCCAAGGGCATGCAGTAGGGATGAATGATAATATTCAGATGTCATCTGAATCAGCCAACATGCTTTTTCTTATTTTGCACAATGAATGAATATTACATACTTTGAAAAGCATTCTATTACTGTACATGCTTCCATCTGCTACTGGCCATCAGGATAAGAGTATGCATTCAACATATGATTTAATATTATATGTACAGTACAGGCCAAAAGTTTGGACACACCTTCTCATTCAATGCGTTTTCTTTATTTTCATGACTATTTACATTGTAGATTCTCACTGAAGGCATCAAAACTATGAATGAACACATGTGGAGTTATGTACTTAACAAAAAAAGGTGAAATAACTGAAAACATGTTTTATATTCTAGTTTCTTCAAAATAGCCACCCTTTGCTCTGATTACTGCTTTGCACACTCTTGGCATTCTCTCCATGAGCTTCAAGAGGTAGTCACCTGAAATGGTTTCCACTTCACAGGTGTGCCTTATCAGGGTTAATTAGTGGAATTTCTTGCTTTATCAATGGGGTTGGGACCATCAGTTGTGTTGTGCAGAAGTCAGGTTAATACACAGCCAACAGCCCTATTGGACAACTGTTAAAATTCATATTATGGCAAGAACCAATCAGCTAACTAAAGAAAAATGAGTGGCCATCATTACTTTAAGAAATGAAGGTCAGTCAGTCCGGAAAAATTGCAAAAACTTTAAATGTGTCCCCAAGTGGAGTCGCAAAAACCATCAAGCGCTACAACGAAACTGGCACACATGAGGACCGACCCAGGAAAGGAAGACCAAGAGTCACCTCTGCTTCTGAGGATAAGTTCATCCGAGTCACCAGCCTCAGAAATCGCAAGTTAACAGCAGCTCAGATCAGAGACCAGATGAATGCCACACAGAGTTCTAGCAGCAGACCCATCTCTAGAACAACTGTTAAGAGGAGACTGCGCCAATCAGGCCTTCATGGTCAAATAGCTGCTAGGAAACCACTGCTAAGGAGAGGCAACAAGCAGAAGAGATTTGTTTGGGCCAAGAAACACAAGGAATGGACATTAGACCAATGGAAATCTGTGCTTTGGTCTGATGAGTCCAAATTTGAGATCTTTGGTTCCAACCGCCGTGTCTTTGTGAGACGCAGAAAAGGTGAACGGATGGATTCCACATGCCTGGTTCCCACTGTGAAGCATGGAGGAGGAGGTGTGATGGTGTGGGGGTGTTTTGCTGGTGACACTGTTGGGGATTTATTCAAAATTGAAGGCACACTGAACCAGCATGGCTACCACAGCATCCTGCAGCGACATGCCATCCCATCCGGTTTGCGTTTAGTTGGACGATCATTTATTTTTCAACAGGACAATGACCCCAAACACACCTCCAGGCTGTGTAAGGGCTATTTGACCAAGAAGGAGAGTGATGGAGTGCTGCGGCAGATGACCTGGCCTCCACAGTCACCGGACCTGAACCCAATCCAGATGGTTTGGGGTGAGCTGGACCGCAGAGTGAAGGCAAAGGGGCCAACAAGTGCTAAACACCTCTGGGAACTCCTTCAAGACTGTTGGAAAACCATTTCAGGTGACTACCTCTTGAAGCTCATTGAGAGAATGCCAAGAGTGTGCAAAGCAGTAATCAGAGCAAAGGGTGGCTATTTTGAAGAAACTAGAATATAAAACATGTTTTCAGTTATTTCACCTTTTTTTGTTAAGTACATAACGCCACATGTGTTCATTCATAGTTTTGATGCCTTCAGTGAGAATCTACAATGTAAATAGTCATGAAAATAAAGAAAACGCATTGAATGAGAAGGTGTGTCCAAACTTTTGGCCTGTACTGTATATACATATATATATATATATATATATATATATATATATATATATATATACATACATACTGTATGTATCTGGATCTATTTTTGTAGCTCTTTGTTATCAATGTGTTGTTTAAACACTCTGAGCAATAAAGTACAACACGTCTTGTTTCCACATCACAACTTAAAGCTCACAAACACACCAAAGTTGGAAGAGCAACAAACAGAGGAGCACATGAATGCACCATCGGCGGTGTGAGCAGTGCCCTACAATATCAGCGACTGGAGAAGGTTGGGGATTCATGACCACTCGGATGTTGGACAGGTTGACCCAGTGCATACACTTAAACGAATTGATCATAAAGAATTTAATTGCTTTTCACCCATGACTATTGCGTGTGTGCTGTACCTCACTCTGTATCTCAGTCATCTCTCGGGCGAACTGAGTCTCTGAGGTTTCAGGGAGCTGAGAGTACAGAGACGACGTCATCTCCTTCCTCCCCTCATCTTTGTACTTTTTCTGTTGGAAAAACAGAGACTCAAAGTTAATGTAGACAAACCACTGAAGGAAATTCATCTCAAGTAAAACCGGTATTAGTTGTACTCAACCAGTTCAGGATTAAAGGAGCGGGTCTTCACGAGCTATTAGTGCCATGCCATGCAGATAGTTTTGGTTTTATTTGTTCAGTTTTGTGATCTGTGATGATTTAATTTGTGAAAAATCACACATGTACATGTACTCCCTATAAAACAGACACATGAGGAGCACCTATACAGCAGATGCAGAGATGCATGTATTGCTTGAGTACAGATTTTCAGTACTCTACACACTGCTGACAAAAACTATCTGCATGTCATGTTAAAGCTGGAGGTATGAGAAAAAATGGGAAATTTGGGTGACATGACCCTTTAAGCAACCAAAAAGTGAGAACAAGTTCTGTTAAAATGCTTTGTTAATGTCAATAAAGCATATCTGAATTGAAAGAGACAAGAAAGCTGAAGGAAGAGAGACACTCACTTCACTCTGTAGTTCAGTCACTTCTTTGGCGTGTTTAGTCTCCAGAGTTTCGGGCAGTTTGGAGTACAGAGACGACTGCGCCTGCTCCTTCCCAGCCTGCTTGTACTTCACCTGACAAACACACACACACACACACACACACACACACACACACAATTCTTTACCAACAGCTAAAAGTGCACAGCTATCTTCTTTTGACCACCGTTATCAGACATGCATCCTATTGGTGGTTGATACAGCAACCATTCTGTGACATCATCGGCTGGATTATCAACTGTCAACCAATAAGATTTTATCTTTAAGCCCTGTTTGATCTTAAACAGGGGACATGTTTAAATATATGGCAAATGGAAGACATTCTTATTGCTGAGAGGTGACTGTTAGCTAGCTGTTACAACTCTATTCAAATGTTATAATTGTGTGTTCATTAGGTGAGTTATATGTTTCTTATTTTTAACTGTGTTGTTTGATGTAATCTGATTTATTTGTTCTTGGATTACTTTGAATGTTTCCTTTTCTTTTGATTGAAGTGTGTGTGGTGAACTCTGGGATAGAAAGTTGAGATATTCCTGTTTAACATCAAGTTTATTGATAAAATAGAAAAAGGGGGTAGGACTTGATTAGTATTCACTCCCACCTTTTCCTTTTAGGACATGAAATACTCAATTATGGTGGCCATTGAGACTTTGCTGTATATATTTGCTGGGTATTCTTGTTTTGTTTGCTTTCTCATATTTTTTATTTCTTTTAACATGTTCAAAACAAAATCTAAGAAAAACAGTTTGAGAGGCTGCAGCAGAGTTAAATCCAGACCTCCTTATCTCCAAGCTGTCCATCTCTGCACTTTAAACATCCGACACACTGCGAGATTATTTCAACAGCAACACATTTAACACACAGTCACACATGGAGACTGCAGAGATATGTGACAGCTACTATTAAAGGACAGTAACAATATTTTTGTATGTTTTTACCACTGATAATGTCCCAAATGTCTTCCAATAGTCTTTTGGTTTTAATAGCAGCCTGTTCTCATTCTGAAGTCATCTGCCACTTTGTCAGTGATTTTGGCATCAGACACCAATGCAGCGTCAGTTTCACAGAACTTTTCATGGTGTTATTATAAGCTGCCAGTTGGCCAGACAGCATGGCAGTATGACACATAGCTGGATGGCACCAGTTTGAAACCCTGCTGGTAAGGACGTGATATAATGAGCTGGAGAGTCTTATACAGCGGGTAGGAGGGGCGGTGGATGGGTCCAACAAACCCTGCACTTTCACCCAAGAGGCGGGTATTTACCTCCCATATGAATGTAGAGGTTTTTTTTTTTAAACCTAACCATGTGCTTTTATTGATGTCCTACCGTTGGTTGCAGTGTACTGGAAGGTCAACAGCAGACGCAAGATACCTAGCACATAATATGTAGACGTGAAAGTCCACAGACAAAGCAGCGATATGTGACGATTTGGGATGAGAACATGTTGTTAACATGTGGTTCGCTGTTTCACCTTTTGATGTGACTCACTAGAAATATAATAACAGAGCTATAACTTGTTTTTATGGACATTAAAAATTGGTACAGCAAAAGAAACTACAGCTGCAGTTGGATGAGGATTTTAATGCAGCAGCCCCCTCAACTGCAGAGCTTAACAATGAGGATTACTTGATTGCCCGGGGGCAAGTAAAATGCTGCGTAGGGCTGGTATATCTAGGAACTTACTTGCCTGATCAGGCAAGTGTTTAAAAAGAAACAATAGTCTGGAGCTGATGATGAAAGTAGCTAAGGAGTGAGCAATCTCGCTTCCTTGTCATCTCCGTTGAGAGGTGCACATGTGCAGTACCAATCAGGCACCCGCAAGAAAATGTTGGCAAAGTTTATGAATTGAGGCACAAGCGAACATTTTAATTATCCTGGAAACGGGAGTTTAGCTGGGTGGTGTTAGAGCATGTGGATGAAACTCCAACTATGTATTATACAGTTTGCCAGAAGTTTGAGAGCACAACAAATACAATGGGGTCAGTTTCATGACAATTAACTTAATTCTTTGTTATTTGATAACCACTAATAAATAAAATCTGTATAGGGGCAAGTAGTATTGACTTCAGGCATGTAGGTTTCTGACCCACTTGCCCAACCTGGCAAAGTGAAAAGAAATATTAACATTGAACCCTCGCATGGTTTAATACATTTACCAACTAAAGCCTGAATTTGATCTTAACAATGCTGTGTCTCTTTGAAAAAAAACCAAACTGAAATAATGTCTGGACAATATGGACATCAACACAGAGGGTAAGACAGATGAGACAGAGGAAGAGAATGTATCCCCCTACTTGGTTCTTGTCTGCTCCTTTTTTTCATAGAATATGTTTAAATTGTTGCAACGACAAAAAAGAGAAATTATTAAAATGCACTTCTGTCAGACAGTAAAGTCTGTCCTTGGGAATTAAAGACGACAGAGAGGTCTGACAAAAGTTTTCTTGTGTTCAATAAAAGCTCTGCAGAGCAGTCCAATAAATCAACACCTGTTCATCATCCAATCACACAAAAGGAGAGGAAACATTATAACCTGCCATATCAAAGCTTTAAAGTGGTCATTTAAGAGTTGTTACCTCGCTGTGTGTTTCAGCCATCTCTTTGACAAACTGAGTCTCCAGAGTCTCAGGCAGCAGAGAGAACAAAGTGTTGGGCAGATCCTCTTTGTCCTTCTTGTATTTTGTCTAAAGAAGAGAAAAATAACCAAACAATGTAAACAGAGAGAAAAGTGCACTTAAAGACAAAGATTTGCGTATGTGATCACATCATTGCACCTCGCTCTGGATCTCTGACATCTGTTTGGCAAAATACATCTCTGCTGTCTCTGGAAGGAGGTGGTAGAGTGAAGAGGATGCTTCCTTCTTATGTCCCTCCTTGTATTTCACCTGAATCACAGAACAAACATATTTTGAGTGACTGCAAACAATGCATGTAAATAGGTTCTGCTCTAGGCTGCAATTTTGGAAGTTATTCTGAAGTTGTGACTTCACTCAATGACGCTGCTTTTTCTTATTTTTATGACTAAAATATAAATTTAAGGTCACATGTGCTGATTCAGACCAGAGTCTTAACGAACACACAGCTGCTGAAGTCAGGTGTCACCTGGCTCTGGAGCTCCGTCACCTCCTTGGCTAGCTCAGTTTGGAGAGTTTGAGGAAGGCTGGAGTACAGAGTGGATGACTGCTCCTTCTGCCCGTCCTCTTTGTACTTCACCTGCAGGGATGACAGTGGCTTTTTGAAGGTCAAATATTTAGAACTGAATGATGGTAGGAAAAGCCTGAGGTGTAAAATAATTGGGATCTACTTAACTCAAAATCTGCAAAAAAAATACAGAGATGCAAAGAAATCTACTTTAGTCTTTTAACCCATAACTTCTCAGTATGTATTCCCTCATTTTTCTGACAATATTACATTTGTAAGGTCCTAAAATGTATATTCATTCATTTCTGTAACCGCTTATCCTCTTGAGGGTCGTGGGGGGGCTGGAGCCTATCCCAGCTGACATTGGGCGAGAGGCAGGGTACACCCTGGACAGGTTGCAAGGCTATCGCAGGGCTAACACATAGAGACAAACAACCATTCACACTCATATTCAAACCTATGGCCAATTTAGAGTCACCAATTAACTTGCATGTCTTTGGACTGTGGGAGGAAGCCGGAGTACCTGGGGAAAACCCACGCAGACACGGGGAAAACATGCAAACTCCCTTTGGGGTTCGAACTAGGAACCCCCTTTGCTGTGATGCGACAGTGCTAACCACTACACCACCGTGCCGCCCTGAAAGGTATATTAAGATATAAATTTGTGTATAGTGAGGACATTATTGGTCTTTACCAATAATGCTTGGTTGGCTGGGGTCAGGTATTGCGTTTAAGTTTAATGATCAGTTGGAAATCAGGTTTAGATTCAGAAAGAGTGGAGTTCAGGCATGTAGTGGAGAGACTGGTTTATTACTAAATGGTTCATAAGGGGCTGAATAATTCATTGGGCTCCTAGCCCACATAGAAATGCAAAGCAACTAAAAAAGAAGCCCAAAACAACCACAAGGAATTGCACCAAAAGAAGATGCAAAATTACTAAAAAGAGGTAATAAATAAGTGAAGAGAAGAACACCAACCACAAAAAGAGGCAACATAACCACGAGATGCAAAACCACCACATAGACGGCTGCAAACTGACAATAAGGAGATCCAAAATGACTAAAAAAGACATATAAAATTAAAAAACCATGCAAAATGACCACAAAGAGATGGAAAACCATCACATAGAGAGAGAGAGAAAAAAGACCCCAAGGAGATGCAAAATGACTAAAAAAAAAAGCCCAAATGATGTGGCACAAAATGACTAAAAAGAGGTGCAAAATGACCAGAAAAAGGCCTAAACTGAAGAGGTGCAAATTGATCACAAAGCAAAACCACCAAAGAGTGATGCAAAATTACTACAAAGAGGCTCAAAATAACCACAAAAAGAAGAAAAACAACCACAAATGCAAGTGACTAAAATGAGGCCTAAAATGACTGAAAAGAGGCATAAAATGGCCACAAAAAAGGAGGTGCAAAATGTAAACTATGCACAAAAAGTAAGGAAATTTGTGTTTGGTAGATTATTTCTTTGTTGATCTTTGTGTTGATGCTTTTTGGCAATAAATCTCATACCGTTGGAAAGCCTGTTTATTTTCCTTTTAGATGGTGCCATATTTGTAAGGAACATGCATTTGTGGGATGAGCAGCAGAGCTGAGTATGTGGGTTGCGCCCATGAAAAATTTGTCAAATCTTCTCTGCCAATGCCAAACAGCTTTTTTTTTTTGGCTGTTGCTATTGGCTCTTGTTTTGAGCTTCTGGTACCCCCAGGTGCGGATAATCAGGTGCCAATCAGGCACCTGATTGGCAGCACCTGTGAGCATGGGCCCTGCTACAGCGGTCAGTTGGTGTCTGCTCCAAGAATCGGCATGCCACATTTGACTGATCTGGATAGGGCCTGTGCATAGGGCAACTTCAAGCTGGTGTTCCGCAAAACCAACCATTATTTAGAGTGAGCCCTAGTACCATCTGCAAATTGAGGGCCAAGCTCCATATAACGGGGGATGTCAGAGACAGGCCACAAAGTGGGTGTCCTAAGAAGATGGCACCCCAAGAAGACCGTGTCCTCATCCTGTCAGCACTTAGGAACCGTAGGCAGTCTTCTACAGATTTGCAGTCAAGGTTTGCAGGACAATATGGCCGCCAGCTCTCTGCCCAGACAATCCAGAACAGACTGCATGCAGCCAATCTCCGGTCTCTTAGGGCTGCCAGGAGGCCTGCCATGACTGCCCTTCACCGTCAGGCCCGTTTGCGCTGGTGTCAGCAACACCTGCACTGGAACCTCAACATGTGGAGGAACGTTATGTTCAGCAATGAGTCCAGATTCTGCCTATGGCAGTTGGATCGTAGGGTCAAAGTGTGGAGAAGGCGCAGAGAATGCTTTGCTGATTGCTGCACTGATAGAGTAACATCTTTTGGTGGAGGTAGTGTGATGGTGTGAGGCGGCATCTCCCTCACTGGGAAAAAGAGGCTTGTTATCAGTGAAGGCAATCTCAATGCAGACGGATATCGAGATGAAAATCTGCAACCAGTGGCAATCCCATATCTCCACAGTCTGGGACCAAACTCTATCCTCCAAGATGACAACGCGCGCCACCACAGAGCGGGGAGAGGATGGAATGGCCTGCCAGCAGTCCTGACCTTAACCCCAATGAACACTTGTGGGATCAGCTTGGGCTTGCTGTTTGTGCCAGAGTGACTTGACAGAGTGGCTGACTTGTGACAAATACTGGTTGAAGAATGGGATGTCATCCCACAGCAGTGTGTGACCAGGCTGGTGACCATCATGAGGAGGAGATGCCAGGTTGTTGTGGCTGTGTATGGTTCTTCCACACGCTACTCAGGCTCCTGTTTGTTAAATGAATAAATTGTTAAATTGCCAATATGTCGTTTCTTCAGACTTCAATCATCCAATCCACCAAACAACACGGAACAAGAGTCAACAAGATTTGGCAAATTTTTCATGGGCGCAACCTACATACTTAGTTCTGCTGCTCATCCCACAAATGCATGTTCCTTACAAATGTGGCACCATTTTAAAGGGAAATAAACAGGCTTTCCAAATTTCCTTACTTTTTGTACTTAGTTTAGTTGTCATATATACAGATGCAGAATTGGTATAAGAATGTAAACGAAAAGGAGGTACACCAAACCAAACATCCAGCACAGAGACTCACACTAAGTTGATCACACCCGAGCCCCTCCCACCCAAGTACGAGAGACCCCGCAGGCAGGTCAAACTGCCACAGAGACTGAAAGACTTTATTGTTGAGTAAACTCACTTTAAATGGCAACAGCCTGTCAGGGCTAAAGATGGCCAATTAAGATGGGGACTGTCTGTCTTAAAAAAGAAAAAAAGACTGGGTGGATTTAATTCAGGTTTTTTTTTTGACCAGTTGGTATTAAACAGTAGTGGCGCAAATCAACTTAAGAGAGGCACAAAATGCCCACAAAAGGAAGAAAGTATGCAAAAAGGACAAAGCCACCTCAGAGATATAAAATTACTAAAAAGAGGTGCAAAACAAGTAGAAAGAGGTGCAAAATGAAAACAAAGATGAAAAAAGAACCACAAAAAGAAGCAAAATGAAGAAAAACCACAAATAGAAGAAGCTGAACCCATTAAGAAGAGCAATGTATTCAGACAGAGTTTTTGTGAATTTGATAGTACGATTGCTTTATTGAAATTACAATAGTACCATTGCCAGTAGTGGGATGGTTAGTGGGTTAAAACTGTACATTAGTAGTTGAGGTAGCACAATGAAAGGCAGATAGTTAAAGTGTTTTAAAAAACATTGGGCCACAGGGGGAGCCACAGTGATCTGTCGCATTTTTGCCATTTTTAAGCATTTTTCTGTTGTTATAGCGCCACCCAGTTGCCAATTAGAGTTAAATTTCTCCAGTCACCTTGAGGCGTCCTATACTACATATCTACCAAGTTAAGTAAAAATAAATATGGCGGTAAGACCTAGATAAGAAATTAGCTCTCTAGCACCCCCATTTTGTTTGATAGGGTCAATAATGGAGGGGTCCCCTCAGATTATGTGTGGTCATATGCCTACAAAGTTGCGTGGTGATCAGTGAAACCCTTGAGATGTTATACACCTTTATGTGATGAGCCACGCCCTCCGCAATATTCATTGCCTTATAGAAGCTCAGTTTTAGTAAGTTTTCCAACTTTTGCCAAGAGGGAACTTTAGATATTGGTCCCTAGATTATGTTCACCCAGTTTCATGCAGATCGCTCAAACTTCCTAGGAAGAGATCGATTTTCAGTGTTTTTCAAAAAATTCAAAATGGCGGAAAATCTATATAACCGGAAGTTATAGGTTCTTGAGGCAAATTTGTTCCTCATGAGGAGAGGCATCTCTGTGCAAAGTTTTATGTCTGTACGACATACGGGGCATGAGATATGCCCATTCAAAGTTTGCAATTTGAATCGGTTGCTATAGCGCCCCCCTTTGGCCAATTGATGTAATATTGCTTCATTCGCATCCTCTCATGACCCTCTACCACTGTGCCAAATTTCACATGGATTGACCAAGTCGGTGAAGAGAAAAACGTGGAATAGACACACAGACAGAGTTATTACCTAACATGCTTAGACCTCCATACACAATATGTGGAACGTTTGATAACCAGTCTCTGTACCCCTACATTCACCTTTATTCCTGTCATCAGGAATAAACGGAGATCACCTCCAAAGTTATCCCTGGTCTGGTGTTTGTGTAGGTGTAGAAGTGTGATCAGTACCTGGCTCTGGATGTGGGAGGCCTGCTTGGCGTATTGAGTATCCAGAGTTTCTGCCATCACAGAGTACAGGCAGCTGCTGGCCTCCTGTCTCCCTGACTTCTTATACTTTGTCTGCATAAAAACATTTATAGACATTTTTACATCTCTTTTTTTGTTTAAAATCCCACACATTTAAAGTTACAGCACAAAACATCCACTTGTGTTTCTGCTGAATCTAGTCGTGCATGAATGTGTCGGCTTGTAAGACTTTATCCACAATCCTCTTTTGTCTCCTCTCACCTCGCTCTGCAGATCAGAAACCCTTTTAGCAAACTGAGTCTCTGTGGTTTCTGGCAGCTGAGAGTAGAAGCTCTGAGAGAGGCTCTTCATCCCGTCCTCCTTGTACTTGTTCTACAATCAGAGACAGAAAACAGACAGATTAAAACATGAGATTATCAATAAACAGCTTGAGTGAGTTTATCGACATTTATGCCAAAATCTGAGACAAGTTTCATAACGGCTACCACTGCTTTTTACCAGTCAGAAGAACTGAGAGCTCCACAAAAACAGATTAGAAAAGTCAGTCATTCATAATAGATCCATTCATCCATAACTAAACACAGTGGCCTATTCTCAGAGGCATCACCACAGAAATCCACCACATCATAGCATCCAGCGTTGACTCACATTTTATGCTTTCCATACAGATGCAATGCTTCACTTTATGAACATTACAGTGACCAACATGCTACGAGCTGCTACAGAACATCCTTGCCATTAATATAGATGACTGTCAAAGATGATGCTTGTTATATAACTTGTGTTTTTAATGCTGGAAGTTTTAAAATTTGAATTTGAAGATTTACAGAGACACTTTGCTAATGTCTAATGATTGATTTGGAGGTACAGTAATCAGTGGTGCGAAATTTAGATGCATCTAAACATGCAAACCTTACACCAAACTCCTCTTCAAGTAATTTCACTGTCGCAAACAAATTTTAAATGCCAGGGGAAATCATGAGAGTTTTGCTGAGTTTTGGCGTGCTCCCTTGATCTCAATCATTTTGTTTAAAGGGGTAATTCAGTTTTTTTGGAATGGGGTTGTTGTGTGAGGTATTTATCCATAGACAGTTTATTACAAACAGTAGTCAGTCGGCATGTCCCCAGTTTGGAGAAGCAAGCTGGAGTCCGACATGGAAGCTAAGCAATGTACTGCTGTGGAGGGGGTCAGCAACAAAATGTATTTTAGACACCTACAAAAGTCTCACCCCAAAAAAATCAATATTGATTTAAGTGTACACTACATTGAGAGTATTTTCACCGCTTTATCTTTTTGTCAGACAACTCTTTCTGATGGGGAAGCTGTTAACGATTTCAGCTCCCCTTCTATGCTCTCATCGAAACCACCAGACTCTATTGACCAAACAGTACTTCTGGCACACTGAACGCAGCATGGTCTACTTCATGCTGGTCTACTGCTGCTTCGATCAGTTAGTTAGTTAATATTGTTGTGTGACTTTGGTGAATCCAAACTAGCTTCTTCAAACCCCAAAGTCACACAATTACACAAACAAAATAACAGTTTGAGGCAGCAGTAGAGCAGCAGCTCCTGTGTTCAGTAAGGTAAAATCACTGTTTTTTATCAATGGAGTCTGGTTTTTAAAAAAAGTGATATTACAGCTTTAGTTTCCTGTTGGAAATCACTTTCTGACAATGAGGTGAAGCTGTGAAAATAATCTCAATTTATTACGCACTTCAACTGATATAATTTTTTTTAGGTGGCTAAAGTACATTTTGCTGCTGCCCCTCTATACAGCAGTACAGTGCCTAGCTTCCATGTTGAATTCCAACCTCCTTCGTCAAACCGAAGGCGTGCCAACTGACATCTACATGTACTGTATGTAATACACTGACTATGGGTAAGTACCTCATATAACCCCATTTCAAACAAAAACTGAACTAGTCCTTTAAGGTGGCCATAAACCTTAATCAGAGCTGTCTTAAGTTAGTCTTTTTCTTGTCTTGAAGTTCCAAAACAATCAATCATGTTTATTTTTATGGGAAATTTTGACTCTTGGCTAATGCAAATAGCAAAGATTAATGACGTGAACATTGTTGACAAACAACAGGCACCAAACAGGAAGCAGCAAACTGGGTAGACAGTTAGCATAGAGCGGACTCCACGGAGGTGTAAGAACAACATGAACATTAAAGTGTCAGTTCTCTTGCTGTGGAAAAGGCGGAGAAACTGGTGGAAAGTTCACCTCTCATTCCCACAGTCTCCTCCCACTAAAAAGTGCAACCAACCAACAGAGGCTGGTAGGGAGTGACACGACAAAATCCAAACAAAAGTTTGTACATAAATACAGTTATATGTTATATAGTTTTATGTATTATATTGATAACGAATTGACAAGAATACTGTCGACATATGACACCTTTTATCTTGTGTTTAGTTTCTAGAGTTTTGAGAAGATGTAAGGAATTGTTACTGACTGTCATATTTCTTAAAGGGAGTTTGGCATAGTATTTTCTACCAGGAGCAGGATGGGAAATGAACTCAAAAGGAATCTTGCTGTAGTGACAGTGACCCTACAAGATTCACAGTTTTTGTAACATCTTATAGTGTGTGACTCATATTGTCTTTAAATGTGACAGGGTGTCAGCTTAAGTCTTAAAAATCTTTTCAAAGTCTTTCAGTGTATAGTAGGCATAAATCATCTAAGTGGCAACTGAGCAAACTCCATCTGCTGACAAAGGCCCTGAGATGTGACTGAAAGCACTGGAAAATCTTCAACAAGTCGACCTTGTGCAATGAATTACATTAAAAAAATAATTTGCGGAGTCCAAAATACTTGTTTCTGAACATCTGTGCTGTCTGTGAGGAGAGTGTAAATATATCTATGCAGGAATAATGTGCTGGATCTTGTGCATATTATTTAAGTATTAATGGTGCATTCTAAAAGATTGTCATATTTTTAAAAAATATCTGAACTAAGTTGCATCTTTCACACAGCAGCTGCCTGTCTCAGTGTTTTCTGATCAGGACAAACTGCAAAAATCTCTTTCAGGATCTATTTTTTCCATATCTACTGAACACTTTACTGGAAGACATGGTTACTTCATTGCTGTATGATTTTAAAACCAGTCCAAATACTTCAATGTGTCCCTTCACTGTCTGCTCTTACTTGGCTCTGCATGTCGGTGAGCTCTCGGGCAAACTGGGTCTCCAGGGTTTCAGGCAGCTGGTGGTAAACTGGACACGACAGCTCCTTCTTAACAGCCTCTTTATACAAGATCTAAAAGACACAGAGGGGACAACACATGGACAGTCACTGACAAGGACGAATGAGACATTTAAAATGATATAAGTGTTGCTAAAACATGCAGCTGGGGTATACCTGCACCATTTGAGGAAAATACTGTATATCATAATGTTGAATATCATGATAAAAGTGTTACTTGTGATATATATACACAGATATTAAGGTGTAATCAGATGTCTGCTGCTTTCAGTGTACGGCAAAAATACAACAAATTGCTTGTTGAACTAAAAGAATTAGAGGAAATTATTTCCAACCTTTTATTAAACAAATTAAACATTGAACACAAAAGACACCAATGAAAAAGAATGTTAGTTCACAAGTGCAGTTTTCTACTGATACCCTCGTTCAACTTACTCAAACAATCCATTACAATGAATGAAATGAAAAGAAAAAAACATTACATTTTGCAGCCTTAAACTGGGGGTATAGGTAAGTTTGCATTTTACAGCTCCCAGACTATGAACTGAGTAAATTTACAATACTGCAGACCATTTTCCTAAGCTGTCAGCTGTTAGAGCATTCTTGATTGCACCAACATGTTAGAGGATTTTCAATCTTTTTGTTTTTCCACAACATGTGTGTACGCATGTACCTGACTCTGCAGCTGTGACGCTTCTTTGGCATGTTGTGTCTCCAGAGTTTCAGGTAGTCTGTGATACAGAGACATTGATGTCTGCTTCTTACCGGCCTCTTTGTATTTAGCCTGTTGATACAGGAATCACATTTAGGTTTAATGTTACAAAATAATGAGAAAAGAACTTTTCACTGTTTAATTTTTCTTTAAACACTGGTGTTTACTATTTACATCTTGCAGCGCTCCTTCAACTCCTTTAGATTAAATCATACTTCTCCAAACTCTGAGGTCATCCCGTGTGAATCTTTATCTCAATAAATTGTTTTTTTGTCCTTTATTGGATATACCAGCAACAAAGGTCCTCAGCCAGAGTCAAACCTGGGATGTCGCAGTGGTAATGTACGTGTCTTAATCACTGAACCACTAAATTTAGGGTCTATTTTTTTCCTGCAAATGTTCTATTTCATTTTTTTTTTCCTCCTTGCCTGAATGCAGAATGACTGATACTGCACACAAAATATGAAAAAGTAGCTTTGGTTGGATTTTGGTAGGTGCTTCACCAAACTACACTACATGGAGTGTAGGGGGAAAAATTCAGTTCATGTTACAATCTCAATTCTTATCTTTTATGATTCCAAATTGATTCACAACTTCCAAAACTTCTTTGTCTGGCAATGCTGACTTGCCAAGCAGCCTTTTCTATATTTTGTAGCAGATTACTGTACATAGCTGTAGACTATGTAGATTCTAAGGAATCCAGAGCTGCAGCAAGCAGTATGACAACTGGTTAGTCAGTTGCTGTTAACGTTAGGTCTAGGAGTTGGTAGCCTATCTTAAACGGAGAATCAAATGGCAAGAGATTCAGCCAGGCAAGCATTTGGGCACTTTGGATTCTACAGTCTCCAGAGGAAGATGAGCCTGATATGATCCATTCAATATGCAAGGTTGTCAAAATGAAAGTTAAGTACTTTCATGCCACAATTTGCCATATGCCTTTCTTAGTGTACAGTTGACTGGAGTAGAACCTTAAATTAGTACTTCTATGGACTGAATTGAGATTTGATTTTGAATCAAATCATGACCCAAATAATTGAAATCAAAGTGATGAGATACTGAAAGATTCATACATCCGTTTGGAGAAAGCACATCTGGAAAGATGAGACTGGTGGCATTTGGAAAACAATATATTTAAACAAACGTCATAGTTTTACTATGACCATATGTTCTAATACATCTCTGTTATCTCTTATCTAAAGATAATCTTGAGATTTGTTTTAGTTTATCAGAAAAAAATACAGACTTTTTGCTGTGTGAATGTGCTAGCAGTAAATTCCTAATTCATATGAAGTTTGCAGATGATTCTGTCAAAGTGTGACTTGACTGTACATTCAGTCTACAGTCTGAACTCACCTCACTCTGCATGTCTGACAGCTCTTTAGCATGCTGCATGTCGATGGTGTCGGGCAGAGAGTATAAGTTGATGCTCATCTCTTTCTTACCTTCTTCTTTGTACTTGACCTTGTGAAGAGGAGAAGAAATATAGCCAGAAGGACAAGAATAAACCACTCATTTATTCACTCAGATGAGTTCTCAAATGTTACAGCAGGGAGAGAAAACAGTCTGAAATACACCAAAAGTCTAAATCTTTGTGTATTTTTTTTTTAAATCAAATATACGTAGATAAATGAAGACTATACTCATTCATTACTAAATAAATCTCTAAATGAAAGACAAGGTTTTGAGCTGTGAGGATGAAACAAACTACAACAGATGAAAAGTTTTTGTTCTGAAGGATGAAGCAGTCATACGTCACTAAGCATCTCCGTCTGCTGCCTGACAAAGTGAGTGTCGATGGTTTCTGGCATCAGGTGGAACAGACTGGAGGCGTCTTTCTGCTTGTACTTCAGCTGAAACACACGTGGTCAAAACACACGACAATCACTTTATTCAGTTCTGTTCAATCAATAGATACACTGAATAAATACAAACTGTTTTTACAGCTGGATGAAGGACATATAAGAACAATGAAACACATCAACAGCTAAAGAGAGGTGCTTTTAATCCAGTATATCCAGTTTCTTTCGTTAAGCGTAAAGCTAAGACCTGAGTTTTGGTCTTTCACAGTTTAAGATATGACTTTTTGGCCAGTTAAAAAAAACAAACAACAAAAAAAAAAAACAGTTTTCAGAAGAAAGGGTGAAAAGATTTAAAACCTGTCTTAGAGGTATAGTTTGGATTTTTGGAGGTACTTCTCCATGGACAGTGTATTACATAGAGCAGATAGCAGTCAGCACGCTCCCAGTTTGGAGAAGCGGGTTGGAGTACTGCCACAAAAGCTAAGCAATGTACTGCTGTGAACGGGGGCATATTTTAGCCACCTAAAAAACAATCAACATCACTTTAGGTGTATGCTATATTTAGAATGCTTTCACTCCCTTTCATCCCACAGACAGCCCTTTCTGAAGGGGAACTGAAGCTGTTATATATGCTCACTTACTTGGGCATCAACAGTACTTTTACCTTGCAGAACATGGGAGTTACTGGTCTACCGCTCCCTTGATTGGTAAGTTACTTTGTGTTATTTTGTGACTTTGGTGTTTTAGCGTTGATTCAGGCACATCAAAGTCAGAAAAAATAACACAAACAAATTAACCAATCGAGACAGCGGCAGACCTGCAGCTTCTGTGATCTGCAAGGTATAATTATTGTTTTTGTCAATGGAGTCTGGCCTAGAGAGTGATGTAATGCATCATTGGATATCACTGTCTGATGGCAAGGTAAAGCAGTGAAAATATTCTAAATATGGCATACACTTAAACTTTTATTGATTATTTTAGGGGACTTAAATTTGTATTTCTGCTTCCTCTGTCCACAGCAGTACATTGCGTCAATCAAACTCTGGGGGGGACCAAACAACTGAACTCGGGTCTCTGCTCACTTCCAAGTGCACTAGACAGTCCCTCCAGGATCTCGTGGCAAAAAAACCTTGAATTTGTGGCCAATTTTGTCAAAAATTGTGATATAAATTGTGGCATTTTTATGTGATTTTTTTGCCGGAAACTGTGGCAAATGACAAAAATTGCAGCTAATGACAAAAGTAGAAAAAAAAAATAGATTTTTTAAAATTACTACCTCCAAAAAAATAAGTCATGTAATCACTTGCTATAATAATCATACTGAATATTACAAAAATAGCTGCAAATGTTTTAAAGGGATTGATAAAAACACCAAAGCAAAAACAGAAAATCTGAGACCGAATACATTTGGTGTTGCTCCATTCAGAAATTCTGTCCAATGGAAGAGCGATCGTTTTGAAAGTTTGACAGTGCACTTGACGAGTGCAGTGTGAATGCTAACCCAACCAAATTAAAGATGCAACAATGTTGCAACTTGACCCACGAATCTCACTGAGCCTGCTGAATTGTAGGTGGGAAAACGCCATCAAGTCTTACTTTTGGGTCAGGTATACTTTTATAAACTTAATAAAAACATGATGAAGAAAGCTGAGAGATTTGAAGTCGCCTTAAAATTTACACTCAACACATTTATGAGATTGGAAAGTTATCAGATAATAAAAAAAGCCACATGCAGAGCAAGAAGCATTTGAGACAGATAGAAATTTGATCTTCCTGTGTTTTTGGCGGTCACCAAACAGCTTCAACTGTATTACTGCCACTCTCTGAACTGGAGAGAAGATTTGCCCTGATTTACACAAAACAGGGAATTAACAAAAGTGTGTGCTTAAGTGTGTGGACAGATGTTGACTGTGTACCTGACTCTGCAGCTGTGAAGCCTCTTTAGCATGCTGTGTCTCCAGAGTCTCAGGTAGAGTTGAGTACAGAGAGCTCATTGTTCCTTTCTTTCCTGCTTCTTTGTACTTCACCTGAAAACAGAAGCACAAACTGATAATGAACTTATTGCCCTTAAAAAACGATTTCAATTAATCAATCTTGATAAAATCAGTAACAACACATGTTTTAAACTTAGTCATCAGGACTCTAATTGTGCACAGACCTGTTGTCACTGAGCTTTTGCTAGAATTTCTGTTTTTTTCCCAGGTCAACTGAAATTAGTTTTGAAACCTTGAGAGATTGCAACATTTATACTGTTGAACATGAAGTGATCACACATGAAAGACACTGAAATATAGAGATGTGTGTCATCTGCGTATCTGCAATACCCAATTCAGGGTTTGTGTTTTAAATGAGTTACAATGACACAAAAAGTGAATCCCTTTAAGAACAGTATTAAGGGTATCCGGTGACATCATCAAGCACAAGAAGGTTTGTCTTTCTGTTATATTTTTTATATTTTCAGGACAACTTCATTCATGAAGTTCTTCTCTCCCTCACCTCACTTTGCAGCTCAGTGACAGTTTTAGCGAACTGAGTCTCAGTCGTTTCTGGAAGCTGAGAGTAGAAACTTCGCTTCCCGTCCTCCTTGTACTTGTTCTGGAGAAGATGGAAAGAAAAGAGATGAGTTTGATTTATAAACAGGCCAGATACTGACACAGAAATACAAAACAGCAACAGCTACCATGTTTAGAACCATGTGAATCTACTCCTGAATACTGAGAAGCTCCACTAAAGCTCCTTTTGGTCCCAAAAAGTTTGTTTTAAGAAACCGGCACAAATCTGGTATCACCGATCAGATATTGTTGATGACTCTTCTCTAATGCACATTACGAACAGACTGTGATTCCCCTTTGATCCTGTTTCTGATGCTAATGTGGCCTCTGATGAGTGTCTGAGGTATAAAAACATCAGAGAGCATTGGATAATGGGGTAGTGATTATTTATAACTAATCAAACAGCATTTTTACTGCAGCTCTCTCAGTTATTTTGAGGAGCTCTCAGTTGAAGCTCATCCAGGATCCCTCCTGCATACTGGAGACCTCATGTTTATTTAATATCACTCCAAAATGTCTGAGTTGGAAGAGACGATTTATGATTCCCCACATTAGTATTACTTTGTTTTTTTATTTACTTATACATTTCTTTCAAATCAGCGCTGTTGGCTCAGTTTATGCAGCTGAATAGGCATGGAAATACTTGTTTCTGACTGTCTGGCAAGTTTAAAGATGTATGAGGTGAACTTTAAATATAGCTGGTCCAAAATCAGTGCACAAGGCAATTAAGCTGCAGGTAACCATAGAAACAGTACTGATGAGTCACGCTACTATGTGTGTATTTACATTCAACCATTCTATTGTTCGTATTAGGTTGCTATGATTATAGATTTTTCTCATTGTCAACAGGTCCATGAAATTACCAAAACCAACATGTTAGTTCCTCTCTCGATACTGATTTTTTTGGCTTTTTCTTCTTTAATTGATGGGACAGTTGAAGTGTGAAAGGGGGAAAGGATGGACGGGAAGGCATGCAGCAGGGAGCTGTGGGCTGGAATTGAACCCATGGCTGCTATGGCAAGGACATAGCTTTGGGACGCCTACTCTACCTGCTGAGTTTTTGGGCGCCCTGAAGACAAAGTAAAAAAACAAAACAAACAAAAAACCTCACAAATATTTAGTTTGTGTTTGAATTATCTAGTTTGTGCAAAAAGGTTCAAATCCAGGTGTTGTTTGACTGAAGATGTTTCTTATTAGCCCTGGGTTATTTCAGTCGATTAACAGCCTAGTACCTGACATCTTTTATGGTACCACCTCAGATGAGGTTCCAAGCAAGCAGAGCCAATACTACAAGGTGAAATTAAAACACTGCAGACTGTGGATTTGTCAGAGAGAATAGCCACTAAAGTGCACAGGACATCTTGCACAAACCTGTCTTTTTTAAATAGCCAAGCTACCGGCCAACAGCAACTGCAATTTTTTTATTGGCTTAGTGCTGATTCTAAAAAATTAGGCCCTTTAACAAAATGTATGAAGGGTATCAGTGTTCAGTAAAATCTTGGTTGTATTTAACAGTCCCTGAATATATCCTAAGTATGTGCACCTAATATTAATCTGTGTTAATCTCTACACATCCTTCACTGAGAGACACCATCAGGTAATGAAGGTAATGTAACCAGAAATATCTTGGCTGTGTTTTTATTTACCTCGCTCAGCATGTCAGTCATCTCTCTGGCAAAGATGGTCTCTGACGTGTCAGGCATAGTGGAGTAGAGGGAGTTGGACATCTCCTTCTTCATGACTTTTTTGTATCTGGTCTGGGGAATAACAGCATTAACAAGCAGAGAGGAGAATGAATGACATGAGTGGATTAAAACTGTTTTTGTGTTGCACATTGGTTGTACGGTCAGACCTGCACAACTCTCAGAAATCAAGCAAGTAGGAAGTTATTTATTTACTCTTACCTCACTGAGCAGCTCTGCGGCTTCCTTAGCGTGCTGAGTCTCCATAGTGTGAGGCAGGACGGAGTACAGACATGTCTTCACCTCCTTCTTACCCGCCTCCTTGTACTTTGTCTGCAGATTGACATGAACATAGTCACTTTGCACGATGTGGTGGTTTGTGCAGGAAAGTTTGCATTTAATTAAGTTTATTGACACCTTGACTGTAGATATAATTCATCATCCTGGGCATCCTGACTTTCAGAACACATGTCAATGGAGATAAAATTTTGTTCTGTGAGCACCTTGTACGGAAACCAAGAACAGCCGTGCTTGCACTTTTAGGGGCGTTATCATGAGATCATGAGTTAATTATTTTGTTATCTTGATATGATAAAGCTCCTTCTCTCAGGTTAAACTATGCTGGTTCTTGAGAAGACAAATTGCAGATTTCTCATGTAAAAGATCAAGGTGTCATATCTTATCTCAAGATCATGTGTTAATAATAAAGCGCTTGAAAATGAGTGTCTGGTTAAGTTGATCACACCTGATTTCAGTTTCAAGATCATTGTCACAACTGTCAGGAAAAATTCATGTCTGAATAAATGAATGAATTACTGGGTACTAATTAATCTGACATTTTCAGATTAAATCAGTTGCTACAGTTGTCAAGGTGCCATTTATGCATGCTGGCATGGAAGTCCTGATCTCTGATAAGAATGATAAGCTTTTGTTTTCTCGAGATAACTGGTTGATTATCTCATTATCTAGAGATAATAAAGGGTATTTTTTCAAATTAATAAAATAACTTGTGATCTCGACATAATGGCATTGAAAATAATTACTGAAAGCACGGCTGTCGGCTTCCATACTTTGTCCATAAACTAACCAGCGTACAATTGCACTCTCGGAACAACAAAAGAAAAACACTTTTTTTTTCTCCAAAATTTCATCTCTTGGATTAATACTCAATCCTTCAAGGATTTTGTGGGTTTTGGGATTATTGTGGCCTGAAATGTCTAATTTTACAGCAGCTTTTCTGAAAAATTGTGCTGCATGTTGCAATCTTCATAGGCATTTTTTATAATAAAATTTTGGGGGCAAGTGAAAATTGCAAGTACTGTCTCGGATCAGTGCCAATTATAATGAGCATTCAGTCTTTCCCACAGAATTAGAATCTATATGTAATGGTACAGGGGTTGGGGTAAGTGATAGCTGATTGCTGATGATCAGCTGTTGCCGCCATTTAAAGCAGCGCTGAAGGACCATCTCCATGAGCCACTCTCCTTCCACTCTCTCTGCCCAGTTAGCGTGAGCTAACACAGCAGCAGCGCCTAACATCCAACACAAGACTGTTTATGGTCCCAACAATCTCAAACCGACACCGAAACAGCTCAACCCAACTGCAAAACCAGTTATTAGCCACTGGGTAAAGTTAGCCATGTGATGCTAACAGTTAGCCCTGCCCTGTATTTGACTCTGTCCAGGGCACAGAGCTCTGGTCACGCAGTGGCAGTCTCATGATAAACAGAGAGAGAGAGAGAGGGGCTGAGCAAATCAATACCCTGCACGCAGCTCTATAATGAAACAAGAGTTTACCCATTTGAAAAAGTCAAATTTGCTGTAAAGTTTTGGTTACTGGGGAAAATTATTTATGAGGATTGGCTAAATTTGAGTTAATTGCAGCAGTCGAGGCATCAAACCATCCTGGAGGGACTGGATACTTTGTTCAGTCTTGTTCTCAGTGTCCCCGGCTTAAATGCAATAACATTTAAAATCCCTGTACCTCGCTCTGTAGTTCAGTCAGCTGTTTGGCCAGCTGTGTCTCCGTGGTCTCTGGGAGCTGATGGTACAAACTGCTCTGAATCTTCTGCTTCAGACCTTCTTTATACTTCAGCTGCAGGAGACAGGAAGGAATATCATAAAAATGTAACAATTCCAAACTTTTTTTTGTAAACGCTGTTATATAAGTTACTATATACATTACCACCTCTTACATTTTACACAAATCTATTATTCTTACAAAAGAACAGAAAGTGTCAGCCTTTCTTTGGCCTTGCTCCACATATGAACTCATGGACACTGCAGACAACGAGGGCAATGCATATTTAAATTGCCATAATGGCTAAAAACTGGAAAAAGAGGGCCCAAGATAAGATTTTTTTTTTGAGGGGAGACAGCAGGTCAACAGTAGAGGAGAGAGTTATCATTCAGATATCTTGAGGTGAGAGGTCAAGGGACTACTGAGAAAATGGCCATGCCAGTTTTTTCCTTGCCAAAACTGAGCCTAACTTTGGAGTGTTGTCTAGCCCCCTTACTAAGAAGCTAGCATGACCTGGTTGGAACCACTGAAATCCTCAGGTCTTCTAGGTTCATATGATGATCATCATCACTCCAGCTTTAAACTCAGCCCACTACAGCCTCTTAGAAATGTTGGCCAGGATCTCCGGCAGCTTGGCAGTTCTCAGAGGGTTAAAGCTATTTAGACAGTTTTCTGACATGTGTTTTAATGCGGAGAAAAAGACTCTGCACTGCTCTCTGTTGCTCCTGAATTTAACTTAAACTAAATTACACCATGCAGGGCTTGACGCTAACTTTTTTCCCAAGGAGCACATGTGCTCCTAAGTTGAAAAAGTAAGGAGCGCACAAAGAACTTTAGGGGCACAATGTAAATTGTTCAAATAATGTGTTTTCCGTAATAAACGTGATGCAAATAGACATTTACAAGCAAAATTATTTAATGAATTTGTATACAAAATGTAGAGAAAGGTAAAATCATCAAGTTTTGAAAAAGTATTGCAATTTAATTTTGTCTTTAATGTTATTATCTCATATATATTATCTTTGCAATATGATTATCTTATATAATGTTATTACTATCCTAAAACATTCTCCAGGTCCTCTGAAACTCTGCAGGACTTAAGCCTCTTCCACACAGAGCACGATTTTCGCGGCGCCCACCGCAGGGTATGGCGCAGAGCAAGCGGAGAGCAAGACACGCAAGACAAGATTTGGGGTACAGGCTCGTTCAGGAGCTACAGCTCCATGGTGACCGCTTCCGGGTCTACTTCAGCCTCTTCTCTGCTATTGGACGCACCTAGGTGTCGTCACAGCGCGTTGCTATGAAATTTTAAAAAATTCAATTCGAGCGCAGGCTGGCGGCACGCAGACGCCGCGGCATCAGCTCGGCGGCAGAGTGGTGCGCTCTTGCGCCGTGGTAGCACATACACAATGAATGGGTTCGTGGGCAGAGGTCTGCGCTTTGCGCGCTCTGTGTGAAAAGGGCTTTATTTCCACCCTGCCCAGCAGCGGTACCGTGGCGAACAGTCCCTAACTGCGGGGAGAACGGAGCAGGCTTCACCGGAGGTCCGCAGCTTTTCCCGGTCCCTCATCTCTGCTACACTTTGACTTATTTCCACCCAGCCGACAGCCTGGCCGTGGAGAACGGTCTCTAACTGCAGGGAGAACGGAGCAGGCTTCCCCGTAGTTCCGCCACTTCCTCCACACTTTGACTTATTGGGCTCTAGTTTTGCAGACCCGGCGCGATTCGCCAACTGTGTGTGGCCAGGCGGATTTTGTAAGTTTGGCACACCATGCGCCCTGGCGCAGCTACTCCTCTTTCCCACCTCCGTCCCCCCTACCTGCGCAAGTCGGAAAGAGGGAGGAGAGAAGGCGTGGAGTGGGTTTTACACACATCACACCAATCAAATAAGCCCCTCTACTCGCCCTTAAATGTGCTGCGCGAAGGCGTAGGGCTCTAGTTTCGCAGACCTGCGCTTCGCCAACTGGGTGTGGCCAGGCGGATTTTGTAAGTTTGGCACAACGTGCGCCCTGGCGCAGCTACTCCTCTATCCCAACTCCGTCCTTCCTACCGGCGCAAGTCGGAAAGAGGGAGGAGAGAAGGCGTGGAGTGGGTTTTACACACATCACACCAATCAAATGAGCCCCTCTCCTCGCCCTTAAATGCGCCGCACGAAGGCGTGATGAGAGTTTACTCAATTCGCCATGGCAGAACAGAGCAGCAGTGTCAGACGGCCAAACTTCTCCCAGGAGGAAACTGATGTTTTGGTCCGGGAGGTCCAAGCTCGCAGTGTCCGAATATACGGAACTGCGAGCAGACCTCCACGGGCTGATGATGCAAAGGTAGCCTGGGAGGAGGTCACCACAATTGTAAATCAATGTTGCGTTTCTCTCGTGCACGCGCGCTCTCTCTTTCTCTCTCGCAGTCTCACTCTGTTTCTTTTCTTCTGACTTTTCTAAGATGACAGATGCTGAATATATATTCCCTATCTGATGCTGTGGCTGTTTGTGGTTGGCTGAGAGGGATGTGAACTCATTAGTTTGCAGCTGTGTTAATCAAATCAGGTTGGGTTTCCATTACGCGTGCCAAACGTGCCAAACGGTGCCAATCCCCTTTGATCTGACATCAGATGTGACGGGACAGTCGATATAGAGATACATTTATGTGCTGATTGCAGATAGTTGCATTGAATAGTGGTTTCTGTGGGTATTTATTGCATTGTTAATGTGCCTGACATTCTGGAAACCTGCCTGTGAGGTTTTGGTGACGTGTGCACACTGTCCGCTGGTCAGCCAAACTTCGGCTTACACCGGCTGCGCTCCCCCTGCGCTGACAGTAGACGTGGTTTCAGTTGGCGAGCTTTTAGCGCACCTTCGGCGAAGCCTTTTGGCACGAAACTGTCACTGCGCCAAGCTGGATCTGTCAACACCTCCCCCTGCTGCGCCGCCACACCCATTTCAGCGCACCTCGGTCAGCCAAACTACCAAACTGAGCGCGCCTCGGGTTGTGCTGCTTGAAACTAGCTCTGCACGGGGTTTGCCACCCTGCGCTGCGCCGGGAAACTAGAGCCCATTGACTTATTTCCACGCTGCCGACAGTGGGACTTATATTCATTGTGCCGACAGTGGCTTGGAAAACCGCCCATAACCGTTTCACATGGGGAAGAGGGAAGAGGGAAGGCGGCTCCTCCAACATTTGCGGTTAGATTATCATATTTTTTTATTGACAAAAATATAGGCTGCTTCGGCTGTTTTTTTATGCGCACATGTGCCCCTAAATATTTTTTACAGTTCGCACACACCTATTTTTAGTTGCAAATGCGAGTGAAACGCTCGCACTGTCGAACCCTGCCATGTACCAATGTGTGCATACATTTTAAGTAATCAGCTGATTCAGGTATCTTGATTTTCAGTGCAGTGGGCTTTAGAATGGGATTATAACACCCAGAAATATCCTTTTGAGACTACAAGACTCACAAACGAACACGTCACATCATGACAAAACTATGGAGGAGAGGACACGAGTTAACAAAACAGTCTGAATACCTCACTCTGCAGGTTTGACACCTCTTTAGCGTGTTGGGTGTCGATGGTCTCAGGCAGCAGAGAGTACAGGTTGATGTTCATCTCCTCCTTACCCTCCTCTTTATACTTTACCTGGAAAAAGACATATGTGCTGATTTTTGGTCTGGAAAATGTCTCATGAAGAAGGAGGAGGTTCTTTAAAAAACTGGGAGTCTACAGTAAAGTTTTCATTCTTGTTGTTACCTCGCTGAGGAGCTCGGAGACTTCTTTAGCGTGGGCTGTCTCTAAGGTCTCAGGCAGGAGGTGGAACAGACTGGAAGAGCGACCTTTCTTCAGAGCTGCCTTGTACTTCAGCTGCACACAAACAGGAGCAGAGACAATTATCTATCTATAAAAAGACACATGGATGGATGGGTGGATGGGTGGATGCATGTTTGTTACAGTGTGTAGGTGTGGGAGGACCATGTGAGCTACAGGTTTTTACCTCACTCTGCAGCTCAGAAGCCTCTTTGGCGTGCAGTGTCTCCAGAGTCTCAGGCAGAGTGGAATACAGAGAGCTGGACACGTCTTTCTTTCCCTGCTTGTACTTTGTCTAAAATTCATTCAGTGAGATGATACTTGTTGATAATTCGTTCAATACAATGTCAACAACAGAAACATTCAGCTCAAATTAAAACAAGAGCTCCACTGTATAGGTGTACATAGCAATAATCTGTTGGATTGTGTACAGTAGAACTGCAGTGATTAGTCTATTAATCGATTAGTTGATTGACAGCTATTTTTATAATCAAATAATCACTCTAATTATATTTCAAGCATAAAAACCCAAAGAAACAAACAGTTGCTATACACCTGTATAGTGGATTAATTTGTACAGTTAAAAGTCTCACTGATGTTATATTCTATATCAGCACTCATGGAATACTTCTCATATCTCTGTTGTCTCTGAGTTTATTCTCAGCCCTATTTTCTGTCTGTTTAGATCTGCAGAATGGATGCATGTTGATTCGTCACCTCGCTCTGCAGCTCAGAAACAGTTTTAGCAAACTGAGTCTCAGCGGTCTGTGGTAGCTGACTGTAGACACTCTGTGAAAGAGTCTTCATCCCATTCTCCTTGTACTTAGTCTGTAAAAAGACAGAATATATTTGGAGTTACTTATCTGGACAGATCAGCTTCATAAAACTTTATTTGCAGGGGAACATTCAAGGTGAACAGGAATGCACTCAGTAATGGTGCTGCAGGAGAACAAAAACACTTTGCATCCACATATCAACATTTACCTTTTTTTAAAGCTAACATTGCTGCTTTTATATTCTCTATTTTCTTTGTGTGTTCTAAATAGTCTTCTCTTCATTGTCTGTGTTTGATGAACACGTCTTTGTGTCCTCACAGATCAACACTGACGGTGAGCCAGGCCTCATTAGTGAGGACTGTTTCTGTGCAACATCACTCAAATGCAAATGCAACACAGATAACCTCTTTGATCCTTTTCTGATGATAATCACACTTTGTGATGACCAACTCATGATAAAAACATCAGATATGATGAGGCAGCTTTCCGCACAACACCTTCAGAGTGTTCAATTTGACATCAACCACATCTCATTTTATCTCATCTGCTCTCACCTGCTTTGGTCAATTCACAGACATGATCGGGTTTTTTCTACATTTTATTGTTTTTTGAGTTGTTACTTATTATTTGTTTTTTATGTTGTACAACTTTTTCATCATTTCACAGCTTTTATTGTTGTTTATCGTTCTTGACAGACAGCGCTGCTAGTTATTTATGTCTTTGGACTTCTTCATCATTTTATTGGGGTTGTTATTATGTATCCTTCTAGCCTGTGTGAACGTGAATTCAGGGCATTGCTGTAAAAGAACTCAGTCAGTTTTCCCTGAATAAACAATGGTTGATGATGATGATGATGATGATGGTGATGATGATGACGATCACATGACAGGGTATCTATTTTACCACATTTTTGATAACACACACTTTAGTCACTTCATTATTAACAATTGGTTAAAGGGATAGTGCACCCAAAAATGAAAATTCACCCATTATCTACTCACCCATATGCCGATGGAGGCTCAGGTGAAGTTTTAGAGTCTTTGCGGAGATCCAAGGGGAGAGGGGGTAGCAACACAACTCCACCTGATGGAGGCTTACAGCGCCCCAGATTCCAACGTCCAAAAACACATAATTGAAACCATAAAATAGCGAGAGCATGTCAACATACATGAACACGGTGCCCATGTCTCACGGTCTTGCGCAAGCGCACACGTGAACACGGTGCCAGAGAGGCAGTTAGAGCTGCAGGCTACAATGAGGCTACAAACAGAGTTCAAATGACGTTTTTCCAAACAACATTTATGTCGTGGCTTCAGGACAATTGGATCACTACAGACAAGCAGTATGGAGATATTTTATGGTTTCAATTATGTGTTTGAATCTGGGGCGCCGTAAGCCTCCATTAGGTGGAGTTGTGTTGCTACCCCCTCTCCCCTGGGATCTCTGCAAGTGATGTGAGGACTCTAAAACTTCATCTGAACCTCCATCGGCATATGGGTGAGTAGATAATGGGTGAATTTTCATTTTTGGGTGCACTATCCCTTTTAATTGTAGTCAACAGAAACTGAAGACATGCTGTGAGCTGTTTTTCACTACAGTTCTAGCTGAGTTCATCTATGTTTGTTTTATGCTTATTTGTCTCTCAGTTGTATTAATAGTGTTTTATCACATGTTTTATCCCTTACAGGCCAAACTTGGGACAAGGACCGCAAATAAAAAATAAATAATCATATCTAAATGTCCCTGTCAAAAATGTGAATAAAATANTAAACATTTGTAGTTTTGTTTTCTTTGTGTAAATTTTTTTTTGTCAATGGAGGACAGAAACGGCCAAAATAAAATAAATGAATACATGACTTGATAAATAAATGAATATTCCATTAAAGGTACTACAAAATAATAATATTTAAAAATAACAAAAAACGTATTAAGCAACAGAAATAAGTAAGATTGGGGAAATAAGTTGGAGGTGGGATGGGATGCAAATAGGAAATAATTAATAAAAAATAAAATATTTTTAAACCAATAAATACATACAAATGAATTAGAAAAATAAATGCAAAAATAAATAAAATAAAAAATGTATTAACATAAATAAATCAAAGGGAAATTAAATAGATAAGTAAATAAATTGGGGAATTAGTACAAAGATTACAAAAAAGCTAATTAAAATAGAAATTTCAATTTGTTTCACATTTGATAAGTTAGATATTGCCTTCATTTGTTTTTAATATTATTTGCTGTATATTTCATGGGATATTAATTTATTTATGAAATCATTTATTTCTTTATTCATATTTTATTTTCGCAGCTTCTGTCCTCCATACTTGTCACATTTAGTTTGACACAATTCACACTGCATTTGGAGGTATTGCAAGTTCTAAACTAATACCAAGACAAATTTGGGAGGATCATATTTTAGAGTTGTCTGTGATAATGCCTCATGCACAGTTTAGTGTGACATCTCATTTAACTGAATTCCATCTGTCACTGTCATTAATGTTTTGGAAAACTGGACATTGGATCAGAGGACACAGTCAGATCTCCACAGTGACTTGAAGTCACATGATTTATTCTGCATGTTGGTACCTCGCTCAGCATGTCAGTCATCTCTCTGGCGAAGCTGGTTTCTGAAGTGTCAGGCAGAGTGGAGTAAAGAGAGCTGGATCTGTCCTTTTTCCCGCTCTCCTTGTACTTAATCTGAAAAAAGTATTTATTGTGAAACATTCATTGTCTCCATCAAGGCCTTTTGATTTACCCTGTATGTTCACAGTTATTAAACACACTTTGTGCTCCGTACCTCACTGAGCAGCTCTGTGGTCTCTTTGGCATGTTGTGTCTCCAGGGTTTCAGGCAGAAGAGAGTACAGGCAGGTATTTATCTCCTTCTTTCCAGCTTCTTTATACTTTGTCTGCAGACAGCACAGAACACAGACTTTTTTCTATTAAATATCAGACAATGACTGATGCATGTCTGAATGATCTCTATACTTTTTGCTTCCCAGTGATGCCTGCTTGTTTTCAGGGTTTATGCAGCATTTACTATGTTACATTTAAGACTTTTTAAGGCCCTTTAAATACCTGTTTCAGTATGTGTGACATACAAGCAGTAGATAGCACACTTTTTTAGGTAATTTCCAAGAGTGTATAACAATAATTCCTGATGATATAATTGATCATGTAATTGATCAACGTAACCTGGACCTGGAAGAGTGGGAGAAAATTGATGGTGGATTAGCCATTGATCAATGATGAAGTGATTTAAAGTAGACACATGGCCATTATGACTCGATGAGCATCCTAGCTGCTTTGACTGCAGCTTTGACACACACACAACTCACTGTCACACCAATCCTACTTTGAGTTTATAAGTGAATAACGTCTCCCGATGGCCTCCAAGCACACACACACACACACACACACACACACACACAGAAACAGTTTATAACTGATAAGCAAGAGAACGTATTTAGGAAGACTTAAATACTTTCTACTGTCTTTCTTAAGACTTTCTGTCCTGCAGATACTCCTGGTTACCTGCAGATACTTCTGGTTACCTGCAGATACTACTGGTAACCTGCAGATACTACTGGTTTCTGAGAAACCAAATTTAATTTTACTCTGTAATAAAGAAACTTGAAACTCACTGTACCTATTAAATTGATAATGAACTCACTGTCCCCCCTAAAAGCTTTTTAAATCAATAATTAAAAGGACCTTACAAATGAAGTGAAAAATGAATTTAAGTGACTTTAGAATATCTAAATTTAGACTAAGAGTAAAGTCAGATTTAATTTTTGTGTTTTAACAGTTTTTGGTGGTGGTGCTGAGTTAAATTCATAACATATCATAAAAAGATAGGCAGCAACATATAACATGGATAAAAGGTGTGATATTCTCAAGTCACATGGCAGCAACAAAGTCAATAAAATTATTGCTGTTATATAAAATAACTGCAGCAATCTGTCTTTAGAAAAGAGACATTTTGGGTTTTAGTGGCTGTAATCCTCCATGAGAGCTTTGGATGAGTAAGAAGAGACTCTTCAGAGAGTTTAAAGTAGCTCAAACTGATGCATGAGAGCAGCTCTACACAATGAAGAGTTTTACGCTCTCACAAATGAAGTGAATATTTAGCACAAAGCCTCTTCATCTGGGAACTTCACAGCTTTTGCAAATGTCTACTAATTTTATCTCATGGTGCTGCACTGTTGTTGTGACTCTTTCTCTTTCTTTTAAAATGTCATGAACTGGTCTCTTAAACATATGAAGGATGAAAGCTGCAAAAATCCAAAATAATATCTAAATAAATGACTTGACAAATCAACTGATATGTCATTAAATGTATTAAATTAAATGTAGACATTAGTTAACTGATAAAATGCCACATACGTTGATATTTAAATTTTGACTGCCTTCGTTTTTTATTAACCTTTGTCCTATATATAAACATATATATAATTTCCTTTGCACTTTGTCCCCAATTTATTTCCCACAACTTAGTAATTTCTGTAATATTTTTCAATACACTTCTTTATTAGTTTTAGAACATTTAATGGCATATACGTTTATTTATCGTGTCATTTATTTGTTCCTTATTAGTTTGGCAGTTTACATTCTCCAAATAACACTTAACACTCAGACTGTACACACTACTGTTTCAATGCTCTTTTTTTACACACTAGTATTGTTGCTGAAAACAAGGAGCTTGCAGAGTTTTTTCTCTAAAAATAATCTGCCAGAGAAAAATATTAAACATTTAAAATCAGTTCTGACCAAGTCTTGGTCAGAACTGAGAACACTCTTCTTCTTTGGTGTCATTATTATTTTTTCTCTACATGAGACCTAAATTTTACCTAAATTTGAATCTCAAACTCAACACACTGACAAAAAACACTATGTTAAAAAGCCTAAAGTGTTTGAGAAACACAATTTCTTGTTGTCTCTGACCATGTGTTGTTCAGCCATGTTTTAAAGAGGAGAAATGAGCTTTTGGTCGTGTACCTCGCTCTGCAGTTCAGACAGCTGTTTGGCCAGCTGTGTCTCTGTGGTCTCTGGGAGCTGATGGTACAAACTGCTCTGAATCTTCTGCTTCAGACCTTCTTTATACTTCAGCTGCAGGAGACACCAGTGGATCCATGTTATCTTGTTGTTTATTAACAACAAAACTATCCAGGAAAAGATCTCCAGGAGAGTGAGTGTTCATGACAATCAGAGATATCAAAAATTCTATTTAATAAAGCAGCTACAAGGAGTTTAAATTGGTTATGAAACAGTCTCAAATTAAAACTGATGCCTCTACATGACCTAAGCAATAAGCAAACAAGACCATCAGCGAGAAGACTGGCTGTTTCTATATTTCTATATTTTCAAATTTATATTTGATTTTCTAAATTTCTTTTCAAAAATTTCAACTGCTATCAATTTTTAATGTGTTCATATACCAGACTTGTGTATTCATATATAAATATGTGCACCTAACTCGTGACTTGCCCAACTTTGTAAGTCTTCTTCAGACATTCACTCATATTCCACAAAACACTCTATCTTCCGTATTGTCTGACCTCCCCTGATCAACATTCACTGAAATAGAGGACCATCTCTTTGGAACAACCGACTTCCATCACTGCAATCAACATCTACCATAGAATTATTCAAAAAACATCTGAAAAGGACTCTGATTTGCAAAGACTCTTAACACTTTAATTAATCTGTAATACATTTAGCTTGTAAAACCAAACTTTTTGTAACTGATGCATTTCTATAAATTTTGTGTTATTGCTTAGTATTGAAATTTGGATTAATTATACAATCTTTGTTTTTATTTTCTTATTTTTATGTATGATTACTGTTATTTAATAAGGTAAGTATCTCAATATGCCATTTTTGGTTTCTCAAAACAAAACAAAACAAAAAAAACCAAACCAAAACAAAACTAAACTAAACTAAACTAAACTAAAACTAAACATAACTGAATTAAACTAAACTAAACTAAACATAACTAACTTAACTAAACTCAAACTAAACTAAACTAAACTAAAATAAAATAAACTCAAACTAAACTAAACATAACTAACCAAACTAAACTAAACTAAAGTACACAAGGAAATTATTTTACATGCCTGTCCACGTACGTTACTCAGCTAAAAGGAAGAGACATTTCTAAAAGTTAAAGAACTGACAGTAGAGCAAAAAAAAAAAAACATGGTAAAGCACATGCACTCATTTAACAGATAGAGACAACTGCAGGATTTAAAAAGGATTCAAAACGATTCTGGACTGGCCCTCTTCCTCCACAGGAGCCACTAAGATAAACACCACATGAAAGTTCCTTGTAGTTGCTTTAATATTTAAAATGTCACAAATGGTTGCTTTTAGACAAAAAGTAACTTAAGTGAGTACCTCACTCTGCAGGTTTGACACCTCTTTAGCGTGTTGGGTGTCAATGGTCTCAGGCAGCAGAGAGTATAGATTGATGCTCATCTCCTTCTTACCCTCCTCTTTATACTTCACCTGTAATAATCCAAAAATAATATGAGGGCATATTTATAACAAATTAGGAGACACAAAATATATCTTGTCATTACATTTTACATTGGAATAAAATGTCAAATTTATAATCTCAGAGTATTTTATAATTTATGTTGCTCACAGTAAGAAAAAGGAAAGATGCAGAGGAGATTCCAGCAAAAATAATTGTAATTTTTTCCCACTACGTATCAAAAAGCTAATTTTAGCATTACGTACTAATGTTGAGCATATGGAGCTTAATAGAATAAATGATATATTTTCATTTATACAACAGTTAGCTCCGGCCCTGCAATCTGATTGGTCGAGAGGCAGTAAAACCATGACGATATTGGAGTACAACATCACGGTTATTTCACTGTGTATGTATCACTCCGCCTCACAGCTGATTGCAATCAACAATCAAATCAAAACTGACGGTTAGTGTCAGTTGGGTCAGCAGTTGTGTTGTAGGCTAATTAATTCATCCACTGTCAAACAGCCAAAAATATGGATTTATTTCCTAAAATAAGTTTTGAATTGAACGATGAATGGTCATCAGAGGAAGATGAGGGAGAGGAGACGCTGAATCCATCTGAGCACACATCCAGGTTTGTCAGTGTTTTATCAGTGGAGCTCAATGACTTGGAGAAAAGCAACATAATGTCAGATCAGAAGGCAGAGTCGGCTGTGCCTGTGAAGCGACAGTCCACCATGCAGTCACCAGAAACTTATTTCACCAGTTGCACAATTAATGGACATGTGCAGATAAATGTGTATAAAGAGTAAGTGCCTGGCGCACCATGTCTGTGTTACAAAGCAACAGTGACAGCGGAGTCCTGAGGGAAATATTTTTGTTGGCGGAAGACAAATAAAATGCTTAAATAATCTATTTTGTCCTCATTTTTCAACATTTCTTAATCAGCCTTGCTTATTTAACTGTTGAACTGTTGTATAAAAGCACTCGAGCTCGTGATGTTGTACTGTGATATCGTTACGGCCGTGACGATATCACAGTTCAACATCACTCCCTCTCGTGTGATATTGCTTAATTGAAGAAAACAAAAAGCTGAGAGGTTGATCAAGTCTAGTGATCAAACATTAGTTCACTTTCTGTCGAAGCCAAAAGAGCTTCAACACACCTCAATTCAGTTGGTACAAATCTGAATCTGTTTATCTAGTGTTATTAGAAAAGGCCAGATTTAAATAATCATGGGAGTCTTTCTTCATGGTAGTAGATAAATTACAGCTCCCCACTATTTAAGTATACTGGCCTCTTGTTATGGTACCCTGACATGGGCCTGTTTGATATGTCCATTATAAGGTTTTTCTATATAATGGGGTGTGTACAATAATATGTATTCACACATTGTCTCTGTTGGGTGACCAGACTATGTGAGTCGTTCTGTTTCAGGAAACTCAGGGTATACATTAATAACTATACCTTTCCTTTAAAAAAAACTATGGCACTGTTAATTTTCTCTCTTATCCTTCATTGTTTTGTTTTGTTTGAATTTTACAGTAAATTGTATTTTTCTTTTATTTTCAATCAATTTTTACTTACTTTACTTCATATTTACTTTACTTATTTTTTGTATCACTATCATCATCTCTCTATTTTACTTTATTTTATCTTTATCTTTCTTTACAATTATTGTTATTTATCTATTTTAAACTAAGTCTTTTTATTATCACTTTTACTGTCTCGCTCTCTTTTCATGTATAGAGGTAATTATCTGTGTATATTTACTTGTCTGGAAATGAACTTACACACTAAACTATGGAATGATGTATGTCCTGAATATTTCAATGAGTGAAACTGTTAAAAAATATCATATTCATGTCTCTGTGGTGTTATTCTGGTTATTGTACCTCACTGAGCAGCTCAGAGACTTCCTTGGCATGAGCCGTCTCTAAAGTCTCCGGGAGTAGAGAATACAAACACGAGTTCACGCCCTTCTTACCCGCCTCCTTGTACCGCATCTGAGAATAAAAATACATTTCAACGTACAGTAGCTCTTAAAAGTATGTACAGAAAAAAAAAAAAAATACAGTACAAACATTTTTACAGTCACTTCTTTACAAGATTTCTTTGAGCATTAATGGTGTTGTCAATGAAACACTGCCTCACCTCGCTCTGCAGCTCAGCAACACTTTTAGCAAACTGAGTCTCAGAAGTCTCTGGGAGTTGAGAGTAGAAACTCTGGGAGAGGCTCATCCTGCAACCCTCCTTGTACTTACTCTGAGAGAGGACAGAACTATCTGTCAGCAGGTTACAATGAAGATACTGAGTGTCATTTATTGAAACACTTTACTAAAATTTATTTCCAACATAAGAAAATAATTCAGGGAAGAGTTCAACTCAATTTAGTTAAATGTCATGATACACTAAATAACTTAAGTTTTTTTTTTTGTTCAAGCAAAATCAACTAAAATATGTCACTTGGGGCTCTGAATATTGCCATTATTTTGGGCATTGTTTAGTCAAAACACCCATTTCCATCTGTTTTTGACCAAATTAAATGAACTCTGCAAGTACATATGATGGAATGACTTTTAAACACAGGCCAAAATGATGACTTTACCATTGTTTACAGAGACAGTGTGGACAGTGAGCTCAGCTGTACCTCACTCTGCATCTCAGTCATCTCTCTGGCAAACTGGATCTCTGTGGTGTCGGGGAGCTGAGAGTAAAGAGAGGAGGGGGCTCCTTTAACCAGCATTTTAGGGCGATAATTCACCTGAGAGAGAGAGTTGAAAGCAACATTGTCACTACTATCAGTATCAGGCTGTGCTTGCAAGATTAAAGTGGACCTATCATGCTAATTTTCAGGTTCATACTTGTAATTTGGTTTTCTACTAGAACGTGCTGAAATGGTTTTATGTTAAAAAAAAAAAACTATTTTCTTCATACTGTCTGTGCTGGAACACCTGTATTCACCCTCTGTCTGAAATATTCTTTTTCAGCGCGTGTTTCTTTTAGCCCCTCTTCTGAAAAAGACCAGTCTGCTTTGACACGTCAATGTTTACAGGTCTTACGCATCTCAGCATCTCAGCATGGTCACTACAGCCACAGAATGACTGTAACAGAGTATAGCAGCACTTTCTCCTTTTAAAAATCACATATAAAAGCTTCTAAATAAAAACCTTCACAAACTGACTTGTTAAAGTAGGAATATGAGCCAAAATCAGGGAGAAATTGATTGTGTGTAGTGACACTTTTTCCTGTTAAAAAAATCATCCAGAAAATGCTTCACAACACAACTGGACATGTTCCAGCAGGAGCATGATCTGAAATCTAGGATGTTTTCCTGACATTAACATGTAACAGTGTACTTCTAGACTGGGAATGACTGTTAAGAATAGCGGCACTTTCTTGCGTTAAACATCAACAGGAATATCATCTGAAATCTGGGAGAAATGAACATCAGCAACCAAGATGATATGTTTCTCTGACATTAGCATGTAGCTACATGTAGCAGTGTACTTGCAGCCAGGGAACCACTGTGTATATTGGCACTCTTTCATGTTAAAAATCACCATTAAAAGCTAGTAAAGACAGGCAGGAATCTCAGCAGGACGTCCCAACAGGAATCTGATCCAAAATTGAGGATAAATTCACAACATCGGCAAAGAAGATTTACATGTTTCCCTGATGTTAGCATGTAGCTACATGTAGCAGTGTCCTTGCACCTGGGGAATGACTGTGTATATTAGTACTCTTTCTGGTTTAAAATCACCAATTAAAGCTTCAAAATACAACCGCACATGTTCCAGCAGGAAAATGATCCAAATCTGGGAGAAATTAACAGCATCAACAACCAAGATGATATGTTTGCTTGACATGAGCATGTAGCTATATGTGGCAGTATATGTAATGTAAACACTTACAGTAGTGTGGCTGGAGCAGACAACCACATAAAGAAATCAAGAAACATTGGCAACCGAGCATTCAGAATGTTCTGAAGCCTGAGGGTTTTGCTCACTGGGATAACTTTTACATACCTATTCCTCCTTATTTGAAACTTAATATGAACTTAATATGAACATCTGGCATTATTACACTACATATATGACAGAAAATAAAGAAAAGCATAACCCCAATTTTATTTCACACTTCTCATAAATCCTGTGGCTACTATTATCACGTTTGTGTACCTCACTCTGCAGCTGTGACACCTCCAGAGCGTGTTGTATTTCTGGGGTTTCAGGGAGTTGAGAATAGAGGGAAATGGAGGCCTTTCTCCTCCCATCTTCTTTGTACTTTTTCTGAAAAAAAAAAACAAGAAAACAAGACTGTATTCAGCTTCCTGTGTTCCACTGGTGGAAAGTAACTAAGTACATTTACTCAAGTACATTATCAAGTTAAGTGAATGCATGCCTTTTACTTGTAGTGGAGTTTTTTCACAGTATGGTATCAGTAGTTTTACCTCAGTAAAGGATCTGAATACTTCCTCCACCACTGCTGTGTTCATGACCCAAGTGAAATGACAATGAATCAAAAACCTTAAGTGACAAAGTACAAGTAATGACTGAAAGATGGCTTTGCAACACTGCTGGTAATTAGTGGTGCAGTCTTGATTTCTCCTGATATCTAAACTTGAAATAACATTTCTGTGTTTGTCTTCTGTGTTTTATTCATTTGCGGTGGGATGCCTCTCAGCCAGACTTCCAGCTTAATCAAACCTTTAGCTGCCACATAAAATAAACCGTGTGTGTGTTGATGCCCAGACTGTTCACTGATGAAATATGTTGAAACACAGCTGCTGTGTAGCTCAGAGTGTACATCCCTTTTGAATACCTCGCTCTGAAACTCGTGAACGGTCTTGGCCAGCTGCATCTCGGCAGTTTCAGGAAGCTGAGAGTACAAACTGCTGCTCATCTCCTTCCTTCCTTCCTCCTTGTACTTATTCTGAAGAGCAGAGAGAGTTTCAGGTCAAGAAGAAGATCTGAAAAGAGTGGAGCTGTTTGCTTCGAGCTAAATTAACAATAACAAAAGAGAGACATCCATACCTCTACCCTGTCACTGCCATGCTTTTTTATTATCCCATCATACATTTGGTTTTGTGTGTGTGTGTGCATGCATGTGTGTATCCGTCTGTCCACAGCTTATCTCACCTACTACTGAAGCAATCAGCCTAATATTTTGTGTGCACATGTATGACAGTATGCTCAAGGATCTTTCGTGGTTGCAGTGATTCAAAGTTGTTGAAAAACCATTTTTATTGATTGCATTATACCATCATTAACTGCTGACTCCTCATTCCTCCTAACCAGCCAGTAGGGGCTGAATGTCATCAACAAAATCATGTAGCAAGGGCACAGAGCGAAAGGCATTCCTAGCAATAGACTCAGCTAAAAACAACGAGCCTTGAAATCTGTTGCAGGACACATTTTGGCCTTTATCATGGCTCAAAAACTGTAATCCATAGAAAGGTTTGGTCTCAACTATTCCAGGAAGAATTCCACAGGGTGCAGCTGTGCCATGTGTATTGTCCAGAGTGGACTTGATCAGCTCCTGGGAGGTGAGTTGCGGCTGAAACACGGCTGCCATGCGGAGATCTGCACTCTACTGAGTACACTTTTCTAGTTTCACTTTGAACTCTGAACTCTAGGTTCTGTTATTTAAATACTGTGTCTGCTCATCTTGAAAATATTCTTTGATTGCTTATCAACTTTGTCACTTCTGTACATAGAAGACCGATACAAAAGAAAATTTGTTTGTATTTGTTGGTAGTTGGTAGGAGTGCCGTTGTTCAGTTTGTCTTGGTAACTTTAAGCCTTGTCAGGTTTCTTTCTTCTTTTTTTGCTTCCCTTTTTGCGGTCAGTCTGGGAGCTGAGTATTGCCCTTCTGTTTGATTCTGTAGTGCAACTGAGTTTTCATTTGCGAATTAGTGTGTATTTTTTGTTTATTATTTTGGCATTTGGAGACCCTTTCACTTTATTTACTTCCAATTCTGCAAGGTTGTCAGCATAGTAGCTGACAACACTACTAATGATCCATTCCTCCATCCATCTAGTCAGCATAGTCCATCCATCCATCCATCCATCCATCCATCCATCATGTCTGACCTCACTCAATATCTCTGTCAGTTCTTTGACAAACTGGGTCTCTGTGGTTTCTGGCAGCAGAGAATAAAGAGACGAGGAAATCTCTGTCTTCACATTTCCTTTGTATTTAATCTAAAACAAAAACAAACACAACATCATCAGTGTATATCGTATCGTATCGTATCGTATCAAATCATATAAGAATACTTTCAAATATAGACCTATCAGCCAAAATATACAACCACTGGCAGATAACATGAAAAACATTGATCATTACAATGCAATGTTCTGATGGTAAACCTTGGGTCCTGACATTTCTGTGGATGCTGCCTGACACCCTCAACCCACCCAAACACCGTTGTAGACCCCATCTCATGGCAATGGCAGTCCCTGATGGCAGTGGCTCCTCCAGTAGGACAATTCACCACGTCACCTATGTCACACTGCAACAACTGTTCAGGAATGGCCCGACGAACTTGACAAAGACCTCAAGGTATCAACCTGGCCTCCAGATTCCCCAGATCCCAATCTGACTGAGCATTTGCGGGATGTACTGGTACTCCACCTCACAACCTATAGGATTCAAAGGATCCATCACCAACGTCCCAGTTCCCGATACCACAACACCCCCAGAGGTACCACTGATCGATGCCCACCATGGATCGGGGGTATCTCTGAGGTATCAGAGTATCTGCCATCAGGGAGTGCAATTACCATGAGTTGGGGTCCGCAATGCTGTTTGGGTGGGTAGAGCGTATCAAATGCCATGCAAGGGACCAAAGGTTTCCCAGCAAAACATTGCATTGTGATGAGATGATGGATGTTATTCACTTCACTTTTCAGTGGTTTTAATATTTTGGCTGATCAGTGTATTTCATAGTGCGCTGCAGGTTTTATGGAGTGATAATGTAAATTATCCAGTCTCTCAACGTTGTCTGTACTTCACGTTAACCACATGTTGGTGTACTGAAGAGTAACTGTACCTCACTCTGCAGCTCTGAAGCCTCTCTGGCACGTTGAGTCTCAGGAGTCTCTGGTAGGATGGAGTACAGTGACATCGACGCTTCCTTCTTTCCCTCCTCTTTGTATTTTGACTGAAACAGTTACACAAAAAAGAACAGAATGGTGGATCAATATGAGTGTGTGTGTGCTCTTGTGCCTTCACCTTTGTGAGGACATTTGTTGAGATGTTTTTTTCGATAGTGAGAGTATTTGGTTTTCTCCTCTTTGAAGGTTCAGATTTGGTTTAAAAATGTATGTATTATATCAGTGAGGGACCTCACAAGTATTAAAGAACAACCATGTATGTTTTGTGTGTGTGTGTGTGTGTGTGTGTGTGTGTGTGTGTGTGTGAGAGAGAAGACCTCAGATATCACAGCGCTGATGTTCTTGGCATGGATGAGTTCGGCTCCAGGAACAAACAGACTCTGACCCCTCATCTTCTCAAAGTCCTCCTTATACTTTACCTGCAGGGAGGTAGGGCAGACATGAGAGAGTGGGTGTGCGTGTGTGTGTGTTTGTGTGTGTTATGTGACTTTATATTGCATGCGAGCTGAACTCCTGCTGCACTGTGCTCCACTCCCAGGAGAAATGTTGCGCTAGTTGTTTTGCAGTGTTTTATTCTCTCAGAGGAGTTCGGCTGTGTGCAGCATGAATGAATTATTTTTAAAAATCTCCTGCTATATCACTTCTGAAACATTTAAGGAATGAACAAATTCACACAAAGAAACAATAAAAAATGTGCCAAAAAAGAACCAGCCAGAATGTACTTAAAACCGTATTAACAATAAATTTAAGTGTCTCTTTTTAGATGAAAATATGATTAAATGATGACTATGTTTAAACAGAAAAAAAACTGCATTAAGTACATTTTCATATTTACACTGGTGCCAATATTTAGGTGTGGGTGCAGCATACAGTACTGTGTGAATACCATTGAAACTGATTGTTCACCATCTTTATATATTCATTAGGCTCAGAAATTATCTTTGCAGCAACAGTAAGAAATTGAGCAAAACAACAAACAAAGTGGAAAAAAAGGCATTTTAATAATCAATAATGGAAAAAGTATGTATACATATCTTGTCTCCTCTCTCACAAAACCTGATAATAATAATAATAAACAATAATCCTTACAGATAACATCTGGAAGATGGAATTAGTCATGGTTTGCATTTTATTTTGAGTTTGTCACATGTTGACAAATCCCTCATAATTATAATGAGTTTGCTGTCAGCTTTGTCAAAAAGATGATGAAGCAATGTTCATGTCAGGAGCTCCGTGGTTATGCATAAATAAACTGGATATATGGGAATTCTGAGGGAATTCTGAAGGATTTAAGGGAGTGCAGTATAGAATTCCTCAAAGTGACAAGTAATCAATTGGATTTCTATCCAAGCGCAGCGCAAATTTTAACCAAATTCTCAGAAAAATGGCAAAGGAAACTGCACATTTTTGTACTTTTCCAAATTGATAAATAATTACAGAAGACATTCAGTGTTTGATTTATCATTATGATCATTCTTAAAGTACTGGTACTAATAAAATGGGGTATAATACCAGTTTTAATGACAGGGTATTGAGATCCCTTCTAGCATGGGAATACTGTGCAAGACTAATATGCCCGTGTCCATCTGACATTGCTACACAGAATGCTATGGTTACTCCAAAGATTTAGGCTTTATATAGCCCGGGCTACTATATCTCATTATCTTGAGAATACAGAGTTTGGTTATATCTCAAGAGAATTGTCTCATTATCTCGGGAATACATTTGCTGTTTTGAGATGATGGCATAAATAACTTGTGATCTTGAGAAAACAACAGACAACAGCATTGATGGACTTTATTTCAAACATGTGCCACAGTTTGGTGCTTGGCCGTGTGTGATTGGACGTTTGGTCAAACAACAGACCGGCAGATTTTCTGAAGAGACCCAGGAGAGAAAAATGGAATTAATCCACCGATGACAGACTGTCTGCCCCAATCTGTGAGAGGAAACCAGAGTGGGCACAAAAACTGAAGTAATGGTACCAAACACTGGATCTCTGGCTTCGAACCAGCAAGCTTGTGATAGTCCAGGAAGTGGTCAAGGTCAGTGTTGACACAACTATGTATTTCTAAATGTCCTCTTGTGGACATTGTTTATTATTGTGTAAATTTTTCTGCATGTGCTGTCAAAGCTCTCTTTCAATTCAGGCTGCCAGGAGCACGACTTTGAAGCAGTGTACGTCTCTATGGTAACAACAAAATCACTAAACTGGCTTTAGGATTGTGGTGAGCGCAGAGCTGCACCAGGAAGATGAAGAGCATTTTATATCCCACCACAAAACTGTGCCTGTGCAGCAGATTGTGACTAAAGTCTTGTGCTCTCTGAGGGTTAAACTTGTGGAAAAGGTGCATGTGATGATAATAAAGATGTTTGACAGACAGGTGGCACAGCAGCAGCAGCTGAGGAAGAAGTGAAGATGATTTTATAAAGTGGGTTGACTTGCTTCCACTGTAGCTGATGAGTCATTCTGCTGGTGCAAACAGCCAAGCTGCCAAGTTTGACTCACACCAGGGAATCAATATCTCACCCTCCCACATCCTACAACAGCATTCACCCTCATTCACCGATTCACTGCCAGATATACGCTTTAAACTGCTGCTGCACAAGTCAAAAAGAAGGCTTTCTCCTTTGAGTGTAAATTCCCCCTCTAGGTCGAATAAAGGGCAGTCACTGCATCTTTGGAGGGATTGTTACCAATGGCAACCCTACGTTCAGTTCATATGTGAAGCGGCAGAGTAAGAGGATGGCGCGTTGAAGAGTTCATACCCAGAAATGTTTCTATTCATGAGTTGAAAATCAAGAAATCAGAAACTGCAGCAGATATTACACACTGAGATAATTGGGTCATATAGCTCTGATGAATACTGCGTCAACTTTTGACCACGTGTACCTATATATGCGTCACTGCGCTAGTGTGGAAGATTTATTCTTAAACATCAGAAAGTAAAATGAGTTCAGACAGAGGCGTGTTGTGTTTGTGTACTAGTACTCTGTGTATCTTTCAGTACCCTAATAAAAAGTGAGTGAAACAACATAGTGACCATACAATAACTAAAATAAAGTATATTGTATTGTATCGTATCGTATAGTATCGTATCTTATCTTATTTTAACTTATTTTGATTATCTTAACTTATCTTATCTTATCTTATCTTAACTAATCTTGACTATCCTTCTGCAATATAAGGCCACAAAATGCCTTTTTTGCCACTATTTACAGTGCTGGAATGTAAGTAAATTTACTCAAGTATGGTATTTAAAAAAAAACTTACTTCTTTCACAATCTGACCATTTGTACTGTACATCATTTATTCACCATGTGTTGCTTTGAATTTGGGATTGTTGCATCCTCTACAGTGAAAGACAAATCCAAAAAAAAGGCCAACATTTTTCATGAATTGCAGTCGAAGGCAAGTGTGTTTAATGACAAAATCATATAAAAATTATATAAATTATATAAAAACAACAGTTTAACAAACCCACACACAACCTGCACAGTATAACCCAAGCCTCATTTATCCAGTTGTACGCTTAGTAATTCCCAAAAACATGAATCTTTACTAAAAAAGTACAATGTAAAACACTTCTGCCATAGCGCGCCCTGAATGTGCTTGAGCACGCACGTAGATATGAGCTCCGCTTAAGCAGAGTCAAAACACATGGACGTATAGGATGGTTTGCGCTGACATGTTTTAAAACTGCAATGTTTTAGCAAAAATACATGTGTGTGGGAAGCACTGAGCATGTGACTGGATAAATGAGATGTAGAGTATACTTGTGTGCGAGTTCGTAAACAGATGTTTTGAAATAGTTTTGCTGTAGGAGTGGGGGAAAAAATCGATACAGCATAGTATCGTGATATTTTGTGTGGCAATATTGTATCATCACACAGTGCCAAGTATCAACTTATTTTACAAATTATTAATATTACAAATACAAATTAGAAATTAGACTAATTAGACTTTAGGTAGCCTACTAGAATCACATAATCATTTGCTTTCTCAGTCCACTACATACATTTTGCCTCAAAAAAAGAAAGAATAATAAAAAATAAAAAATAAAAAAATTGCTGAAATGAGATGAACAGACTGAAAACTTATTTTACTTATCTTATCAGATAAAACTGAAGTTTTCCTTTGTGAACATAATTTACAGTTGAAAAAGGTAATAAACTGCAATATAATTTATCACAATACTCTGCGTATCCCAACATATTTAAAATTGCAATAATATTGTATTTTGACGTAAGGATCGTGATAATATTGTATCGTGGATCCTCTGGTGATTGTAACTCCTATTTTGCTGTCAATAAAAGTGGTCCCCAATTACTTCAGTACATAAAGAATGCTTACATTTTGGGATTCTTCATTCACTGTGGAGGCATGGAGGCACAAAGTTTTCTCCATAATAATGGTCATGCTGCGGGTGAAGTTCAGTTGTAAGGTGCATTTTATGTCACTTTGTACTTCTACTCCACTACATTTTGAGGCAAATATTGTACTTTAACTATACTATTTTTTTAATGACTATTGTTTATTTGATGGCTTTAGTTACTTTGCAGTTTCTGATTAATAATACAAAATATAAATCAACTAATCAGTCCCTTCAGGATTTTGCAGGCTTTTTTGTGGATTGTTGCAGCCTAAAATGCCTGATTTTACAGCACCTTTTCTAAAAAACGTGCTTTGCATGTTGCAGTGTTTTAAAGTGTTTTTTTTCTGGCAAGGACATTGTAGGAACAATGGAAAATTGCAAACACGATCACATTTTATTTAATGTATAAAAATTAAGGGTTGCTTGTTTAAGTAAGAATAAAACCGCACTGTTCTGAGTTTGCAATTAGTACTACACTAACATTACCGCTAACCTGCATATTTTCTCTTCAGATCTCTTTACCTCAATTCTGTCAGTATGCAGTGCAATAGATGTGGATGTATGGCCATGGTAATTTATTTATTATTTATTGAATGTAGAACTTCAACTTGTAATAGAGTATTTTTAGACTGTGGTATTTCTACTTTTAAATAGGTTAAGATTTGATCTATTACTCATAATCAGTTATTTCTTCATGAGCTCTTTGTGACACCTGAGGAGATAAATACACACATATCATGCTGTAAGGCTGTTGGTCTATATAACATCATGTATACAGCTCTCACTACAGGTGTAACAGAGTCCTTGCATAACAAACTGACATTGAATGAACTTACATCACTGATGAGCAGGCTGCACCTCCTGTTGAATGCTGGGTCTGGTAGAGGAGGTTTCTCATCAGAGGAGGCCTGCAAACACAAAAGTGCACATAAGACCTCTGAGGTCAATAACCACAATGGCATTATTTAGACAAAAGTCAGCTATAGCCACTATTTTGTGCTGTTAATCTATGTATTTACATGCATGTATCGTTTTCATGCTAAATAGATGAGTATCAAGTGTTTCCTAGAAGACCTTCAGCCAGACCTTGTCATGGCCTTTAACCCCTTTTAATCTGCAGGGAAAACGGCATCCTCAGCTGATATCATGGTCTTTCAGAGGCTGTAGCAGACTGAGTTTTAAAGCTGAAGATACTGGTATCATATAAAAAATGAGAAGATCGATGGAATCCATTCGTGCCATCCATGTCATGCAAGCTTTTTGGGTAGGTGGTTAAATAATGCCACGAAGTAAGGCTAAAAAAACTGGCATGACCATTTTAACAGGGGTCACCTGACCTCTCACCTTGAGATATCTGAATGAAAGTCAGTTCTATAGGAGGCCATTTTTTCAGAAATGCCCACTTCATGCTAGTCCCATGCAGCTTTTGGCAAAAAACAAGCAGTTCCCCCCAAAGCAGTACACGTGTTTTTTTGCCTATTCTAAAAAATTGTGTTTTTGAATATTTCTGCATACTGGGGTCCCTAAACAGTCTCGTAACTGCATAAATTTGGTCTGACTGGAAAGCTGAGACTCCTGTGGATTCAGTGAGCACAATTTTATTCGTGTATGATGATGTTAGCCCCCAAAGTAGGTATTACATTGTAATGAGACCATTTTCTTTAAAACAGGCATCATTGTATAAAATGACCTTTTGTGACCTCTGGAATAATCAAGGCTCCATGAAACTTTTCAACCACAAACTAAAGACATATAGATTTTAGATGGTGGCTTTCATGGGTATATTGATAATGAGGGGGTTTCTGCAACAGAAGTGCTCATCATTCCAATCTCCAATGAAGTTCTTACAGAAATCTCCAAATGTCAAAGGTTTTTGATACCAAATCAGATCAGTGTGGTATTTTATTACTGGTATAGTGGTTTTCTTCTTTGTTCTGGTGAGGAGAATGACCAACTTCCTCATGGCAAATGAATACATTGGCACAAGCTGCCAGAAGGCTTGAATCCCAGGACTCCCAGGATGCATCGAGCACTCTTCCATGATTTGGGAACAAATCAAGCGTGCAAAGAGAGAGAAGAGAGACCTGCATGTGGTGTGGTTAGCCTTGCAAAGGCATATGGCTCAGTGTTGCCCAAGTTGATAGACTTCGCCTTGCAATTTTTTCATGTCCCAGATTGTGCTCACAACATCATCACAAGATACTTCAACAACCTGCACATCACTTCACTCTGGAAGGCTTCACGACAGGATGGCAACAGCTGGAATGTGGATTTGCCATAGGATGCACCATCTCCCCCATCCTATTCGTGTTAGCCTTTGAAATAATCCTCGGAGGACAAAGGCAGGTAGTGGGCAGCATCAAGCTAACAACAGGTGAGAGGGTCCCACCACTGAGGAGGTACATGGATGACGTGACAAGCATCCTTCAGAGGGGACCATGCATGACCAGGCTCCTCAAGCGCATGGACAAGCTGCTCACATAGGCAAGAATGAAAATCAAGGCTGCAAAATCAAGAAGTCTATCAATAAGGAAAGGCGTGCCACATGTCAGGATCACCTTTCTGGCAGGAGGGAAGCCCATTCCACAGCTGGCCAGAAAACCACTGAGAAGCCTGGGGAGGCAGTACACCACCTGACTTGTCCAACAGGTGGTGCGACCAGCACACACTATCCCAGTGTGATGTGGCCACTAAAGGTCTGTGAAATTCCCATGGCAGAGGTCAGCAGGGTCGACAGCTTAGCAAACAGCTACATCCGAAAGTGGTTCGGCTTTGCCCACTGCTTTTCGGACACAGGCCTCTGCAGCCCATTAGCCTACGGTACAAGCAAGAGAAGGCACCCCTTGCACTGGAGCTGAAGGACTCAGCTGACCCACTCATAAAAAGTACAAAAGTCCCCATACACAGAGGCTGCAAGTGGAGGATGCAGGCTAAGGTAGACCGTGCCATCTCCAGTCAACAACATTGGGAGGTGATGGGGTCAGTCCAGGTTGGTTGTGCTGGCCTGGGCTGGGGAGCACCACAGCAATTCTTGTCAAAGCCACTAAGAAATAACAGATGACCATGGTGGTGGACGAAGTTCACCACTGAGAACAGGTGCATTACCTGGGCAGACATCTGGAGGACGCCACAATCAAGGCGTAGCTTCCAGTTAAGAGCAGCCTATGACACCCTCCCATGCCCCCCAGATCTCACCCAGTGGTTTGGAAATGAGGTAGGCCACCCCCTGTGTGGCAACATCAAGGCAAGCCTTTAGCACATCTTATCAGGATGCAAAGTGGGGCTGACCCAGGGATGCTTCAGGTGGTGCCATGATCAAGTCTTGATGAAGCTGGCTGAGGTCCTGGAACTGTAGTTTAGCAGCAAACAGCACACCGGCAACAGCACAGCCTGCCCTAACAGGCTTCATCAAGCCTGGCAGCACACTCCAAGCTCCTGCTCAGAAGATGAACACCATGTTCATGCCGGGCAAAGAGTGGCAGATGGTGGTGGACCTCAAAAAGCAGCTTGTCTTCCCAAGAGAGAACAGCTCTCTGGCCAGATATTGTCATGTGGTCTGCAGGGGAAAAGAGGGTCCTTCTCATTGAGCTTACCATCCCCTGGGAGGAGGGCATGACAGCAGCCCACGAAGGGAAGCACCTCAAGTACTCCGAGCTGGCAGCGGAGTGCCAAGAGGCTGGCTGGAAAGCCAGGGTTTCACAATCACAATCAGCACAGTTTTAAGATCAGTGTCACCAATTCAGTATCTGACCAAATGTCTCCCCTTCTGTACATGTGATATGACGCTGAGTAATGGCCCGAGAAGTGTTCTGTGCAGAACATCATGATGTCACAGTAAAGTTTACCTTTGACCTTTTGGACAAAAAATGTAATCACTTTATCATTTATCCTATTAGATATTTTGTGTGAAATTTTGTCATAATTAGCAAATTATTCCTGAGTCATGGCCAAAACCATGTTTTGTGAGGTCAAAGTTACCTTGACCTTTGACCACCAAATTCTATTCAGTTCATCGTTGAGTCCAAGTGGACGTTTGTGCCAAATTTGAGAAAATTCCATTAAGACTTTCTTGAGATATCACATTCATGAGAATAAGACAGACAAGGTCACAGTGACCTTGACCTAAAATAGAAAAAATCCTTAAATTTAGCACCAAATCTGTGAAAAAAATGTTATAAATCCTGAAATTGCTGCAACCTATGAAACATAATAGAGCATGCAAATGGCCATCATATACTTCTATCATTATGTTCTAAACGCTTATGCACTGTGCTGGGCTGCATCTCAAATTAATTTTCAGGTTCCAGCTTTAAGATGATGTTTATTGCTTTTGATGCGGTGTATACTGTTGACCTGTTATCTCCCACCCTTTAAAAGACACAAATGAGTGGAGAGAAGGGTGAAATAGAAGAGGTTAAACTGATATAAGATGCCACATGTCTCTGTTGTACCTCTTTCTAATGATGGTAATTAAAGGACAGGTTGGTCTCACCCCACTAATAATACTAAGACAGAGCAACCTGTGAGTCAACCTCAGGAAACTCTTCTAATTCATGCACCATCAATCCCTCACTTCTTTCAACAGGCCCTGATTCAGTCCGAAAATCCCACTATCAAAGGCTAATAATAATGGCAAATTTTCATTTGTAGTTCCACTAATCCTCTCTGAGCCCATATGAAACCTGCAGTGCCAGGCAATGCCCCATGCCAAGGTCAATACAAAGACTCACAGTCAGAGCTGAAAGGGGGGTTCTCTGCAGAGGAACTAAATCTGCCTCTCAGCAGACCTCATCAAAGAAAAGCTAAAACCTCAAAGACGTTTAGCAGTGCTCAGGATTTAGCTACAGTTTGGGAGCATTTTGTGTATTGCCGTAGTGAACAGGGAAATTACTACATAGAAAGAATTACATAATTAAAAGACCAAGGGGTCCGACTGCTGGAAACTTTGACTTCTTATGAGATCCCCTACAGGGTCTTCTCTGGTTTTAACAAAGCTGTGTCTTACATCAGATGAAGATCAGCTACTGATAGGATATAAAATCATATTTCTTTTGAATAAAATGATGACTATAAATGTGTTAAAGTTGTAAAAGAACATTTTAATAAGGCTGGGCTATATAATGATATTATATCAATATCAGAATATGAGACTAAATATCTGAGCAAGACACACAGTACAGGCTGTGTGGTGGTTTTAATTCTTTTAGAATATAATAGAATGGAATAGAATATATTATTGTCCACCATAGGTGGAAATTTGTTTTCGGCTCACCAAAAACACAAAAGACAACATTGTAAATGCAGACAAAGCTATGTTTTTTTTGTGGACATTTTGTGTCTCGTGGTTGTTTTCACCATTTGTGTCTCTTTGTAGTTCCTTTGCATCTTTTTGCATTATTTTTGTGTCTTGTTTTTGTCTCTTCCTGATCAGTACATGTTAGTTTGACTGACACTTTCAGACACTGGACCTATGCCTAGCATTGTAGTAGGCCTGTGCAGTAATCCATCTATGTTCATGTGTTCATTTTTCTGATAAATTTGATTTTAAATGATTATTTGATGCTATAGAAAGGGGGTTGATGTCATGATTGACTGGCTTGGTTTGCTTGCAATTGGTCGGATGGCAGTAATTCAGTACTGCAGAGATTGCTACGGCACAGAGACTGGCTCTAAGATGGCAGCCCCTGTATTCAGGATATTTTGGCTTCATTTTTTGTATTGCAGGAAGAAGTTGTCAACATGTCTTCCATCTTTATGTACAATCAATGGAGGAGACCCAATCTTGTTTTTCCACCAGGGAGTGCCACAAAAAGCAAATGCTTTTTACGGAGACATCAGCAGCTGTTTTTGTTTGTTTGTTTGTTTGTTTGTTTGTTTGCTAAAACATGACGTTATCCTAACCATAAGTAAGTAGTTTTTGTGCCTAAACCTAACCACACATTAACCACAGGGTTGTTTAAATATTAAGTTTCAATGTATCCACTATATAATTAAAATGTAACAGATCTGCTGATTAGGTTGAATTTTCTGAACTTACCAGACTGCCCTAGCTGTTCTTTTATTATCCTTGTATTGTACTCACTTAGTCATTATATCCTTTTTACTGTCAATTATTTATCAAAAATCTCATTGTGTAAACATTTTGTCAATATCGACATATCTGGTCAAAAATATTGTGATATTTGATTTTCTGCATATCGTCCAGCCCTAGTTATTAAACCAATTTGGCTGAAAAGATCTGATTTATCACTCAAGGGCTTTAACAGTAGGAAATGGTGAGGGGAAAAAAAACATTTCAATTCTACAGGCAAATAAGAAAAGCTCAGGTTCTGAAGAGCTGAGACAGACATCTTTGCATTGTTAAAACTTCTGAAAAATATCAGCAGGAACATGCAGTGTTGTGTTATCTAAAAGATAACAAATTAATTACTTGGTTCCTCACATGAAAACAAGTGGGACAACCCTCCCCCAAACTGAACATTTTTAATCAAGATTTGCAGGTACATGCTGATTTAGGAATCTCACTTCATGATTTTCTTTTCTTTAGTTTATTATCTGATTTTTTTCTCTTTTTGATTTAACTGAGCTGACATTTTGATTTGGGGTTGTTTATGTTGAGTTTTAAAAGTCGCAGGAAGTTCTCACCTCTGATTCCCAAGTTTCCAACAGCTTCTTTGCTTGACTCTCATCTTTCTCTCCATTCTCTTCTTCTCCCCCCTCCACCTCTGCTTCCTTTTCATCCTCCTCTATCTCTGATTCTTTTCCCTCCTTCTCCATCTCTTCCTTCTCCTCTTCCGCCTCTGTTATTATGTCAGTTTCAACCTCCTCTACGTCCATCCTTCTTGTAGTTGTGTCAACAACCGTAGTCAGTGTCGTCACTGTTGTCAATACCGTCTCCTGGATGGACTCTTCTCTCTCCCCCTCCGCTGTCATAACCTCTTTCATCTCTCCAACCAACACCGGAGCAGCTGGGGCTTCCCCTTCCTCCATGTCAGTCACCTCTGAGGACAAAGTTTAGTTTCAGTTCACTCATAAAGCTATTTTTTAAATGCATGTAACACTTTAAAAGAACAAACTCAACAGCAGAGGTAATAAAAACAAGGTAAGACACAACATAAGGCCAGGATCATTAAAAAGGGAAACAACAACCGAGGTTGTGGCAGAAGTCTATAAAAATATAAATGAGTTTGAGGAAGTAATTTAAAAGATCATATACAGTAGATCAAGCCAGCAGAGCTCTGCAGACAGGTTTATTTGCTCATAAAAGCCTAAGAGGAACAACATTTGTATTTCTTACACTAAAATATACAGCCTGGTGGAAGACAGGGGAACAAAACTACAGAGATCATGGACTCCTTACAGAGTAAATGCAACCTCCTTTCTGCTCTGATGATCCGCCCTGATGCAACAGAGAAGTGGAAGGTAGGTGAGGAGGCACACATCTGTATGAGGCGTAGCTTTGTGGCCATGAAGTTTGTGATGACGATGGGAGTTGTGGGTGCGGGTTCAGGACAGACTGACCATAAAACATTTATTGTAGTGTGCACTGATTGCCTGTCCGGAAACTTGTCACGGTGGCAGCTATTTTGTTTCCATTGCAACATCAATAAACCAGAGAGATACAACATTTATGTGCTCTTGCCAGTCCTCCAACCCATAAGACCACATAGGTTGTTTGTTAAATGGACTGCACTTGTATAGTGCCTTACTAGTCTTCTTGACCACTCAAAGCACTTTTAACATTACTGAGTACCATTCACCCATTCACACACACATTCACACACTGGTGGCTGAGGCTATACTATACAAGGTGCCATCTGCTACTCAGTAACCATTCACACGCTCTCATACACTGATGTTCCTACAGTATACCCTCTAATACAATCCACAGGAGCGTTTCCTTAATTAGTGCCCCTACCACCATTTGCCAAAAAGACATGTATGACCATTAACTGTTGTAATTGTAAACATGTGATTAACGTGAAATAGCCCCAGTTTGGTTAGGTTTAGGCAACAAAACTACTTAGTCAGGTTTAGAAGAGATCATGGCTACAGTTAAAATAAGCACATCTATTACGTAACTTGAGTTGAGTACATTAAGTATATTATGCAAGTTAAGCTATAGTTGGAAACTTTAAAAATTACTTTTTTTTCATAATTGCTGCAGCTGTCAATATATTCACAAAGCACTAATGAGACAGATAATCTGTGAAATTTAAACATACTCCTCTGCCTACCTTTGCCTTGTAGCATAGAGACAGAGCACATTGAAGTCTTGCCCCCGCCGGAGGGGAAAACAATTCATTGCTCTCCGCTGAATTTGAGTCTAGACACCAAACTCTAACTATGTTCTGCTGTTGAAATAAACATTTAAACTGACTGAACAATTTTTTTACAAGCTACCTAACCAAAAAACTGAGGTTTGAAGCAACAAGTGGAATCAACAGGATGATATGGGGAAACGAGATCCTGACACTCAGTATGCCTATGTGCCGCTAAACAAACATAAGAAGTTGACGCTAACTAATCCATGTAAGGCCTGTTTTTGTTTTTTTTCTTTGTTAGCTTAAATGATAAGCTTACTTGCTTAAAATAGCTGCAAATCTCAAAGTATATCACTACTGGTCATTCAGTGGGATCATTTCTCCAAGATGAGCAAGGTCAGGAGAAGAGAATACTCAGAACGTTTACATGACATTAGAGATTATCAATTTATTGTGTTAGTCCAACTAAAACCGGACTTTTAAAATAACATGTAGACATGTAAGTCTGACTAAAATTGTACTAAAGCAAATTACATTTCCTGAGGTCAGACTAACACCCAGATAATAATTTGACGTGGAAGCTGAATAGCATTAAATACATAACAGAAGAGGAAGCAGGTAACAACATGGTGAAATCTACATCCAGAGCTCTGCTGAAAGTGTTATATATTACATTATTATATTTCAAACGTACAGAGCTGTAAAGTTGTCCACCATGGTACCAGTTTGCTGTTAGCTAACTGTAACTAAGTTGTTTGTTGATTGTTTGGTCTGTGACATAATAGGTCAACCGGAAAAAGGTCCAACACAAACAAGCTGAAAGGGGGCATAGTGCCACCAATCGTAGCAGAGTCGGACATACAGTACAGGCCAAAAGTTTGGACACACCTTCTCATTCAATGCGTTTTCTTTATTTTCATGACTATTTACATTGTAGATTCTCACTGAAGGCATCAAAACTATGAATGAACACATGTGGAGTTATGTACTTAACAAAAAAAGGTGAAATAACTGAAAACATGTTTTATATTCTAGTTTCTTCAAAATAGCCACCCTTTGCTCTGATTACTGCTTTGCACACTCTTGGCATTCTCTCCATGAGCTTCAAGAGGTAGTCACCTGAAATGGTTTTCCAACAGTCTTGAAGGAGTTCCCAGAGGTGTTTAGCACTTGTTGGCCCCTTTGCCTTCACTCTGCGGTCCAGCTCACCCCAAACCATCTGGATTGGGTTCAGGTCCGGTGACTGTGGAGGCCAGGTCATCTGCCGCAGCACTCCATCACTCTCCTTCTTGGTCAAATAGCCCTTACACAGCCTGGAGGTGTGTTTGGGGTCATTGTCCTGTTGAAAAATAAATGATCGTCCAACTAAAGGCAAACCGGATGGAATGGCATGTCGCTGCAGGATGCTGTGGTAGCCATGCTGGTTCAGTGTGCCTTCAATTTTGAATAAATCCCCAACAGTGTCACCAGCAAAACACCCCCACACCATCACACCTCCTCCTCCATGCTTCACAGTGGGAACCAGGCATGTGGAATCCATCCGTTCACCTTTTCTGCGTCTCACAAAGACACGGCGGTTGGAACCAAAGATCTCAAATTTGGACTCATCAGACCAAAGCACAGATTTCCACTGGTCTAATGTCCATTCCTTGTGTTTCTTGGCCCAAACAAATCACTTCTGCTTGTTGCCTCTCCTTAGCAGTGGTTTCCTAGCAGCTATTTGACCATGAAGGCCTGATTAGCGCAGTCTCCTCTTAACAGTTGTTCTAGAGATGGGTCTGCTGCTAGAACTCTGTGTGGCATTCATCTGGTCTCTGATCTGAGCTGCTGTTAACTTGCGATTTCTGAGGCTGGTGACTCGGATGAACTTATCCTCAGAAGCAGAGGTGACTCTTGGTCTTCCTTTCCTGGGTCGGTCCTCATGTGTGCCAGTTTCGTTGTAGCGCTTGATGGTTTTTGCGACTCCACTTGGGGACACATTTAAAGTTTTTGCAATTTTCTGGACTGACTGACCTTCATTTCTTAAAGTAATGATGGCCACTCGTTTTTCTTTAGTTAGCTGATTGGTTCTTGCCATAATATGAATTTTAACAGTTGTCCAATAGGGCTGTCGGCTGTGTATTAACCTGACTTCTGCACAACACAACTGATGGTCCCAACCCCATTGATAAAGCAAGAAATTCCACTAATTAACCCTGATAAGGCACACCTGTGAAGTGGAAACCATTTCAGGTGACTACCTCTTGAAGCTCATGGAGAGAATGCCAAGAGTGTGCAAAGCAGTAATCAGAGCAAAGGGTGGCTATTTTGAAGAAACTAGAATATAAAACATGTTTTCAGTTATTTCACCTTTTTTTGTTAAGTACATAACTCCACATGTGTTCATTCATAGTTTTGATGCCTTCAGTGAGAATCTACAATGGAAAATAGTCATGAAAATAAAGAAAACGCATTGAATGAGAAGGTGTGTCCAAACTTTTGGCCTGTACTATACTTCCGTCAATAAATCAATTTCTCTCCCATGCTTGTACTCTGGGACAAAGACAGTAGTCCAATGAAATCGCCTAGTCCAGCTTTAACTGAAGCTCGACTTATCTGTGTATGTAAACATACTGACTGAGAGCTACAGGCAGTATGTTAGCTTGCCGTTAGCCCTTGGTTGCATATTGTGGCATCAACAGTTTTCCCTTCTGGTGGGTGTGGATTTCAGAGTATGGGGTGTTGTGCTCTGTCTCTATTTCTAATGACTTTACTGCATGCAAACAAAAAACAACCAATCAGAGCCGAGGGGTCTCTAACACAGCTGTCAATCATGTCAACCGCTGCTTGAATCTCCGGTCAAACTGTCAAACTTGGCAGGACTGATCAAATATGAATCAAGATTATGTTACTACATTGTCTATTTCTCACCAAAAATCTTTAAGAAACATGTTTTATGAAAACAAATTAGACAAACGAAACAAAATAAAAGCCCCTGACAACCTGGAAAATTGCACTCATTACTAAAACTGCAGGCTATCACTTGCTGGTCAACTCCCTGTCAGAATCCTTCATGTCATGCTTGTCAAGGTCACCTTTTCAGCTTCATCTAAGTCACCACATTCAGTTCCTAAATGTCTCAACCTTCTTTGCAGCTTCTTTAAGGTCACCCTATCAGTAATCACCTCTGGATGTCATGGCAACTTCACACCTTTGAGCACTTACCAACTTCCCCTGAACCTTCCTCTATGGCCCAGGAACTCTGTTAGCCTCTTCAGCATCCTGTTCTCACAAGCTTCCTCCTCAATGTTGCACTCACCTTGTCAGATTTACGGTCTCTCAATAAAACTTCTTTTGGCCTCCTCAGTATTTGGGTCAGCCTTTTAGCCTTTTAGCCTTCCAAATGTTGCAGTCACCCCAACACACTGGTTCTGAATATCTTCACTACTCTTTGTTTTCTCAATATCTTCTCATGCTCTCCTGCCAAGTTTCATCTAGACTTAAACATCAAGGTCACTCCTTCTTCTTCTATCTTTCACAGTTTCTTTGATGTCGTGCTCTCCCTCCAAACTTCTTTGTCAACCTTTTGGCTTCTTGTATTTATTTCAAGCTCAGCTGAACTGCTTCGTCTGGTCCTGACCGTCTCATGTGATGGCTGACCGTCTTCTGGGTGTCGGTTCGTTGGGTACTTCTTATCACTTTTAACTTCCACATATAGCTCTCTACTCAAGACCTTATCATCGCTGTGCCCTTCATCT